AGGTGCTTGGCCAGAAGCACCCCGAGACGCTTACAAGTATGAACAACCTTGCTGTAGTGCTTGAGAGCCAGGGAAAGTACGAGGCCGAGGCTATATACCGGAATGGACTCCAGCTCTGTATAGAAGTACTTGGCCAGAACCACCCCTCGACGCTTATAAGTATGAACAACCTCGCTGGAGTGCTTGTGAGGCAGGGGAAGTACAATAACGAAGCCGAGGCTATATACGGAGAGACGCTCTAGCTTAGGTGTTCGACTAGAAGCACCCCCCAGATATTAACAAGCTTCTTTTATATTACTTTAAAGCGCACTGTGATTATAAGACTTAGTTGCCATCTATAGTTTTAGATACTTCCTACCCTATACGTTCAAACAATTAAAGCTCCGATTAGACCAGTCTCAGTTATACCTTGGCACTTGTATATATTAGGGGGTAGGGTATACAGGTGAGCCGACCCGTCACCTGACCTCTACGTAGCTAGCTGAATATACATATATCGTGTTAGCTCGTAGACAGCAAAGTCCTGAGAAGAAGTAGGTTGAACCAAGATGTCGAACGATTGAATTGTCCATCAATTGGGATGTGCAAGATTAGAGTAATCTAAAGCAAATATCGATACAAAGCACTGCAAGTATTGTACGTAATCGACATGATCGAATAAACAATCGGGTCGTGGCATGCGTATAGAGGTATAAGGTAGCAAGAAGTACTGATCTATCATTCCGGAGTCCGTACTCACGAACTGATTGTTTGTTGTTGACGCTCCCTACTGATAAGTGGGTTTGCGAGCAGATCAGAATTAGCGCAAAATTTATAAGTGTAATTAAATGCTTGGCGATGCTGACGCAACCCTTTACGAAAATAGCTGGCGGCTGAGGAGATACTTCGTCGTCTACTTCCTCTCCAATTAACACATGTGGGAACAACTACTAGTGCTCTGGCAACGAATGCAATAATCGTCAGGACTGGGCAAGAGAAATGTCCGAGAAAAATGCGTTCCAAAGATTCGCAAGTGAGCAATACTTTTCCGGGGACAGGACTCTCGAGTTAACAGGTACAGGTCCCAACGAGCGACGCACCATAAGTCGCGAGGACTTGGGCTTCTACAATGCAGTTGTAGTATCGGCCGTCTACGAATTTGCGGGCGAAAACATTGATGTCAAGTCGGTGCATTCTTTCGTTCAGCCATTGAACCGATGCATTGAGGAGCATCCTCATTTGACCGTGGTAATTAAGGACGCGCACACCGAGAAGCCATATTATGAAAGCGTCTCAAATATAAACCTCGCGGACCATGTATTCATGCTTGGTGATGATGAAGCTAGAGATGATGACACTGCGACATTAGAAAAAATTCTACCGCCGATTCTGGATCAGCCATGGCCTCCTTCAGTACCGCCTTGGCGGATTGTCGTCCTCTCCTTGCCACCACAACGGGGTACGAAAATACCGCGTTGCCTTATAGCATTCGCGTTTTCTCATACCATTGGGGATGGTATAGCTGGACTCGCATTCCATCGCACTTTCTTGGACGCATGCCAGTTGCAGACGACGACCAACGAAGAGACGTTTATGTTCACTGTACCAAGGCCGACACTCCCGGCCCCCTTCGACACGCCACAAACACTTCCCATCTCCTGGTCATTCCTTCTTGGGCCCCTGATAGCTGTCCTCCTCCCAAAGTTCATTGCTAACTTCCTCGGGCTTCACGCAGCGGCTAGTACAGTTGATGCAGGTACCTGGACTGGATCCCCCATCTTCTTCAATCCAGGCTCTCTTTACAGTAAAATCAGGCTCCTAGAGATAGAAGGCCCCCTGGTGAAAAAAGCCTTACAGGTGTCGAGAACTCACGATGCCAAGCTCACTGGTACAATACACCAGCTAATCGTCCGGGCTCTAAGCAAGGCCCTTCCAGACCGAAATATCACCAATTTTGTCTCGGGAACAGCAATCAACATGCGTGGGTCAGTCGGCGCACCAAACTATGAATGGGGGCTTTATGTCTCCGGCTATTATGAGGCACATCCACGTGTGGATGCAGCCACTGGGCTGACTGATGCGATGTGGGCAGCTGCGAGCTCGATGACGAAGAACCTCGCGGAATGTGCTGTGACGCTGCAAGATCAAGCTATTGGCCTTCTGAGATACGCGCCTAGTATCAGGAATTGGACACTGGGAAAGATTGGAGACCAGCGAGACTCCTCGTACGAGGTGAGCAACCTGCTTGTCTTTGATGGCAGCGGCGAGGGGAAACGGAGCAGGATCACCAAGATGGTATTTGCCCAGCCGGGGAACACTCCAAGTGCGCCGCTTGTTTTCAATTTGGTGAGTGTCAAGGGAGGTAGCATGATGTGTGCCGTGAGTTGGCAAGAAGGAGCGTTGGGGATTCCGCTAGAGCAGGAGACGGCCTTTGTCGATGAGATAATTTTATCGTTGCGAGCGGACTTTGAGGGTTTAGGAAATATACCTGGCGAACCCGTATGTATGTAGATTAACTTGAAGAGCTTGAGGTCTGTTCAAGGTAGATGGGATGAGCCCTAAGTAGCAGTTTTACTGTTTGTCGCAGGCTTCGACGGTGGATCTCTCAACGAGGCAGATGCTGTGTTTGGACTAAAGTGACTGAACCCACTATTTCGAACGTATCCTAACGCGTAGGCGCCTTGCTCTACCTTCGGGCTGTACCACATCACATACTCTGATTCCTCGGCGTTTTCTCACTATGGCCCAATAATGTGCGCCTCGCCGCCTCCCCCTTTATTGGTTGTAAACGAATATAACAGGCGCGATCCTCGCGTGATAGGAGGAAGGGGCCTGCCGCCTGAGCAACTCGAGGGGACGATTGGGAAGAAAGTCGGAAAAGGAAGAGGGATGGAAATAGACCGAGTCGTTTCCTCTACTACGCGAAAGCGGTCGCGGGCCAGCCCGGGCACGCGCCATGTACCCAAGGTGTTGTATTTGCACTAGGTTCTACCTTGTATGAGATTTGGACAGGACATGTTCCCTATCATGAATTCCCGAGTCAGAGATTAAAGCTCGGTACTCGAAGCTGGAGTTTCCGGAAACAACATCTCTTGGACCAATTGGAGTTATTATTACGCGGTGTTGGCATGCCGATATTGTAGTTTTGAAGCTATCAATGTAGGTATCAAAGGTACCTAGTAGGTATGACTAGCCATGAGAAACTCGGTTCTCTATACCCTACAACTATATTTGTTGGTTTATACTTTTAGTTGATAAATCACTATCGCCGTATATGGCAAGAGCCACTGACTGGCAGTTTAAAGTGTGAACGCTGAGCATTGCAATGTGAGGAGCTACTATATAGGCAATACTAGCACCTTTATTTGTCTTTGCTATGCAGATTGTCATTCACTTGATACCATTCACCTACGTCCCTTTACGTCCACGTTCTGTTGTACCCCAAGTGTTAGGGCTTTCTCCTGTCTACATATATTGCAGCCCAGGTGTACGTTGCTGCGCCAGGACGACTATTCATGCTAATTTAACATTGCTTACACTCAATCTGTAGTGCCCAACATGAAGCTGGTCAAGGTCGACTCTGGTGTCGTGGGAGCGGAACCAGAGAGATTCAACAGTTCCTTCCACACCGAAGCTGAAGCACCAATACTTCTCCCTCCAACTGAGATTCCCTATTCCTTCGAGCGATGGCTACCACTGATATCTCGCACACAAAACATCCCTTCGTCCTCGATCCAAGTTATCACCCTTTCACGCTCACAAGGCAATCTTCTCCTTAAAGCTTCGCAAAGTTCACTTATCCGGAGAGAGACTAGTCGCATGTACGCCGAGGATCTCGACGATGAGATTAAACCTACTCTCTCATCCCTAATATTTCCCCCGGGAGGTTTATTTCTTCGCTTTGCGGCGTGTTCTCCAAAGGATGGTGTTGGTGGAACAACCCCGCTTCGTACAGTCAACGACATACTTTTGCGCATTGCGACCTCGTTTAGGGCAACAAATTCGATTCGAAATATCCTTGATACAGATGCGACCGGAATTAAGCTTTTATTTCTCCCGCACAATTCACGGATGGAGACCGCTCGGGAATATCGCGTTTTCTGCCCTCCGCCATCAGGGTTGATTGCTGCTCTATCGCAGTACAAATGGCATCAACCATCAAAGTTTCATGATAGAGACCCCGATGATATTGAGAAAACTATACAAACTATCATGATGGGAACCAGAAGGATCCATACGGAGATCCTAAAAGAACTCGGAAATCCAGGAGCATGTAAGGTGGCCGAGCTAGTCTTACAACAGGGATTCACGTTCGATATATCTTTTGACGAGGAAACCGGACGATCTTATCTTGTTGAGTTAAACGCGTTTGGAACTAGATCTGGGTGTGGTTCTTGTCTCTTTCACTGGTTGACGGATAACGCTCAGCTATATGGAAGAGAGCAGGACGTGGAGTTTCGAATTTCGATTTAAACGGTTTTCCGACCCCATTCCACACCCTCCTCGGAGCTGTGAAATTGCCATTTGGAACCAGGTTGTCCAGGTGATTATTAATTACTATTAAGTACATTATTAATTGCCTCTTTAATAGAACGCAAATTTATACTGATTTCCACTCAATTTTGTGAGCTACCAAACAGCTCTGACTATGAGCAACTTACACATTAGCGGACCTCAACCATTAGTATACACGTTTCTCGAAATCAATGTTCCACTGGAGTTAATATACTTTACGTCATTATAATACAACAAGGCAAATTTGGCACATTCGAATTTGTGCCCGATTGATTCGTTAATCCCAGCGCCGAAGAACGAGGGTGGAATGGGGGGGTCGGGCCCAAAATTGATAGAGCACCCATGCGCTCGTTAGATGTGTTTTCCAGGAGGGGAAAGGGCCCTCGGGGGTGATTGGTAGACGTGGGTTTCGAATACTAAACTCGTTTTGGCCTTATGACTTGTAATTGGCAGCCGCCATCCTTCTTGCCAGTCCTGACGCGTGTATTCGCGAATCTCAGTCTTGATAGGGCCATATTTGTGAGTAGAGAACCTTCTGCGACTCGGATTCAACCATATCGACAAACATCTCCCTAACATTATTGTTGATACACAAAGCCTGCTCGAAACTTTCTCGAAGAACCATACCGCCCGGTGGGATTAGGTTATCATTACGAAGTTGGTGTAGGACCTCCCCAAGACCTTCCAGAAGCTCCAATTCATCGTTGTGAAGCTCTAGTTTGTGCTCCGTAAATTGTATGGGACAAGGCATCACCGCTGTTGCGATTTCCTTCCATCGAGTAGCTATGTGTATCAAAGCGTGACGGAAAGAAAATACCTCATTCCTGCTCCAGCTGCCGCAGAGCAAAGATACGGGTTCAGTCAGAAGCGAACAATCGTGTAAATTGATGGCGGCTCATCGTTGCTCATTTCTAAGCCTACTAAGGTTTTGATAATAGCTGACTAGATCCGTAGTCCCATTTGAGTCTTCCTTTTCATTGGACTCTTCTGACGCAGCCTCCAACTGTTCACTCGAGAAGTGAGGTCGGACCGGAAGAAGCATACGCGGGATACTGTGCTGAAAGAAAGGCTCAGATACCGAGACCGACTGCCAGTCAATGATGCAAGTTATTTTCTCTATGTCTGGATGCGAGAGCAATGTTCGGAATGGACCGGGCGATAGATGGGGCGCGAGTTGAAGGTATCGATTCAATAGTGAAATGTAGTCATTTGGAGAGTCGGGCGTTTCAATAGATCTGTAATTGTTAATCAGAGGCTCTGCGTACGCCTTCGCCCATTGTATCTCGTTACTTCCTGTGGCTACCATGTAGGACAGAGGAGTGCTCCCTTGTCAGGTCAGCATAATATTCATCTTGAAGGGAGGCAAATAACTTACGTAGACCTCGATCTAAATCCATCGTAGCTCTTTCGCCTTCCCAGACCTTTCCTTTCCAAATCTTTCTTGTAGTAGATGCAACCATGTCTTCGAAACGAAACCGACGATAGATTTGTCTCAAAGTTAACGAGCCGAGTCACAAGACTGGGTTGTGATTTAGTTTTCCACTAACACCAAAGGCTCCCTAATAGTGTGCCTCTTGCTTTCTCCTCAATTATATACTCGGCGCCGACTAGATTGAGTGGTCTAGAGAATAAGTGTATATGCGCGGAACAGGCAAGTTCAGCACTGTCCGTAGCTAATAGATACCAGTCAAAACTTTGTCACCTATAATAGCTTGATGGGTCACATACAAAATGCCGCGTAGCGACCTCAGAGGCAGTGGTATAGAATGCTGGACCGGCGTTCGGATTTGGAATTTTTGCTAGAACCTCTACGCCATTATCCATTATCATAAGAAATGCCTCGTTGTATTGGCCTTCGATGCATTTTAGTAGCTTAACACCTAAGTTCATGCCAATATTAGATTTGATTCTAAACAGCTGCAGCTTTGGGACCATGCTTCGCGAGGCATGATGGAAACAGAATCTTACAAGATCTAGCGCCGTTACCAGCAGCGTTGACGGCAGCATCTACAAGAGCCAGATGTTGAATTTGCGGTAACGTATCGCAAGGTTTTGGGGTTCGTTGCATCTGGATGTGGTTAATTCACTTGGCCACGGGGGAATGGTCAGTCTCGTACAGTCACCGGTATCGAGTGTATCGATAAAGCTCGTCTTCTAAAATATCTTCTTCTGCAATACAAGATGAGCAAAAGCATTGGAATGGGAAGCCCCAAGCTTACCCGAACCGTCCACCTTTTGCTTTCGAAAGACGGGCATTGCTATGGCACTTCTCGCCCGGCGAGACGATTGCTGCTGACAGTGCCATAGTCCGTTGCTCCGAATGGCTAAGCCCTACGAGGGCAGCTCGATCTAAGTGGGTTGAAAATACGAAAGGAGATTTTCATTGCAATGCGTTAACTACAACATTGCAAACCCCTAATAGTGATGGATACTCCGAAGTGCGCCCTTCTCAGAGCTTGGATGGGGAGATTTCCGGAAATCCTTAAGTTACTCGAGTATACTCAGGCAGGGGCTTTACAAGGTATTGTTGTTCGCTGAGTATACGCTAAGCCCGCTACGAAAGTTCAACCGACCGACGTTCTGCCGGTTCAACCGACGGAGCTTTTCTCTACCCCCTCCGAGCTGCGAGCCCCTATATGTAGAAGGTATTGATAATCTTTTAATAGCCTTGGTTCTAATACTACTGTACTGTACTCGTAGCCGGCCGATCCCGCATTGTTAATCCGGTTCTCTACAACATAAAGCATCGCGCTGATAATTTTTACAGAAAACAATAAATCCATTCACGCCAAAGCAGCAACATCTAATCTGTCACGCTCCAAGCTTGTGGACGAAACTGGCTCTTCGCCGCAGCGGACTGTCCCAATCCCGAAAGAGTTGCGCCTCCCAAAATCTCAAAAATCGCGATATCAGCCTTTAACTCTTTCTCGAACCAATTGCGTAGCTCAACAGCTACCAATGAATCTAGCCCATAAGTGTGTATTGGCCTACTCAAGTCAAAGTCCTCGACAGGAATCGACAGGGTCTTGGCTAATCGTTTCGATAGTTCCCCAGTGACCAGAACTCCAGCCTCAGCAAGCGACCCGGTGCTTGAGAACGAGGCGGCCAAATCGACTGACTGCTGCCCTGTCGCAGTGGTAGAAACGGAGTTCCCTGCCCCTTTAAGCTGGTGTAAGTGGTTCAACATCGGCCGCTGCATCCATGGGGGTTCTTCAGTTCCCTGGGCCAGAAGGTCTGCAGGGGATTTCAGCCCGGTGACAACCTGGCAGTTTGTCTGCGTGAGAAGCGGTAGCCCGGGATCGCAGTGATAGTCAAGTAATGCCAGCAGCACTTCTTGAGATACGAGGTTAAGCGTTCCAGTTCTATAGAACCGCTCCCTCAAAGCATCATTTTCAGCGAGGAGACCTTCGGACAACAGCGGCCCAAGATCCAAAGATACAGCTTTCTCCCCTCTGTTGAGGCGATACTCTGCCAATGCATCAAGATATGTATTTGCCGCAGCATAATTGGCCTGGCCGCCCATGCCTATAATACCACAAACTGAAGATAGCAGGATAAAGAAGTCCAGTCCCTGTGGCAAAAGGGACTCCAGGTTCCAAGAGCCCTGGACCTTCGGATTTACGCATGTTTTCCAGTCGTTGTACGTCATGGTCTCGAATACCGCATCCTATGAAATGTCAGTTATACACCGAGAGCTCGACTATAGGTTTTGACACGAACCTTCAATACCATGGCGCCCTGTATGCAACCTTTTATAGGAGGCATAACCTGCCGGTATTTCTCTAAAACAAACGCTAGAGATGGCTTATATGCGACATCACATACTGGGGTTTCAACTTGCACACCCAAGTCCCTCATCTCTGCGAGGAATGCCTGCGCGGCTGGCGACGTTGGTCCAGATCGAGATAGAAGGAGAAGGTGCCTTGCGCCACGACCAACCATCCAACGAGAGATACTCCGGCCAAGTCCTCCTAGGCCGCCTGATATCAAATATGTTGCATCATCCTGGAAAGAGTAGGTTGGTTTCGTTTTAAGTACCGCCTAAGTTTGTTAGCTCTAGTCAACTTGTCCAGAGGGTCTACCTTACAGGTATCTTTGCATCGTCACTGAACTCAATGACCATCTTGCCGGAATTCTTCCCCCCTTGCATATGACGAAAAGCCTTCTCGATATCACCGAGGCCGAATGATTGAAGTGGATTTGCAGGAGAGAGCTTTCCTAGTTCGACAAGCTCTATGATTGGTATTAAGACCTTTTTAATTAGAGCAGGTCGCTGCTGTGCCATGGTAGCGAGATCAATAGCACTGAATGTTACATTCTCCGCGAAAGGGGACATTGGCAAGTGGCTGTGGGATTGAATATCCTTTTTGCCAATTTCAATAAATCGTCCGAAGGGTGCAATGCACTCCCACGATGCTTTCAATCCCTCGCCGGAAAGAGAGTTCAAAACAACATCAACACCTCGGCCCTGGGTTAATCGCTTTATGCCTTTAGCAAAAGAGTTGTCCCTGGAATAAAGAATGTGTTCTTCCGGAATCTTATAGAGATCGATCAAAAGTTGCTTCTTTTCCTCGGTGCCGACGGTAACAAAGACTACTGCACCAAAATGCAGTGCCAGTTGAATTGCAGCTTGGCCTGTTCCCCCGGAGGCAGCATGGATCAGGATCGACTCTCCTTTTTCCATCCGTGCCAGTTCGTGAAGTCCGTGATATACAGTAGCAAATGTTGTTGGCAGAGATGCAGCTTCAACAAACGAAATGTTGTCAGAAATTGCTACAACACAATCTTCTGGAGCCCGAGCAAAGGTTTGGTAGGTATTAGGATAGCAGCCGCACACGCGGGCGCCTACTTTAATCCTATTACAGTTCGAGCCAATGCGGGTCACTATGCCTGAGCATTCTGCACCGAAATCACCAACTTCCAGCCTTCCAAGGGCAATGAGGCAATCCCTGAAATTTACACCCGCGGCTTTGACTCTAACTTCGACTTCATTCTGGCCAAGGGGGGTTGCATATTTATCGTCATCGATAAACTCCAGCGTATCAAGTAATCCAGGGGTTCGAATGCTTAGTTTGAGAGGAGGGGCGTGTCCAAATTCCAGGATTTTGAATTGGCTTTCGGAACTCCTCGCCAACACTTCCATGTCCATCGCTTTTGCCTCAATGATCCGAGGTGTCTGCAGCATGCCGTCTTTTTCGACATATTCTGTTTCGTAGCTCTCGCCATCCAACCGGAGCAGCGCATCATTGAAGACGGTAATGATATTGGCAGCGTGTTCCTGTGCTTTGTTCTGGCCATCTTTTTTCGCGTCCAAATGCAAAGTTGTGATTATGAGGTTGTTTCTCTCTGTCCGCAGGACTCGGGCAAGGCCAGTGATCATTGCTGACTCTGGAGTGGTAGCAGAGACCCATAGCACCTTTGCTGCAGATTTCAATATTTCCATCAGGGTGCTGAAATTCTCCGGATTCAGGTTGTGAATTAGAGGCTGTTCAAGCTCAGGCAGGAATATCAAGCTTGCCTCTCCTAAGTCAGGAGCTGATGCAGCGTCGTTGAGGGAGGATATTGTGCTATTTGAATTAGATTCTTGTATCATCCTTGCAACCTCTTGTTGCGTTTCCGACTCTGTGTCTGCGACAACGATGACTCGTGGGGCCATAGGTGGATTCGGATCTGGGCTCGCGGCAGTGGAGATCAAAATGCTCCATTCGTGGCAAATATCACTTTCATAGTCCCTGAAAATGTGATCTGTCCCGGTGAACCCATTCCCACGCAGTAGTTCATCCCATTTTTCTTCTGTGATGCAGGGACTGTGTATCCGATAACTCTCGGTACCTAAAAGTTTAGTTTCACGTTCAACTAGGGAGGAGATATGGAACATACTAAGCCACCACCCCGAAAAGAGGCCAAAGGTAAATCCAACACCCAAAATATCTGGCTTGGTAACCTCTACGAGGAAAAGTTTGCCACCCCTTTTAAGTTAGCATCATACTATAACTTGAGAGCTATTTTAACTCACGGCTTCAGAAGTTTTCGGATATTCTCCAGAGTTTTAGTCAGGCTTCTGGTGGCGTGAAGTACCTGCCGATTCATGTTAGTGATGAACTTCTGAGGAAGTGTTATATCAATGGCGAGAACTATTTAGTGCTGTGGGGCATATTCCTCTCTTTGAATGGGCTGAAATTATGAGTTACTCACATGGGATGCTACAATAATATCATAAGTTCCAGGCTCGATATTTTGTGCGGCTGGATCTTCTTCGACATCCAGGACCATGTAATTGAGCTCGCTCTGACCAAATATCTCCTGGGCTGGGGGGAAGAATGAGGACGAGATATCCGTGAAGTCATACTGGCCGTATCTTGGCGTTGACGAAATCCCTTTCTCCTTTCCTGGGGTCAAAATGTCCAAAATGACCTCGGTCGTAGCCCCTGTGCCTGCGCCAATTTCCAGAAACTTCATTCCAGGGTTCTTGTGAGCTAGAAGATCCAGGTATTTCCCAAATTTCTTAAAACCAGTGGCTCGAGCATTTACATGTTGATAGTAACTTCTCATCAAACCGTCCGCGAAGAACAAATCTAACGCATCGACTTCACCCCGAAGGACCCGCGTAAGGTTCTGCCCTGTCCTGACAAACAGCTCCATTTGCTTATCAGTCTGCCCGGTTTCGATGCAGAAATCTTCGAGGGGGGTTTGGGGGCTTGATAGCGAGAATACAGCTCCCTCATCTTGCGGAGATATACCTTGTTGTAGTTGCATCCATGCTACATATTGTTGAATATGCGGCGTAGAGACTTCGTGTAAGTTTGTTCCGAGATCAGCCAGAGCTCTGGATATATATTTGGCCTTGATTCGGCGAAGGTCTTCGAAGTATTCTTCAGGATCTCTGTCAGGGAAATCGACACTCCCGCAATACTGGTTGATGCTTTGCTGGGTCATAAGTTCAACATTAGGCTTTAGCTCGACGTTATAGCATAACTGCGATGACATTGACTGGTGCTGAGCGTCAGAATTAGAGCTCGGGATCGTAGTTGTCTCGAAGTCCTCGACACGCATGAGAAGCTGTTTATCTGCTTTGCTGAGAGCGCTGAGGGAAGATTTTGTCCCTCTGGTTCCTTTGGATGCAATATTTGCGTAAGCCGATGCCACGTCCGCAGATGAAGCATTCAAGCCTGTATCAGATATCCATAGTCTACCAATCCGTGTGGGGATCCGGGTCACACCAGTTTGTAAACCGCCTCCCTGTAGGGCAGCAAGTGAAAGCTGTAATATACCGTCAAAGGTTGTTGGGTGAATAACACAAGATCCCTCGGCAGTTCGCCCAGTCTCTTCAAGTATCGGGTGATTTAGTGCAACATCCCCAAGAGCTTCACCACTCTCGCTGTACTGCAACTGGACGATCGGTCTGAAAGTTGGTCCATAATGATATCCCAGGTCATGCAGCCCTTTGTACATCTGTTCTGCGTCTATTATATTATGGCATGTCGTGGCTGCATTGTGGTGGATCTCCTGCAGACTTTGTAGTTCTTGTTTGCTCTCTCGCCCACGGTCGATTTCGGTCTCACCCGCTTTGTATATCACCTGAATTTCTCCACGGCACGTCTCTACCCACGATTCCTCCTGGCACATATAGACACGAAACTCGGCCCATGTGTTCGTCTTTTCGGACGCATCTCGTAGCGGGCGGAGGTGAAATTCGACATCTAGTCCACCCGAAAAAGGTATATTCAGCGCAGTATGGAAGACGGCATCCCTAATTTCGTATCCAATGATTGCCTGGTCTTCCGCTGTTTGCTTCGCTGCCTCAATGGCCATCGCACACATTCCGGCGGCTGGGTATAAGATGGATCCATTAATCTGAAATATGTCAGCTATACGTACTTCTTATATAAAACTCCAAAGAGGAAACAAACCATATGGTCCTCAACCCATGGGAGATCCGTAATGCTAAGAACATGTCTCCATCTGCCTTCAAGAGGATTCCAGTCCGATACAGGAGTGCCGAGCAAAGGATTGTAACCGTGAGACCGGAATCTGAGGCCTCTGCTGATCTTGCTTTCATGCCAGTATGATTTCGTGTGGTCAAATGGATATTCTGGAAGGTCTGTTAATACTGCAGGGAGGGAACTTCTCTTCTGCGTTGGTTGATTAACACTCCTCATGTCAACTGGATATCCTCTGCAATAGAGACTACCCAAAGCTTCAAAGGTGGTTTCGATGGCGGAACGATTTCGAATGAGAGCTGAAAAGTACTTAACATTCGCTGAGCGGTTTCTCCACTGAAGAATGTCGCGAATGGGCCCTTGAAGTGCCGAATGTGGCCCAATTTCCAGCAAGTCTTGGACCATAATTGTGTTGCGATGGCTCCCATCTACTTTTCTGTTCAGGGGCTTCGGGGTCTGCAAACATACTCGACCCAGGGCGGCAGAAAATCGGACAGGGGATACCATATTCTGCACCCAATACTCCGGACAGCAAAGTTCAGACGCTAGAATTGGTTCGCCAGTGACTGAAGATACCATGATAGTATCTCTTGAGACGAAATCTCCAGGCTCGATGCGTCCTAGGCTCGTTTGGTACTTATCGGCGACCTCCTTCATCTGGGCAGAGTGATAGGCAACATTGACCAGCAACTTTCGAGCAAATATCTTTTCTCGCTGTAACCGCTCCTGAAGAATATCTATATATATCTCGTCCCCAGAAATAGTGACGTTACTGGGGCTGTTTACACAGCTGACCGTCAATCCGTAGTGATTTGATTCGATCTTGATATCGTCCAGGTAGGGTTGTATTTCGACCTCAGAAAGTCCCACGGACATCATTCGTCCTTTTGAGGAGGAGTTTTGTGCAATTTCTGCAGCATAGCGACCCCGGTGGAAAGCTATCTTCCAAGCAGCCTCGCAAGAGATAGCTCCAATTGAATATCTAAGTCTATATTAGTATGTCGTCCAAGATATTTAGGAATATATGACTCACGCAGCAGCAATCTCTCCCGATGAGTGCCCTACCACAGCTGCTGAAAATACGCCAAATGACTTCAGGAGGTCTACCAATGCCACTTGAATCGCTGTGCAAATTGGCTGACTCAACTCTGGATTATTTATTTTGCTTTCTTCCTTTGATTTTAAAAGCTCATCTATTGAAATGTCAGTGGATAGGCTGGATAAATAAATGGTAACTTACCTAGCAGAAACCACTCGCAACCTACTTGACGGAGATATTCTTCGGCGCGCATTAAACTTGTCTTGAACACCGGAAGAGACAGCAGCTCGCGACCCATGGAATATGACTGCGCCCCTTGACCGGTAAATACGAAACCGAGTTTTGGTTTAACTGTAACTTGAACTGGTTTGGATACTAGTTCTCCAAGTTTGTTAAGTTTCTTGCATGAATCCACAAGGTAAAATGATTTCCAAGGCAGTGCGCTTCTCCTTGAATCTAATGTATAAGCCAAATTAGCTAAATACGTTGGACCCTTTTGGGAGAGGCCTAAATCATTTTCGAAATGTTGTGAGTATGTCGTTGCCAGGCGCTGGAGACATTTCGCATTTGGAGCTGATAAAACTAGTATTTTCGGTAGTAGCTTAGACACTGACTCGGTAGCCAAAACGTCGAGGCTAGGCAGCTCTGACATATCGTTCGTGAGAATACTTCCGCCATTTAGTAAATCGTCCGCTGATGGGGGATTTGCAACTGTGCAATGATTGGCGGTGATGTTCCGAAGTCGAAGAAAGTTGTATGCATCGTCAAGGACGACATGCGAGTTTGTGCCACCAAATCCAAAAGAGTTAACAGATGCTCTACGTAGTCCGTTTGTCGGCCACGGTACCGCTTTAGTAGGAAACTATTATTGTTAGCATCATTCGATAAGCTGGAATTAGGGGGGCTGTTTGGCAGCAACGCACCTCTAAACCCAAAAATTCGGCATCGATATCCGGATTCAGCTTCTCAAAGTTCGTGTTTGGCGGTATCAGCCCCTTTTCCAACACCATAATGGTCTTGATAATCCCAGCAATCCCAGCACATCCTTCCAGGTGCCCTATATTGGATTTCACCGCCCCACTACATTATAAATATTAGCCCCAGAACCGCGAAAAGGTGGCATGGGTAAATCATACATATACAGAGGTTCTCCAGGCTCGCGGCTGTCCTGGAATGCCTCTCCAATAGCTTCAGCTTCCAGTGGATCACCGACGGGGGTTCCTGTGCCATGAGCTTCGAAGAATCTAGTGTCTCTCAAACTCAACCCTGCGCGTTTATAAGTCGCCCGGATCAGCGCAGCTTGAGCGGTCTTGCTAGGTTGTGAGACGCCTGGAGTATAACCATCCGAATTCGAGCCTGTCGATCGAATAACTGCCCGAATCGTGTCATTATCACGAACAGCATCTGCGAGACGTTTTACGACGAGGACTCCAAAGCCTTCGCCTCTAGAATATCCATTGGCGCGATGATCAAAGCTGTAGCTTCGACTATCGGGGGAGAGGAAGCTCATGTTTGACAGGCCAATGCACATTTCTGGGGAGAAAATAAGGTTACATCCTGCTACAAGAGCCTAATTTCGTAAGCATTTGGAACTTTTGCGTGCATGATTTCACTGACCATAGATGTGGTATTATTCCAAAGGCCTTGGCATGCCGAGTCAAGTGCAACCATACTGCTTGAGCACGCAGAATCCATAGTTACACTTGTGCCCTTGAGATTAAAAAACCAACTTATTCGGTTGGCAAGCATGGTCGCTGCCACTCCTGTTGCTGTATATTTTGACATCCGTTCTGGATCTTTCGAGGCGAGCATCATATAGTCCGCGGTGAAACATCCTGTATAAACAGAAGTTTCTGAGCCGGATACTTTTTCCATGGGGATTCCGGCTAACTGTGTTAGAACGTGTAGCTGAAAACAGAATAAAATTTACTTGCCATTTTCAAGTGCTCTATATGCTGTCTCAAAGATTCCGCGTTGTTGGGGGTCCATCCCAGCCGCTTCAGCAGGGGTTATAGAAAAGAACGGTGCATCGAATGCTCCAAGATCTTCCTTAATAAAGTGTGCCCCTCTCATGGAAGGCTATATCCAGTTGAGCTATTATTACTTACAGAGTAAAGAAGGAGGAAAGAAAGTAAGGTGGGAATGAGTGCTTACGGTTCCTTGTCTATCACCTATTGGATCATGGTGCGCGTCTATATTCATTCTATCGCTGGGAAACTCTGTAGAAACATTCCGGCCTTCAAGCAGCATGCTCCAGAATGACTCTGCAGTGGTAGCATCTTGGGGAAACTTGAGGGAGAACCCCACGATTGCAAGGGGTTCGAGAGCATCTCGTCCTGAGATATCTACATCCCTATATTCTTGTGGGTAGCCTAGCAACGTGGAGGGTAAGGTAATGGGTGAATCTGCAGATTGGGAGTCCGACGAATTGCTTACACTACATGGCGACATTTCTGAAAATGTGAATAATCAACGAAAGTCTGGAGTAGAGTTTATTGGATTATCATGAGAATGGTTGTGGAGTCCGAGTCCTCACTGAACGAACTGGCTGGGAATAGAGGTACAGGAGCGGTTTATAAAAATACCGGAATAGTTGCCTCGATATCCGTTATCCTCGAGCCCCCTCGGCCTGCGATTCCCGGTTGAAATGTAATATCCACAGCCGCATGCTCCTCCGCGTTAGTAGATCCAAACCTTGCGTTCTTCCTCCTGATGGGGGCGGTACCATCTGACCGGGAGGGCGGTTGGTTTCAGGACCAACAACCGCACCCGATCGGCACATCGTACAGGCACGAATTGGAGTGGCGTACGACCAAATTTCGTTTATATTTAGGTTATAGGCGCCAGCCCAACTTGTGATCAGAATAGGGGCCTACATGGGCAGCAGGGTTATATGTTGTACCTCGCCGGTTGGGATGAATCTTGGGTTGAAACAGCTGATAGGCCTCCCTGCTTCGCACTGCGCCCCGATCCCTCCAGATGTTCAACACGCTAGTCTTAATAGTACTTTCACTTATTTTAGTATAAATCCATACTCCGTTCAGTTGCAGCTATGCATGGATTTGCAAATACTACACGAGCTTTGAAGATTCGTAGGAGTTGCTGTGGGCTTCCTATTCCTGACATTGCTCCGGGTGCTGTGGAACTGGTGGCTGCGTTCCGAGAGTACCAAATGCCCATCTACCCTTGTAGGGCTGGACGACCGAGGACCGACGTCGTCAGCCCGTACATAGGTAGCTATGCAAGCAGACGGCTTAATTAGATATACCATTACCCGATATAGAGGTGGCCCAGGTCATGCACACCTTGCAACTCCCTGTTCCAACGGTCAGTAAAGCCTTGATCAAAATAAGAAATTAAAGCTTAAATATATGAAATCTACTTCAAGACGTGTTCGACTTATAGAAGAGGCTAAGGTATGACTACTTATAGAAACCTTCAGCTGGTTGGTCGTCGTTGTACAAAGCTGGATGCAGCGGTGCTTACTCGTACTACCTGCAGTGAATGATGTATCCAACTGACTCATGTTTTTTTGCCTTCAACTACATGTCTTAGACTCAGAGGACTTTCCCTCTCTACCGAAGAAGGCATCTTTTGCGACTCCGACTGTGTGGGTGGTGGATGGACCCGGGGCCCCTCCGCAGGAAGCCTGACCTGGCAATACGAGTACATCGGTACGGAGCACGATGGCAATTTCCACTGGCGGATTTGCTATATGATGATCTGTCATCGGAGCGATCCTTTTATAGAAGCCGCATACTACAGGCTAAAGCAAACTGCGCCTAGCCGCATTCTTTCCACCCCGTCCATTTGGCAGCCTATAAAACGCAGTTATGTTGTTGGGCGACTATCAGCCGGTAGATGCAAAGTACGTACATGTTGCGAAGTGCGAAGTGCAAGTACCGATACGACGAACGACGAACGACGACGGGCGTTGAACGCCTCACAACCGCATGGGCCAGAAATCGGTCCGTCCGTCTCCGGACTCTGCTACGCCGCCAACCCAACAGCGGGTTTTATGACTTATCGTGCAGCCAGATTGCCAACGCCCCCTGCCGGTACTCGTGTTGGGCGGTGTTGGGTGGTCGCGGGCGCCCCCCCAACCGGCCGGTGGGTGCAGATCAAGATGAGCCTGTGATTCTTGTGGAACCGTTCATGTATACCGCAGTACAGTACGAGTAGCAGCTCATCCGTTGCTCCAAAGCAAAACAGAAGCTTGTTTCCATAATTTCGGCAGGATGGTTATGCACATCCATTCTTGAGGATCTGCTACTACGTACATACTGTCCAGCAAATTCGGTTTCCATCATGGGTAAAGAACTAGAGACAGACCCGTCTAGTACGAGCGCAAGCTTTAATGAAAAGCCGCTGGTAACAGATGCGCAGACTCAAGATGTCGAAGAAGGCGATTCTACTCCGCAGGTAGAAGAGGACACGAAAGTTTATCTCTCGGGATGGAGACTATACGTCGTCACCATCGCGTTCGTATTTCCAACCTAACTTTGATGATCGGTGGCTCTAATTTCCGCTTCTAGTTTGTGTTTAAGCATGTTCCTCCCAAACTTCGAAGTGTCAATAGTGAGCACCAGCCTTTTGACCATCACCAACGAGCTGAAGGGATTCAGCCAGAGCAGCTGGATCGTCGATGCGTATCTGATCACATATACTGGTAAATATTCTCTCCTACAATTTGCGAGCTCGGTTGCTAAGCTAGGACTCAGGCCTGCTGATATCCTGGGCCAAACTGAGTGACATATTCGGACGGAAGTTCTCACTCTTGGCATCCCTGGTGATTTTCATGGCCTTCTCTGGCGCGTGTGGTGGTGCCCAGACAATGACACAGCTGTAGGCGGCCCCTTCTGGATGCTAATGCAAACCCAGTGTATGTTAACACCGTGCAGGATTATCTTCCGAGCATTCCAAGGAATTGGCGGTTCGGGAATCTATGCTCTCGGAATGGTTATATTTTTTGAATTGGGCCCGGCGCGCAAATACACGCTTTATGCCGGATTGGTGACAATGACTTTTACTTTGGCACTTGCGCTGGGTCCCATTTTTGGAGGGCTCATCAATTTAAACGGAAGCTGGAGATGGGTGTTTTTACTGAAGTATGTTACGGCGAGCTTCTTTACTTATTCGACGAATATCTTTTCCACCCTTCCTTCTATTCTAGAAGTGCCCATGCTAAATCTAATTAACTTTCCAGCCCTCCTGCCGCGTTTGTAGCGATTATCGCCTTGGCGTTTGCATTTCCATCAACCTTTCCAGATATTAAGCCACCATCTACAGCACGAACTACAATGTTTCATTCATTCTCTCTCAAATCAATCCGAAAGGTTGATTTTCTAGGCACGGCATTGCTGCTAGGGGCGTCAATATTCCTAATCACGGCTTTGCAACAGGTGGAAAACTATGGAACATGGTCTTCTGCTTTAACAATCGCCCTTTTAGTCCTATCTGGCCCCCTGCTACTGGCATTCCTGGCTTGGGAGAGAAGAGTGACGAGCGAGGACTCGGTTACGGAACCTGTGTTTCCATGGCGTTTTGTGAAAAGTCGACAATGGATGGGCATGATAATGTAAGTGAATATGAAAGATTATGTCTTGATCTTTTATCAAAGACTAAGGATTTTGTCCCAATCTAATGCTTTCTTAGGAATACATTCTTCTGTGGCACCGTCTTTACGGTGTGTATTATACAAATCCCGCTGCGACTTCAAGCCGTCAATGGCTTTTCGACACTTGGCGCTGGCGTTCGCTTGCTCCCGTACGGGTTGCTTGTTCCCTTCGGCTCTTTCACTGCCGCAGCACTCACAGGCCCAGGCAAGAAAAGCGTTCCCGCGGTGTACATCATCTTGGCGGGTACAACGATACAGACGGTTGCAGTAAGCTTACTCTCCGTCTTACCTACAACTACCGCGTTCGCCAAGCGATCTCTGGCATTCGAAGCATTGGCGGGCTTGGGAACCGGGTTGTGCATTGGCAGCCTGGTCATGTTGACTCCACTGGTGTGTGAGAAACGAGATTTGGGTAAGTAGATATACCGGCCACAACCCAACCGCTTGCTGATGTTGCCCACAGCTGTCGCAACCGCGGCGATCAATCAATTTCGATTCTTGGGGGGCTCCGTAGGCTTGGCCATTGTCAGTAGCGCAATGTACAGCTGGACCCGGACGAGATTCCTCGGGATTTTGGCACCCGATAAAGTGGAAATCCTGGAGCAAACCACCCAATTCATCTCTGAATTCTCCCCAGAGGTGCAGGAGAAGATCCGAGTTATTTTTGCGGGGGGCTTTAATTTGCAGATGAAAATTCTGATTGGACTTGCGGCTTTGCAGTTTGTAGCTACGGGGCTCATGTGGAACAAGAGACCTATCAGATAATACTACAAGGCAAATAATACCCCAAAAATACTTAAGCGGAGACAAATATATCAAGTGTCTAATCTATAGGCCGACCAAGAGATAAATAAACTGGAACAGCTAACTGATGCTATTCTAAGCAACGACTTGGAGAGTCCATAGTACCAAGGTTTAGCGAACATGGAGGTAGATCTGCCAGTGAGTCGCCGACGGGTGGCCGACTAATGTACAACAACGGCCTTGGCTCCCTTATGGACCACTCTCTTGATAGCATGTACAGTGCTTGCCAAGTCTCTTGTCTCGCCCGGGACTTCGTGTCCTCCCTCGTGAACAAATTCTGACCGTACTGTCCCGTTGCACAGCTTGCTCAACGTTGCACTGGATCCCGGAAATAAAGTATCGTTCGTTCCCCATATGTGCGCTGTGGGAATGGGGATAACCTCGCCGTCAACATCCGCTGAGAGAGTGCGCAACTCGCCATGCAACAATACATCAGGATCGACTGGAACTCCCCCGGAAATAAATACGGCGCACTTGAAGATCGGGGAGACCTGCTGTTCCTGGGGGTTTTGTCGCCATTTCTGCACGAGTAACGTTGAAGCCAGTGCTGCGCCTTGCGAGAACGCGAGCACTGCATCGAACGGGCCTTCCGTTTTGATGTAGTTGTCCAGATCTTGGAGGGCTTGTTGGCAGGTCCGGACCAGGGAAGCGTCGAAATAGGCAAAGAATCTATCCGACGGGGCGAAAAATGATTTGATCTCTATTTACCCGTTCCCGATGTCAGTCGACCCGATACGATCCTGGGTATGCAGCCACAGCTGAGGAAGGATTCTAGAGCATCGCACTGGCGGTTACACTTGCCTGGGGCCATCGGGCAGGGAATCGTTCCTTCGACGAACTCGAACGAATGCTGATCGCCAAGTTCATATCGTAGCGCAGCTTTGAATGTAGATAAGCTCAAGTGTAAAGAAGCCCAGGAATGTGGCGTATTATTAGGTGAGCCTACCAGTTTGCATCTCGAAGACCTGGAAGATGCCGTTTAGTGGGGGTGGAATTTTGTAACAAAGGAAAACGGCTGAAGGATTACACATACTTGGTTGTTCGTACCCATGCCATGGAGGCAAAGAAAACGCATCTTGAACCGGAGTGCACCTAAAAGGGCGTAATATAATATATCAGAGAGGAGAGTGTGTGTGCATTGCTAAACAAGACGTATGGGAGGTCGAGGTTCTAATTTTATAGGTAGCGAACCATGGATCCAGCACACGAGTTCTGGATACTGAGGAAGTTTCGGGGTCCGGACTGTAATCCATATTGGGTGGAGAACACGAGGACTGGAAGGATTAAAGTGTGGGTGGTTATTGCAACCGCAGCTTATTGGGCACCCTTGCCTGCAGCTGCACTCATCCCCCGTGAAACCTTTGTTCCTCCTGGTATCAAATCCCACCCCGGCCACCCTCTTCTTTGTCAGTTAGCAAGATCATGGCCTTAAAGGTCTCCCGTCGCTCCACATCAATATCTAGAAATCTGACTCAGCACTGATTGCTTTGGCATTGCCTCTTGTTTATCGCCAGGAACTATTCAGATCAAAATGGCTTTCGAACACGCGACCGAGGGCGGGAAACGTGCCATATACTCTGCGATTGTGAGCTCGGTATTGTCTCTCGTGGTAGTTATACTTCGCTTTGTTTCGAAATTGTCAAACACCAGTCTAACTCTCGATGACTGGCTTATCCTTCCCGCACTTGGTATTCTGTTCATATCGATGGCCGTAACTATCTGGGGTAGGTCTTCAGATATCTGTGTTATAAAACGCCGTGTTAGTACTAATAACTAGTTTAGGAAACACATCAGTGTTAACCAAACATCCAGAAAAGCTCTACATAGTTAGTAACCCTTCTTGCCCGTTATTACCTATCAACGTTGGCAATAATTTACTTACAGAATATATAGTCATTGTTGATTAATTCCTKCTTATACCCTCTGATCACAACCTTGATCAAGTTGACCATTCTTGCTTTGTACCGTCGAGTGTTCTCCACGCCAAAATTCCGAAAAATCGTTACTATGGTTGGAGCCATAGCCATTGGTTGGGGCATCGCCATTGTTTTGGCCAGTGCAATGACTTGCATACCAGCGGATAAATTTTGGAAGCCTTACAAAGAAGGGCACTGTCTCGATTTCAACAAGTTCACGCTTGCAAATGGAATTTTGGAGATTATTATCGATACAACTATCCTTATTCTCCCGATCCCAATGATCTTGAGTCTGAAGATGTCGGCTCGTAACAAATTTGGTCTTTGCGTCATTTTTCTCCTCGGTGGTTTGTCAGTAACCCTAAATTCCCATTGGAGACCTCCAGACTGACGAGTACAGTGTCATAATTACCGGAGCGATACGTATCAAGGAGAGCTACGTCCCGAACAGTAAGACACAACATGGTAAGTTGGATCAACGCTTCTTCGGTCCCGACGGGATTCTAACAGTATCTAGTTGACTTCGACGAAGTTAATTTCTGGTCCTATATCCACGTCTGCACTGGGATCATCTGCGCTTCATTCCCCACATATCGTCTAGGGGCAGTGGTGGCATCCGCGGCCAATTTCGGCTCATCAATTCGCAAGAGATATGGGAGTTACGGGTCTACAAACAAGTCTGATGGAAGCCACTCGCGAGACACTACCAGAAGCAGAGGAGTCCCAGGAAGTTCAACAGAAAGATTCCAAGTCCACGACTACAATAAGCTGCCCGATTCTCAAAATTGTGTTAACCTAACGGATATCTCATCCACGGGAAGAAGCCAATCGCAGGACCAAGCACATAGTGTTTTCCCCAGGGACAAGGTGGTAGTTGCTCGGACGGTTGAAATTGTATAATATATGGTGAAATTTTAAGAACAGGGAATTTAAATACCAAAGGGGATGGATTGTCCAAGGAGTCGGAATGTATTATTGCCGCAGAGTATAAGGATCTTTGGCATCGTATGTGGAACTCACAATATTATTAGCTAGTATGCGACGTAAAATACTCAAAATTCAACTTCAACTCTACTGGTTCTTTCGTATAGCTGGACGTAACAAACTTTCCTAGCCCTCGAATTTACGTACAGAGAGGAGGTAACACCAACGACATCCAGGACGCCATGCTAAAACCACGATGCCAATGCCACCATCATACCAGGAACAAATGTAAGCATTTACAACAAGGGCAATTCTACAACAACGTAAAACGTGCGCGAAACTGGAGATGGGAAAACCCGCAGGATCACCGAGGTGTACATAGTAATGCCTCAAATACCCTCCGAATTACCTTCCTCCTCCATAAACCCCGCAGCGGCAAATGTCTGTACTGTACTGTACTGTACAAAGTATTGCAGTAAAAGACTTAGCCAGCCGACACAATGCAAGCAGTCGGCAGCATGTAATACGGAGTAGGAGATTCGCAATATACCCTGGACCTGGGGTCGTCGCCTAACAAATGCTGAAAAGGGGGGGTGCGCACGGAGTACCCAGTAACCGTAGCACAACGCCCTGCAGAAGCGCTAGAGCACATCATCACGGCTTACCCTGTTCCTCGGCGCTGAACAGAGAGCGCTGCAAGCGGGTGGCGCAGGCGGCACGGAATAGGCTGAGAGCTTGTAAAGTGGGGAGGGGGGGCCGCACGGGAGGGTGTATCGCGATTTCGGACTCCGACCTATCGTGTCAGAGGTAAACGACAGATTAATGGACATGGAGGGGCGTGGCGAAGATGTGTGGCATAGCAGCCGAGATGCAGAGGTATGATACACCATGCATAACGTCCTGGGCGCTGTGGATTCCTCCGGTACAAAGTCCTCCGCTCTGGGTGGGTGTATGGTGAATACGAACCACAATCTAATCTATTTTGCCAAAGAGCTCCAACGAAATCAAAGCCATAATTGGTGTTCCTTAGCGACCTGCCCCTAGTACAAATCCCACCTGGACTCCAGGTCGCTTATCGAATGTGGGACGTTGTTGATCGCCGTGGCTGAACGGTTCACATGCAGAACCCCATACTCGTATGACTGGAGATACTGTAAAAGTGCGCAGCAACACTGAAATCAGCAGGATTATGTCAAGTATATTGGTTAACATGTGATACAACAGTAGGGTCGTTTTTAATTAGCCACAGCTATTCCGTACTCAGTTAGGGGGTTGTCCAACAGTCTCAGGCGGACGCGTGTAGTATGGCCAGTGAAGTGGAGTTACTGTGCTGACTCTGACTCAGCGCCGCTATGCTGACACCGAATACCCCGGAGTAGACTAGTCAATGGGCCTATTCAAGTAGTACGGACTAAACAGAGGGCGGCCTTATTAGTTCAGGGCTTAGCGCTTCCAACTCGTACCTGGGGTGGAGTCGGAGCTAGTTGTTGGTCTACAGAAAGTGGAATCTATTCTCGCGATACCACAACGATGTACTCCTTCCACAACACCGCCCATCAACGCTTTCCGCAGACATCATGGCGTTGCCAAAAACCCCCAACGAATCGTCGGAGCCCATCGTGGTTTGTCCCCTCTCCCTATACAGCTAGATTTACTCAGCTAAACCGATCTCCTTTCCACAGATTATTGGAGGCTCCATTGCGGCCTTGATGTCCGGTATCGTCCTCACGCGACTTGGATACAATGTACGCGTGTTAGAGCAAAATGAGTCGTCAGTTCGGGAGGAGAAGGGTGCTGGCATAACTGTTGGGCCCGATGCGCAAGAGTTCTTCTCCAAATATGATCAGGTCCCAGGTCCATACGCCGTCCCATGCCCCGGGGTCAATTTCCTCGATGCCAACAGCAAAGTAAAGCAGTTTATGAAGCGCCCTATGCTTATGTCCACATGGAGTGCGCTTTATTATCGTCTACGGGCAAATTTCGACGGATACAAAAGTTCATTCTGCCCTGACCCACCTGCCTCAGCACAAAATCAAGGGAAAGCCGTCCTCCAAATGGGAGCTAAAGTTACCAACGTGGCAGATACGGATGGACAAGTAACAGTGACCTACATAGACAAGGCGGAAGGAACTGAGCATTCTATCAAGAGCGATCTGGTGATTGCCGCGGACGGTGCCAGCTCGGCCATTCGTCGGATTCTCCTTCCGGATGCCGAACCGCTGTATTCCGGGTATCTTGGGTGGAGAGGCCTTGTTCCGGAATCAGAGATGTCTGAGGAGTCAAGGGAAATTTTATCTCCAGAATTTACGGGATTCACCTACAAAGGCGGCTACATCCTTTGGTATGCCTGTGTAGGCCCAAACGTGGAGTACAGGGAATGCTAATTTCTTTAGTTACATTGTGCCAAGCAGCGATGGGAACCTCGAAGTTGGTCATCGACGTTTCAACTGGGTTTGGTACTCAAAGTCTCCTCCCCAGTCGTCTGCTCAATACGCAGAAATCATGACAGATTCCGACGGCTGGAAACATAGGAACTCGGTCCCAAAAGGGAAGATGCGAGAGGATGTTTGGAACGCACAACGAGAATACGGAACCAAGATTCTAAACTCGGTATTTGTTGAATTGATCAACAAGACCAAAGAGCCCTTCTTATCCGTTATCCAAGACTTCGCCGCGCCACAAGCTTCGTTCTTCGATGGAAAGCTCTTGATGCTAGGAGACGCACTGGCAGTCTTCCGCCCGCATATGGCTTTGAGTCTTAACCAAGCAGCCGTTGATAATCTGCTTTTGGAGAAACTGATAAAGGGTGAAATCACGACGAAGTCTTGGGAAAAGCAGGTGGTTCAATATGGGCGGCGGAATCGATTGATAAATATCGCCTTTGGCAATTTCTATCTCTATGGAGGGTTGACTTTCGCTAAGAGTGTCGTTGCTTATCTTCTGTCTTTGCTTCCGTTCCAGTCACTGATCTTAGCTGCGCAGAGGTATTTTCGGCGGTAGATTAGGACAATTATAATTGTGCGCGAGCTGTTTCATTAATTTTATTCCATAAGCTCCGTCGAGTGACGCGGATGGTTTTACGTAGATCTATGATGTACAATGTGCCTGTGTCAGCCTTGTGGGATTTACTACGAAACTCTGTGCAGCTTTTCGATTGGATCGTTGCGGTCGGACTCACGATACTACGTACAGAATTTCAAGCGAGGGGCTGCTGCCTAGGTATGAAGGCATGTTTGGAGTCAAGCCTTCGACTGGTATAAATGCAAGCTCGGAACACTTGCTTGCCCTCCTTTGTTTTATGGTACTTCGGCACTATCCGTTACTATTCACTTTCGCATAACTCAAATCCTCATTCTAAATCTCAAAATGACACGATTCGAAATGACGCTCAACGGCACTGGCACCGCCATCCATGTCGCCGAGAGAGCCATCCTCTTCCTCCACGCCCAATCCGAGCAACTTCCCACACCAGCAGAAGCCTCGGCCGCAGCGACTGCCAGTGCCAATGCCTTACGCGACATGATTGCCCCATATTGTCCGCAGGATGAAGCCACTGGTCACACGGTCCCGGGTGCCGCCGTATCTCACTACTCGATGACCACACTTGACACGAGCAGCCATCAACACCGCAGTAAGACCGGCAGTTTGACTGTTCTCTACAGCGCCCGCGCAGAATTCAGCATCAAGTTCCACGACTTTGCTATACTCAACAAAATCGCCACTCGCGCCTCCGCCATGGAGCACGTCAAGGTATCCCGCGTCGACTGGGCCCTGACCGACGAAACTTCCGATGCCATCAAAGGCGGAGCACGGAAGCGTGCGGCTGAAGATGCAATTCAGCGCGCGTGGGATTATGCAGAGGTGTTTGGGAAGATCCCCCCGGCGGAGCTGGAGGCGAGAGTTCTCCCCGTGAGGGTGACCGAGCAGAGCTTTTATTCGAAAAGCACAAGACCGCAACTGCACTATGGGAAGGGAATGAGAGGCAGTAAGACAGGGAGAGAAGAGCTGCAATTTGAACCAGAAGATGTCAAACTAGAAGCGACTGTGACTGCAAATTTCGTTGTGGAAATATGATTAAGGAGAACGAAGCTGCAAAGAAAATATACAACTTTATAACAAGACATGCTATGCTCGTAGAAACCTCTCCAGCCGCCAGGTAATACCAAAGTAAGGAAGCACAGTCTTGTTCCCTGCTAAAGTTCCTAAGTCCATTGTTTAACCAATGTACTCAATTACCATGTAGGTTATCACCAATGCACATCAGTGCAATTGCAAACGAACTACTTACAAAGCTGAGCACTAGACCGAGATACTCGGTATTCTTCCACTTGCAATACTTGGGCCCTAATACCGAACGAAGTTCCAGCCAAGTTTTTGGTGTCGAAAGGGACTGTTCCTTTGTATGGTGGCAGGAGATGATCGTGTCGCTGACTCCGATAGTGGTATTCAGGGGACGGGGAACTGCTACTAGCATCCCGCATATCGAATCTCAGAATCCGCCCACTCTGGGGCTTTCTCACCAGCAATAACCAGCCATGTACCGTAAGCCCCTGAGAGCCCGTAGTACTGGGAATGAGAGGCCTAAAGGCATAGAATGGTAACATCCAATACCACATGCAAAATGGCGATCTTAAAGCCTCCTATTTGCCGCTACAAATTCAACTTCGTAGTATACGAACACATAGCCTTAATTTGTTAAGCACCTATTCAACTTTTCTCTGCTATAAGATGTAATACTCAAGTTCACATAATACTGTTCTATAATATCAGTTGGCAAATGGTTCAATGTGGTTTTGTTAGATAATTAAGACCAAATTGGCATATAAAAGACAAGGCAGTTGATTAGTTAAAATAGGCTATAGAATTAAATCAAGTGTATTAATTAACCTCCTTATATTAAGAGGTAAAATTCAGCTATATATAAGTATATAGGTTAAGCAATTAAAACGAAATATCCATAGTAATTCTAGTATTATCGAGACATTAAATAAGATATACTATTATAACCAGCTGTACAAATTATGATAAAGTGTAGCAATTGTCTTTAGCCATATTATTTAGAGTGCATACATTAGAATTGCTGTTAGTTATCTTAATAAATATATTAATCTAAGTAGAAGTGTATTCGGTACTTTATAAGTGGCTATTGAGTACCTTAAGCATTCCAACAGATTTCAAAGTCCGAAAGAAAACAGTACAAATCTTAAGAAGTGTCATACGAGACGAAATGCAACCATTTTAGCAGGTATGTTATCCCAGGGTATAGGAATACACCGTCCGGTGCCTTTTCTAGGCAAGGTATCATTCATGCAAGACTAGGAAATACCGGCGCGATACTCTAGCTATATCGAGGGTTGTCCTTCACCAGAGCTTATTCAAGTTGTATTATCTCAGTGATTGACCCTGCCTGAAGCTCGCGCTTTGTTGTCGTAGAATTAGCTTAAAAGTATTGCTATATAACGTGCACCAAGCTGCAGATATTGATTCCTCTAGAAGTATGACCACCGTGCTCTTTATACCAGAGGCGCATATCCGTTCAGCGCAAACGTAACCAGTTTGCCTGGATCAGCTTCGAGAATTTTGGTATAGGTCTCCAAATCTTCTATTCTTTTCTCAGTAATCTCATAATCATTCGACCACTCTCCAAAGCGATTTCTATCCATCACTACACCTAAGGCTGCTGCAGGATCGTCCAAGCTGTTAAGCCATCGCTTCAAGATTCTATAATAGGGTCGCCTTTTCTCAACGTCCAACTCCATGATTTCTTGAGCGGTAGGAATTCTTCGTAGCAATTGTGAAGAAACGCTATCATTTTTCACTATCTTTTCCCACGAGTATTTTTTCTCAGTAAAACGCTCGATTTCGCCAACGGCATACCAACCGGCCCGAAGGAGTAGGTTGAACGTGGAAATCTCGAAGTCAACGAGTCTCTTCCAGAATGCGAGTAGCTGCCTTCCCAGCTCTTCCTTCCCGACAGACGTTTCAAAGCACCGGTTGCATCGCCACTCCTCGAAATGCGGCCCATCCCAATCATCCTGCCGCCACATATCGGGATCCGCTGGTGTTGCTTTAACCCCGTATCCGCTGCCTTTTCGGAATGCTGCTCGTTCCTGCCAAATGGCACAACCAGGACAACGGATGGACCATAGTGACCACCAGTCACAATTTCCCTCGCGGTAGATTTTCCACCTCGACGGGTACTCTGTATCAGCAGCGATGGGGAACAGGTCCCAAAAATATCGCTCGGTAGAGTCGTGACATCTTCGCTGCCGACCTTTGACCACGGGAACACCAGCAGTGCCTACATTTGAGTTTCTGTGTTTACCCCCCCAACTTTGGCTCTGATTACCTGCATTTCTAGACCAGAAACCGGTGATGAATTTACATTCGTTGCAGATACGTCGATTGCGAGTAGTGCCGATTTTGTAAAGCTCTAGCAACTTCGATTCTGGAATGCCGGAAGAGGAGTTTTGCCAGATCCAATTCGTCAGCGTATCATTCCGGAGGTCAGCTTGTCTCTTTAAGCCCCGTGCTTTTGCACCACCGCTCGTCCAACCACAGAGCTGTTGACTGGCTCTGGATTCAGGGGGTGGTTTCCGGAATCGGAGGCGGAGGAGTGCATGATTGTCGAAGTGGGTATGAGGGATGATTTTAAGGCAGTGGATACAGGCGTATGAGACTGTCCCCGAGGGAATGATGATTTTGGCGTGTTCGTTGATGGTCACTTCCCCGCCATATTCTGGGAGGCACTCTAGTTCAAGGAGGCGGTTCACAAATTGGTTCCTTTGGGGATCTATGAGTTGCCGGAAATGTCGATTGGTTTGGGAGAGTGAGATGAGAGAAGTCGAGGTAAGGCAAGGCAAAATTAGAACTTGTATGTCGGTAGGTAATAAGATCATTGCGTGTACTCGAGTAGTGACTGTAGTCGATGTTCAATTGGGGGGTAGAGCTTGATAGAATTGGCGAAAGGTTTATGTTTATCGTGTATAAGTTATCGTGATGGAACTGGCTTGTATTATAGGCAAGATGCTCTCCAGGAGGGATACCTTATATATAGTGGAAAGAGGGCGCTAGGTCCGAATAGGAACAAAGATCGAGGAAAGCAACAAACAAGGACTTCTAGCGGGAGGCTCGTGTATTAGGGCAAACTGCAAACGGTGGATCTGGAAGGAGGCCCGTATCGGAGGGCCAAGATATAATGACCTTTGTAAAGTTCAATGTTCGGTCTGAATCATCTAGCCGCGCTTGGTGGCGGAGGTGGCTGAGTTGAACCGCTCACGTGATACCCGAGTTGTGCCCTGTACTCCAGGAAAGCAACCTTTTATCAAACCTAGTGCGTTCCTGCAGTCTTTTTATTGTAGCTTATCTTATGATGGTTCTGTAGGAAAACAAACGGTTGATAGAAAAGAGAGACGCGGTGGGCGCGATTTCGGTGTTGAAAGCGGTGGCGGGCCCGTGGTCGCTCTGCCAGCTGTGGCGGGGATTACTCGAGTACTATTGGTTTTCAGCCACTTCTGATGACTTCACAATGAGAATTACAAAGTACCACCCCGCCATCCCACTTCAAATCAACACAAACGGAGGCTTAAGCTCCCAACACAACGCAACGCTCTTGAAGATGAAGCAAAGATTTTCTTCCTTAGATGTCAAAGTAGGGTTTCCAGCATCCCGCCCAACCCTCTCTATCCGCCACCAATAGCTAACTGTTCTAGGTCATAGCCCACGAACTATCGAATGCCCTCACCACACTTCGAGTCGCGAACATCTATGACCTCTCCTCGAAAATCTTCCTCGTAAAATTTGCAAAGCCCGATAATAAGCAACAAATCGTTATCGACTCTGGGTTCCGATGCCATCTGACCGAATACGCTCGAGCGACTGCCGCCGAGCCATCAGACTTTGTGAGGCGGTTACGGAAGTTCTTGAAGACACGAAGAGTCACATCCGTATCACAAATAGGCACAGATCGAATCATTGAGTTTCAATTTAGCGATGGCCAATATAAACTCTTTCTAGAGTTCTACGCATCTGGAAATGTGATCCTTACGGATAAAGAGTTAAATATCCTCGTCCTTCAGCGCATTGTACATGAAGGAGAAGGGCAGGAAGAGCTTCGTGCTGGTCTGAAATACTCACTAGAGAATAGACAAAATTACGGCGGGATTCCCGAGCTGACGACGGAGCGATTACGGAATGCGCTGCAGAAAGCTGTCGACAGGGGGGAAGAACAGCCCGTTGCTAGGAAGAAAGGAAAGAAGAATTCTGCTGATGCTTTAAGAAGAGCTCTGGCCGTTTCAATCACAGAGTATCCGCCTATGTTGGTTGATCATGCAATGCGGGTCACGAACTTTGACTCGAGCGTCAAGCCCGCCGAGGTACTGCAAAGCGAAGTGCTACTTGGTGCACTCATGCGGTCATTACAAGAAGCCAAGAGAGTGATTCATGAAATTACAAGCTCAGAGGTCTCTACGGGTTATATAATCGCGAAGAAGAAGGAAGGATATGAGAAGTCGCTGGATGCAGACGACATCGAAACTGGCTTGATGTACGATGATTTCCACCCCTTCCGGCCTCGCCAATTCGAAGGTGGGGATGACACAGTATTCCTGGAGTTTGAAGGATTCAATAAGACTGTTGATGAGTTCTTCTCTTCAATTGAGGGCCAGAAGCTAGAATCGAAACTGCAGGAGAGGGAATTGACTGCCAAAAGGAAAATTACAGCTGCCCGGCAAGATCAGGCTAAGCGGCTCGGTGGATTGCAAGAGCTTCAAACCATGAATGAGCGCAAAGCCGGTGCCATAGAAGCCAATGTCGAGAGAGTGCAAGAAGCTATGGATGCTGTAAATAGCCTCATCGCGCAGGGCATGGATTGGGTTGAGATTGGCAAGCTCATTGAAGTAGAACAGACCCGAAACAATCCAGTTGCATCTATTATACAATTGCCATTAAAGCTCCAAGAGAACACGATCTCATTATTGCTAGATGAGGAAGCTTTTGGTGACGACGACTCAGCGTACGAGACAGACAGTGATGTCTCGGACAGCGAGGATGAAGAGGCCAGGAAGCCAAAACCGAAACAGAAAAGTGTGGAACAGAGGTTGACTATCGATATCAATCTCGGACTCTCTCCATGGAGTAACGCCAGGGAGTATTATGATCAGAGAAGATCTGCAGCGACGAAGGAGCAGAAGACCCTTGAATCATCAACAAAAGCGCTCAAGAGCCAGGAGGCGAAGATCGCTCAAGATCTGAAGAAAGGGCTAAAGCAGGAGAAGGCTATCTTGCGACCTGTTCGGAAACAAATGTGGTTTGAAAAGTTTATCTGGTTCATTTCGTCGGATGGGTATCTGGTCCTTGGTGGGAAGGATGCTCAACAGCATGAAATGCTATACAAGAAGTACCTGAAGAAGAGTGATGTGTATGTCCATGCCGAGATAGAAGGCGCAACTCCAGTCATCATTCGCAACATTTCGAAGGATTCTAGTGCGCCTATTCCTCCATCTACGCTATCACAGGCTGGAAACCTAGTGGTGGCATGCTCAAACGCTTGGGACTCGAAGGCCGGCATGTCAGCTTGGTGGACACACGCTGATCAAGTCTCAAAATCCGCACCTGGAGGGGGTTTCCTCCCACCGGGGAGCTTTTCTATTCATGGAAGTAAGAATTTCCTTCCTCCGGCTCAGTTATTGCTTGGGTTTGGAGTCGCTTTCCAGATCAGCGAGGAAAGCAAGGCAAACCATGTGAAACACAGAGTCCAGGACCTACCGAACGAAGACCCGGCTGCAGAGAGGATCCGTGCAACTCAACCCAGTGCTGAGGATGTTGAAGCCGATCGGGAAATAGATTCCGCTGATAATGAGAACCTTGGGGTGGATCGAGAAGAACAAGAATCGGATGAGGAAGGCCAAGGTCCAAGACTAAACCCCCTACAAAATCGATCTAAAGACTTGCTCCTCAACTCAGTCGGCCACGAAAGCCCTATAACCCAGGACATGGCCACAATTCAAATCAGTGAACCCAATCCAGTAGAATCTCTACAACAGGATGACAGTGATCCTGAGGATGCTAACGAAACGGAAGCCCAGTACTCAACTGGGGCACAGACTCCGAGCCAGCAAGGCAACAATACGAAAGACGCTCCACTCAAACGAGGCAAAAAGGGGAAGGCCAAGAAGATCGCAAGGAAATACAAAGACCAGGATGAAGAAGACCTCTTGGCCGCTCAACAACTCATCGGTGCCTCAGCTGGCTTGGAAAAGGCGCGGGCAGAAGCCGAGGCAAAGGCAAAGCGAGAAGCCGAGCTTGCTTTCCAGAAAGAGCGACGAAGAGCCCAGCATCAACGGACACAAGAAGAGACCGCTGCCCACGAGGAGATGCGCAAGATGAATCTAGCACACGGGGTAGATGATTTTGATGATCAGGAAGAGTGGCAGATGACTGCCTTGGATACCCTCGTCGGCACACCACTAAGGGGTGATGAGATATTGGAAGCGATCCCCATCTGCGCCCCTTGGGCTGCACTGAGCCGATTCAAGTATAAAGCGAAGTTACAACCAGGGGCTCAAAAGAAGGGAAAGGCCGTCAAGGAGATTGTGGGCAGGTGGTTGGCTGATGCTACGTCGAAGGGGAGGGTTGATGAACGGAGTGAAGACCCTGAGCTCATGTGGCCAAGGGAAGTGGATCTGGTGAAGGGCTGGAAGGTGGAAGAAGTCACTAATACTGTCCCCGTCAGTAAAGTGAGGGTTATGATGGCTGGTGGGTCAGCAGGCGGCGCAGCAAAGGGCGCTCAGGGGAAGCCAAAGGGCTCGAAAGGTGGGAGTGGCAAGGGAAGTAAAAAGGCACGATAGAACTATATGACAATAGAGTAAATGAAAGATCAGCTTGCTTTTTTACCGGTTGATTGTAACCTTCGCGGTCAATGGTTTTGTGTGTGTGATACAAAACAACGAGCTAGGTGAACGTTTTCGGGTTCGGGATATCAAGGACCGTTACACACCAAGGGCAATTGGGCAGAGATGACGACGACTATACATCAACTCTTTCGTAAGTTCAAGCCTCTCTATCTACGTAGGGTCGACAAAAGCCCAACTTCCTCCTATTTTGGTAATTGAAGAACATATAGCGTGGCTACGAATCACAGCATAGCACCAAGGCACCATCAACTATTACTCCACGTTGTTGGGGACGATAGATCCTGGTATTGCAGACTCAGCCACCAGGGCTCGCCGAAACTCGCATTACCGACGACCACTCCCATAACGATTTGTTTCAGCTCTATGCAGTCTTCGGGGCTACGGTCGTCTCTGTGTCCATTAGAAGTATGTTTCGAGCCATATAACAAGGTTTATTCACAAAGCTGCCATAATCCAGGTCGCGGACGAATCAGTGTACCACATATGCAAGATCAACTCACCACATACGTAGAAATACCTCAGAAGTTGTACATTACAAACCACTTACTGTGCAACCACCCACCTGGTGAATTGTCCGGAACAGCGGATACCTAAGGGCAGGCTGCCATCACATACGTAGAATCAAGCCTCAATAACAACATTTATGCACATAATGCTAAGCACATCGAGGCAGATTAGAACAGCGCTTCGCAGGAAATATGGACACGCAACACTCGGCGATAACTTCCAACCCAGCCGTTCCTGGCAAACCTTCTGCTGTGTCGTACCAGATACCATCACGAAGCATGGGCAAGCTCGGGAACGCGTCAACAGGCACACGACAACCGCCACATCTGAAACTTTCAGGGTCGTCCGCTCGACAACGGACCTCCAGCTGAGCCCAGCCTTCTGGAGTATAGAGTACTTCATATGTAGCTAGGTTCCCTTCAAAATGGCATCCCCACGAAAAGCAATACTAGGTAGCCTGAATTTTCAAAGCACAGGTTTGAAGGATATTTCTTGCCAACCTCTCATCATGAAGTCTCAGCTTTTCTTTGCCGTTATCTGTGCTGTGATAGTTCCAAGCTATTGCGCTGCTAAAGGAGAGTTCCCTCCTTGCGTGGTAGGCCCTCCGCCGTAATCTCTGGCAAGTGAAAATGTTAACAATAATATAAGGAAACATGTTTCAACAAGTTGAAAGCAGATCGGGCTGGCAGCGCCGGAGCTGGGTGGTACTGTCACCATGCCATCGATTCAGACCTCAAGTCGTGTGTTTCTTCGTCGAACTGTCTGGACTCGGATAAGAAAGGTCAATCGGCGAAACCCAAACCAAAATTGATGGCGAAAACACCAACTAACGGTTTCCCATCCAGACATACATAAAAACATCGACCGTGTCTGCGCAAAAAATAAAGCTCATGTGACACTAGCACCTGAAGTCACCCCAACTATACTAACAGGTAAGCCTCACGAAGGCTTACGCAAAAGGGGGTGGAATCCAGGGGCCAATGGAGGTCCATGGAGCGGGAGCGGACCTTGGAGTGGCAGCGGACCATGGAGTGGAAGTGGACCATGGCCGACGACTGGTACTTGGTCAGGCAATTGGGGCCCGGGGGCAGGTCCTTTTGGAGGCAACTGGGGCCCTTGGGGTTCAACAGGACCCTGGACAAATGGGCGATGGACTTCATGGTGGGGAACAGAAGCATGTCCTGGTGCAACATGGAGTGGCTGGACAAGTGTAAGCATACCACCTTTTCTTAAGAACCGTATTATCAGCCCCATATGCCTCCAAATTATCACAGAGCAGCTACTTCCCATCTTTTATCGTCTTCCGAAACCCCTAGAACTAGGGATGCTGATTGAATATCTTCAGGGCCCTTGGTCGACCAATGCACCGTGGACAAGGTAAGAGTTATCAGGCTCTATATCCCTCGACTGGAAGGAGAAGTGCTGACTTCGATTCGTCTAGCTGGTCGGCATGCACTGCAACCACTACAGCAACCACCTCATATACCACCACAATAGAGGGTGGCAGCGTCGTAACGGGCACAACATTCGGAGTGAAAGTTGCAGAGGTTAGCGCCAAAAGTGCCGGATCAAAGGCTCCCAACCCCAGTGTACTGAGCTTGATGGCGTTTTGGCTAGGTTTTGGTGCTTTCTGCTGGTTTTGGTAATTCGGGTGCAACGGTCTCGAGGATTCCCATAGCCAACATGTGCTGCGGATGCAGTCTGCTATCGGTTGAAGAGTCAACTTAACTGTCATAGGTCGTGAGTGTAGACATCTCAAACCGCAAAGAATGGCACTGCCTGGGGTCGTTGGTGGTTGGTGTGGTATACTTGATTCTAAGCGTGGTCTGAAACTCGCAAACTCGATACTGTGGTAGTACCAGATTAATATCATGTTTCTCGACTGCCTTTGACCTAACATGACGTTTTATATGCGAGATGTTTGGTGCACGATGCCAACGACTTCAACCAGGGCTGGATGGCGGATTGTGATGTGGCGAGGAACCAAGAAATCGGCCCACCTCAGTAAGCTAACATAACGTTACTCGTTCCAAATTGTTCCTATCTCAAGCAAAGGATTCTTAGAAACCAAAATATAAGGGTATCAGCCAGTTAGGCAACCTCCAGCACCGGCATCACAAGTCATGAATGTTCGATAGCTCGCGGCCGGATAAGGTCGAAAAACGCTCTCTATCTCCCAAGCTGTGGGGTTATAAGAACCCTAAAATCAACATCACTAATCAAACAACGATGACAGATGCAAAGTATACGGCTCCAGCCATAGAGAGCTGCCTCAATTATATATATCATTTTTTTTAATGAGTTTTTAACCTCGAGGGAAGAATTGGCCTCTAACTATATGTAGATCCTAAGTCTTGCCGACGTGATAGAGAACTGGAATTCAATGCCAACACTTGGGCGGTGATACCTGCAGGCTATGTTCTGAAATGGGAACGGATCAAATTGTTGATCTTAGATAAAGCAAAAATAAATCTCGTGTTGCATACACGAGAAAAGGGTTAGTGTACAACATGTACACTAGAGTGTTCTCTTTTATATCCCCTCTTGTTTGTAACCCACTTAACCCATACTAAACCTTCTCTTATCTGCAGCAACATGAGTGGCAATATGGCACCTGCAAGTGCACAAAGCATAATACGCTCGTTTACTCTTCGTTGGGGATCCTGTTTGTTACACTTAGCCGACATTCGAGCAAAGATATTACGCCAGTTATGAGTTATATTCACCTTTGATAGTCTCACAGCCTCCATAATGCACAAACCAATAGCAACGGCTGACATTGGGACACCCACGATAGCTAATGCCCCAATACAAGAGGTGATAAGGAAGGCCGTGGTCGCAATACAGTAGTTCTCGATATCTTGCGCTCGGTCGATATAACCCAAGGCCCTTGAACCAACGTTTCCAGGCGCTGCCAGTACGCGCACAGTGGCTGCGTAGCCTAGCAGCCCAAGCCAATATATCATCTGCGAGCGTAAGTGTTCAAGTCCAATTGATAAAGGGTTGGAGAAACAGCATTCCAGGTCCGTAACAAAGGGGGGTGACATAACATACATAAATAGCGATCAGAGCATGTCTCTTGTCTGCCACCGTCATAAAGGAATTTGGAGGAAATTCCATTCCCTTCTTTTTAAGCTGTGACGGTATAGGGAGCCCTGAGCGCGTGACGCTACCGTGCTCCTTTCTTGACTCATTACATTTATATCCCTCGTCGGCGTCCGGCATTATTGGCAGCTTCTGTGCTCGGTCGTAGCTCTTCGAATACCTTGGCTAGATGCGCTGATATATATCTCTCTCTTGCGCCTCGGCTGCTGTAGGTGATGTCTGTTGTCTGCCTCGCCGCGATCTTTTTGTTTGCCTGTTTCATCAAATAGCCTTCCAGTCAGCCCGGTAAGACATCCGCCCGCAATCCCTGCGTTCTCAGCCTCATTAAATTTCCCAGCATTCATATCAAACGCCTCAACAGATATCTTTATTTGATAATCTAACTTACTACTGACTACCGGTAGCGCTCACTAACTGGATGCCGTTGAGGAAAAGATACGTTCTTGGTCATTCGCCAGCTATGTCCGTTCGTCATTCCAGATGCTCCACTACCTCAAGACTCCCAACCCCACATACAATTAACATTGAACGAACCATGACCTCATCAAATTAGTCAATTAATTAAATCAGCCAGTTTATCCACTGAATTTTAATTAGTCAATTATCCTGAATCTGTGTCCGCAGTTATTTACAAGTCACGCACTTATCAGTCACAGCCAGGTCACCGATGGCTTAATTCGACTAGTGAAGGAGTGACGAGGAAGGTAAGACTCACATTCGTATAAATGCTTCGTGGTGCTCCTTCTCCTTACAGGAGGTCATTGGATGGCGGCAGCAGGATTGGGGATGCTTCGCGCCACGGTGGCGGGCGGCAAGGCAGCGACTAGAGACTTGCATGAACTAGGCACCTACTGAAACATTAAGTACCTAGGTACACAGAAAGCATTGCAACTTCAAGATGTTTAGGAACAATAAAGTGTCCTACCTGCGAGCAATTTGACGCTCTTAAGACCTTTCCTGCCCACTGTAGTAGATATCTTAAAAGGAAAGAGACGATAGTATGGACAGGGGACTGTAAAGTATGAAAGCAGGTAACCAGCCCTTTACACCATTTCCTTAGCCCTAGCGTTACTCACCTTCCTCCCATCTAGGTCGCCTTACTCGCTCTGCTCACCCTGCTTATCTCACCTGTAGGCATTTAATGTTGCGGTATAACGCGTCTTAAATACAGACATCTTTTAGAGGTTGAGGTGGTCGCCTCCACATAATAGAGGCAACGGCATCAAAGCACACCTGCTAAGCTAGATGGCACCAATTTAACTATTATCCAGAGGATTGCCTCAGATCGGCAGATTAGTAGTTAAGTGGGTGACCACCAGCAAATACCTGTTGTTGTATGTTTTTCTTTTGCTTCTTTTTCAATATTGCCTTCTGTCATTTTTTGAAATGCTGTAAACTCCCAGCATTTTAAGACATTGTCCATAACGAGAATGCTGGAAAGGGGTTTAAGTGCGCTGAGTAGAGATGATCGGCGCTGATGCCTGCAATACCAGCATAACCATGCACACTAGAGCATCAAAAACACCGAGCCTCAATATAAATTAGGGTACCAGGAAAATCTTAAGCGTTGAAGCGTTGATATGGGCGTGTGCAAGGTAAAACCATCGCATCTAATCAGGCAATAGCGAGGATATAGAGCTAGTATCCGAGCCCTCATATTTCGGATCTATATTAGTTTTTGCAGTTAAAACTTTCTGTTGGGTTTCACTTACTCCACTTGAACATTCGATTAGCCTTTGCCATCTTTGATAGAAATTCAGGGTCATTCTCAGGTGGTATGACAATGACTAGCTTCACCAGACTAGTGGAGGCGGAGGTGGAAGTAGAGGTGGATTATGCGGCCCATAGTGCGTCGGTTCAACCATAGGCCACAAGAGCATGGTAATAGACCAATCTGGCTGGATCACCGACTCCCAAGCGGAAGGTCGGATTCTTTCTCCATTTGGTCCTAGTAAATCATATTGACCAGAAGCAACATGGGTTCCTATGACGTCCACGTGTACGAATGCTTGTTTGATGAGTTCCTCCATTCCCTAGAATAATAATTAGCATGAGGCGATAGAAGGAACTGCTAGGAATATACTCACCGCCCACGTCTGAGCGAGATGGAAGGGAAACGAGAATTTCCGCCCAACGACGTCTTTAAATCTAATTGGCTTATATACTTTATTATTAGACATATATTTATCAACGACTCTCTCCAGATCGGATATCAGTTCTAAATCGTAGCATTCCTTTCGTCTTTGCGCCTTGATAAAAACTTCAAATCGAGTGAACAGTTCGATTACTTCACTTGGGAGGGGCAGACACGATGGTTGGGGCTCGGACTCAGGTTCAAATTCAGAGCCTTGTGATTCCTCATGGATTTCGTCCTCATTAACTTCAAAATCTGGTATTGGTTGCTCGCCGGCCTCTTTCGTGACAGCAGAATCCGATTTTCGTTGCTGATCTAACAACATTTGAGCGAGGCGCTGTTGAGCCATCATCTCTTCTAGTCGAGCGAATCTTGCGTCTAGTTCTGAAGGTTTCGCGGCTCGTGGAGCTCCGCGCACTGCGGTTGACGTCGAGGCGATATTATTGGGGAAGCACTCCGGCTGCTCTTCCGCAAGATGAGTATAGGATGGCGGAGGTGGGGTATTCAGAGTTGGAGTGTCCTGGTATTGCGCAACGTGACTAGGCATTCGCTCGTAACTAATCAAGAAGCTATTAGCATCTTAGATACTGTGACAGGACGCTTTACTTGCAACTTGGCTGTAGCAATCAGCACTGAAATATTGCTCAATTTGACATGCAGATTATCCCTCAGTGCTTTCAGTTCTTCTTTCTTGAATAACACCCAGCCCATCTTTTTCCAGCTATCTGGCATAGCGGTTGCAGATCCTTTCCACATAACCTTTCCCGATAACTCTTCGTTTTTTCTAAAAAATCGCCGATTAATCCAATCGAGAGCACAATGTGCGAGGCTGCATTTATGGTCACGGGGCTAAGGTTTGGATTCGAAGACATTCGACCAACCTGCAAGAAGGTCTGTTGTAGACACACGAGTTCAACGATTGCATCTTGATACTCTAAAGAAGCACCTCGGCTCCCCGATAAGGCTTGGATCAATTGGTAGCTTAGATTAGCACCCGCGATGAAGTCGCCAATAGAGTATCCGAACGACATTTCTGCGACCCAACACCACCACTAGTGGAAGACACAGAACTGAAAAACAACTGTGCAAAGAGCGGATCCAGGTTAGCAGACGTTCTTCGGTACAGGTGGAGGATCGGAAGCAATTATTGTGCAGATAGAAGATGAGCAGAACTAGCAGTAAGGTAAATTCTGAGGGTGTTTTTTTCAGAGAGGAGTTTAACATAGCTTTGGAGCCAACTACATCCACAACGATACTTTGTAGCACCGCCTTGCGGTATGCCCAGTGGACGAACGGCTGGCAAGCCCTAAAATACGTCGAATTCAGTGTGCATCGGATCCGCGGTCATTGTCTTACCGCATGACTTGATATACACGATGATAACGAATTAGAATATGAGGTGCTAACGATTCAGCGTCGCATCAGGCAGCAAGAAGACCAGAGGCTGAAAATTGTATGGGATACTGTTACCGCACTACAACGTCAATTCATGATGGCATTTATGGCATCACTTTGGACGCACTTTTAGATCTCAAGAGCAGCATAGAGATATATTTATATAGCAAGCCGTTGTTTAAAAAAAAAGTAAGACTTGCAAGAGGACATGAGGACATGAGTTAAACCAAGCGCCACCACGGAGGAGAGAAGCTATCACACATTGCGTACACTTGTTGGATGTCAGGACTCGGCCAAGATTCTCCAGCCATGGGAGCATAAGGGGCGATGTCTTTATTTCGTCATGTTTCTGTACTCACTTGAGCACCAACATAGAGACGCTGATTTCCGTTTCCAGAGCGCGATCCATATATTTTTTGACGCGAAATCTCGTGATGGCGCGGTCAAACCGCCCCTTGTGGGGAAGGGAAGGGAAGCCGGAAATGAAATGTCAATACGAGGTAGCTCCACAGCCAAGAAGCCAGTGGCAATCATCGCGTTGCCATGGATACCAGCCTGTCTCTCGGTCTCTCGGTTTCCCGGTTCCCCATCTGTGGATCTCCCCCTTATTTTCCCACAGGCCTCGGCATGATGGTCGACAGCGCAATCTTTCGGGGGATTTCGCGATATCAATAATACTCCGTACTTGGTATGACTTTAGAGGCACGTATTACTCGTATTTCGTACTACGTACAGTACATACTGTAAGAAGTCTTCTGATGGGGAGTCCAGTTTGCAGCCGCTAAAGGACAGCCAGGCGATGGCTGGGCGATGAGAATCATGAGATGGGGGTGCATTGCCCAATCGCGGTCTCCCACGACTGGCTGTGCTATGCATGGCATGTTCTGGGGGCTGACGCTCAGCAACCAAATCCAAATCCAACTCCATCGAATTGGGCGCCGTGAAGCTGTGCTGCTCAGCTCCACCAGTTTCCATACTAGCATAGGCTGCATACTACTGTGGCGACTGCATCTGCATCTGCATCTCCATCAATTATTCGAATCATCCAACTAGGCTGGCAGCAGTAGCGGACTATTGGGCTCAGAGCCCGTTGGTTTCGATGTCGCGAACTGCAGGCCAGCGCCCGCCAGCTCCAGAGCTTCCCCGTGGATCCATCGTCCCAGTGGGGGCTCGAACGCCTCTCATGCAATGGGAGCGAGAAGGCGTCGCTGCCACATGTCATTGAAATTCAGCGGAAGCGTCCAATGGAGCTGTACTTCGTCGAGACCAAGACACACGCGTACAGTGCTCAAATGCAAGATACTGCGGTACGTACATAGGAGCCCGTACGGACTCAGTAACGCGTACTATGTACATGTACAGTACATAAGCTAGCTTCTGGGCCACCCATCAATCCTCTTCTTGTCAGCGTTTAGATGGATGCTGTGTTATTGTGAAGTTGTCTGATTGCTGTGGTATTCATCGTACTCGCACTTGGTACAGTACTTGGTTCTTGGTAGATCAGAAGTCAAATCAAACGGGATGGATACGGGTCCCAATGCAGCTAGCGTAACACGAAAAGGTAAACAACACGGACAAATCAAAACACGCGAAGGGAGCTATGAACCCGCAGCCTCGTAACCCGCAACCCCCCAGACAGCAGGAGCAGCACAGTGGACAGACCCCAAAACAACCCAAACACTCCGAATAATAAACACTCCCAGTCTTACAGGCTCCACCTTCCACCTTCCACCCCCGTGCAACGCCCCAAAACAAATCCCCCCCCAACCAAGCCCCCCCTTCCCTTCTTCCATCCCTCATCTCCCATATCTTCTCTCCTCCATCTCCAAAACACAAACACACATCCACAAACAACACAACACAACCTCAATTCAACCCAATCCCCATCCCCAATCCCCTTCAATCTTCAATTGAAAGACACGAGCCAAGAAGCGTAGTCAAACACGCTCTCTTTCCTCACCTTCTTTCAACCCAAAGAAGCAAGAGACCCCTTCTTGTCTTCCTTTCGGCGCGTCGAAAGGCATTCGAGAAGAGACTCTCCTGCACTTGAAGGTCGTCAACCTGGACTTTGACGCCCGCGTCCCGATCCCCTTTAGCATCTTCCCGTCGTCGTACCGGAACGACGCCGTTGAGACCACCACCCAGACTCACGTCGAGGGTGAGATCAATCTACCCCAAGGACAGCAGCGCGTCGGACGGGAAGGACAATACTCTTCGTCTTCCTTCTCCGCCAGCCTTCCTCACCGCGGCAGCGAAGAGCAGTTCCGCCAGGAAGAGGTCCATATCACTCGTGAAGAGGATAGATACCGTCCGAGCCGCAGAGAGGAGATCCATATCCACGAGGAACGCCGGTAAGTGATTCCCGAGTGTGTCCCGCAAGCCAATCCAACTCGATCTATCTGCATTTCCTTTACTTTCCTGGTCTGCCAGCTACCAAAAGCTGTCATTTCAACCAATATTTTGATGGCCACTGGTCTTGCCCCCAAAGGTCTCACCTGCAGATTGCAATTGCAACCTGGCTCGAGCTCTGGGCGGGTCCCGGGGGCGCTGACTGGATATTGCAAAAGCCTTTCTTTTTTCTCCTTGGTTGACACAGTAACGTACACCGACTGGACTTCTGCACAGCCCAACTAACTTCTCTCCTTTTCATCTATAGACCACAACACAAGCATACCACAACCCACATCGACGTAGAGCTCCCTCGTCACCACCATCACCACGAACCTCAACGCCGCCGCTACGACTCTGATATCACAGTCGACCTTCCCCATCACCAACGTCAGCAACACGAGACCGAGGTAGACTTCTCTGAACGTCAATACCGCTCTCGCTTCCAGCCATCATATCGTGAGGAGACCCACGCAGTTGGCACCACTGTTGACCCTCCACGCTTCCAATCAGAGTTCCGTCAAGAAACCCGTCCAACCGCAACCACTGTCGACCCGCCACGCTTCCAAGCAACCTATCGGGAAGAAGCTCGTGTCAACAATTCCACCGTTGACCCACCTCGCTTCCAACAGCCAGCTCGCCGCGAGGAAGTTCATATAAGAGAAGAGACCGTCGACCCTCCTCGACACCAATTCAAGAAGATGGGTTACTACGATGAAGATGGTAAGTTGAATCTCAGTAATGCTACACACCATCCCCATCCTAAACACCTCTCCCAGGGCACTATCACTCTTTCCGCCATGGTATTCACCGTGCTGCCGACCGTGTCCTAGGACGTCATCATCATCATCACCACCATCACCGTGAGCCTGATCGTGAGGACGTTGACATAACTGTAGTACGTGAAGGTCCAGCGCCTAGCCGCTCCTCTGGCCGCTCCTCAGCTCCCGACCCAGCCTCCTACACTCCCAACACCGTCACCATTCCCTGCCACCACATCCGCGTTGGTGATCTCCTGATCCTCCAAGGCCGCCCCTGCCAAGTCATCCGGGTCACCACCTCTGCCGCCACCGGCCAGCACCGATACTTGGGTGTTGACTTGTTCACCAAGCAATTGCATGAGGAGTCTTCCTTCATCTCCAACCCAAGCCCAAGTGTCATCGTCCAGACCATGCTAGGACCTGTCTTCAAGCAATACCGCGTTCTCGATCTCCAGGACCACAGTGGTAAGTTTTATATCCATCGCCGATTGATCATTACTAATGGTATCAATAGTTGTTGCCATGACCGAGACTGGTGATGTCAAGCAAGCCGTTCCCGTCATTGACCAGTCCAACCTCTGGGGACGTCTTAAGGACTCGTTCGATTCCGGTCGTGGCAGTCTCCGTGCCTTGGTCCTCTCTGACCATGGCAACGAACTTGTTGTTGATATGAAGGTTATCCATGGCTCCCGTTTGTAATTTATGTAATTTGCTTTGCCGTATCATAGCGTGACATTCAGGATCAGTGAGGTTGGATTGAAATGGGTGCTCGTTGCCTTTGGCGGCGAGTAATTTCGTCAAGCTCGGGGCAATTTGGCTGAATGGAGTTGCATAATTTCGATGGGATGGGTCTCATATTTGGTGTGGTGAATTGACTCGATCTCATAATTATTTTCTTGGCTGGTGGATCTCGCCACTGCGGTCGATTAACCAACTTGGAGGAAGTGATTTCTGAAGGAGATGTCAATTCACATGTGCAGATAGGATAGAGTCAGAATGGAACCGCATCTCGTCCCTTTGTAACCTTGATTGTTTCGCTCCGTATGTGCATGATTTTTCCCAACTTGCAAAATGGCGCCTGCTACACCTCTCCACAAATAATATCCATTGACGTGCATATATTTGGACAATCTCGAGTACACCTCTAGTACGATAACCACCTGATCGCCTGTTTGAACAGTTGCAAATTCATTTACGGGAATATAATTGTCTGCTACCATATATGCATATTTTCAAGTCCACCCTTATAATATTCCCAAGCTAATCTTGCCAGGTGAGGGGTACGTGTGAAGCATTTCCATCGAATCCACTTATACGGATGGTCACTCTGCGTGAGGACGGAATGCTGATAGAAGGGTAAAATTTATGTTTATGTGATATATGGCAAAGATAGTATTAAACTTCATGTCTACTTGGTATTTGGGAATGTGGATGGTTTCTTTAGAGGTTTAGTATATATTAAATAATTAAGCTTGCGTTATGATGAATACGGTTTGCTGGGAATATGCCTGTTAGATAGTGTTGATTTTGAATTCTTGAGAGATTATATAATTATAATTAATATTGCTAATAGAATTATGAATATTTTTATTATACCCGATGGCTATTCTGGAAAGCTCTTCTCGGTGTCCGATATATATTAGCACTACAGGGAGGTTGACTTTCACACAAGAATCTAGTCCGTTATGTATTGCTTAACATATCTCTTATTTATAGTTCCCTAATAAAGTCACAAGAAATAGGTGCTAGGACGTGGGACACAACCGAGCTTGGCAAACCAAGTTCCTGATTTGAGGATGTAGCGTGCTAGTTCTGGCTTGCCCTCGCAGATTGGGCGTCTTGAGTTCCTATTCGAGTGTTTCGGGCCGCACGATTACATGTAGTGTAATCTAGTAGGAAAATCCAGCCTATATGGTGTATTGTGGATGTTCAAGTACTTGGTTTGAATGTACCAATCCACCAAGTTCTGCATTGTGTTACACCATTTTTAGAACAGGGTGGTATTTGTAGAGGTGACGTTTGACCAAGGCAATATCCAAAAAGTATGTTACAGATGCCAAGCTAGGTGGTTTATTAAGTCGTCGTATTTGGCTACCTGTGACCCTGCCAAACAAGAAAACTGACTTTGCAGGCGGCATACATATGAAAGAGAAACGGATTTGGAGGCTAACCTGAAGATCATTGAGAGCCTAGACTTATGGTCCTAGGGTAAAGGTTGCGATATAGATATGAGCTCCAAGAAGCGAGATATTAGTAGACATGACGGGTTCCGAACATCTGTGGAAAGCTTTTAATTATAACACCAATCAGTCTATTGATCTCCTCAATCTGGCCGTCCTGTTAGTGTTATTGCTTGTTGGGAAGACAAACGCGGGGGAGAATGCAACATTAACAAGCTCCGACAACGGCAACGACCACGACTTCCCACTAGTAAGCAGTGGCAAAGTGTACTTTTAATTAGGCCAATGACTTTTTTCTCACTTGTGGCACAACATAAGATTTGGGGGTTAAATGTACATTGGCTGCATAACGATTGACCACGACACTTGCTCCGAAGGTCTGCAAAACCTCCGATTCCCACCGGGCCGTTTTACCTTCCACCAAGTTGATTCCCAGCCTAAATACAGCTGCTCAGTACGCCATTGACAACCTGAAAGTACGTCCTCTTGGCTGCACGTTGCGTACATACTGTGTACAGCGCGGAGTTGTCCAATTTCTTAATGATAAGGGTCCAGACTCGGCCCATCATGAATATTTGTACCATTGGGGGACATTTTATGATAGGTATGAAATTATAGCCTGGGTTGCTTTTCCCTATATTTGCTATATAAGCATGAGGCCCTTCGAACATTTCCGAGCTGAAAATGATCAGCACCCTGCAAAGAGTTCTTACTTATATGTTCATCTGTCATCTCAGTCTGCTTTCAACTATAGTCGGTCTCAACTTGGACCCTCATTCATCACTGGCCATCTATAATCCACATAAGCTCTTTGAACACTTCAAACCTCTCTATCACTATGCACTTCACCCCCTTTAGCACCGGGAAGCTTGCTCTCCTCGCCCTCTCTAGCTCCATCCTCGCCCAGCCTACGGTCGAGAAACGCTCCCTCATTATTGACCTAGACCTCGCCAAATCATTCGGCGCCGTCGCTGGAACGAGTCTGAACAATACGGGCGCAACTTCGATCACAGGCGACTGTGGAACCTGTCCAGGTTCAACAATCACCGGCTTCCCTCCAGGAAAGTGCTCTGGCACATCCTCAGCAAATGATACGCCAGGATGCAATGCTGAAGCCACCTGCATCACTGCCTACAACAATGCTCGAGCGCAGCAGCCCACTTCTGCTCTCGGAAATGCCGACCTTGGTGGTCTGACCTTCGCCCCAGGTGTGTACACATTCCCAGGCCAAGATGCGAAGTTGACCGGAAATGTCACGATCGACGGCAAAAGCGACCCTAAAGGCCAGTGGATTTTCCTCATCAACAACACTTTCACCGCTGCTGCTAACTCCCGGGTCGTGACTATTAATGGTGCCCAAGCTTGCCACATTTATTTCGTTGCTGCGGAAGCAGCAACAGTTGGAGAAGCATCGGTGATGCAGGGAAATATCTTGGCCTACAATACAATCACAGTCAGCAATGCGGCAAGCAATCAGGGGATATTTTGTGCGCTTAATGGTACCTTGACACTGAACAATAATTCAATCACGGCTCAACCAAATTGTACGAGTTAGGCGTTGCGAGATATTGATTGGGGTCCTTTCTGTCGGGTGGAGTTTAGGTTATTCGGTTTTTGTGGGAGTAGGACGAGAGAATAGGAGCTGGCTGATGGGTACCGTAAAAGAGACGGCGAGATTGGAGGCTGCTGCTACAACTAGATATGTATCGGATTTCTCTTGCTAGAAAGTCCTTGATAGTTCATTGTCTAAAACAAGGTTGGAGTACTAGTATTCTCGTTTTAGCGTGCTCTTTTCCATCTCGTTTCTCAAAAGTTATCATCGGTAGGCCTTTCCGCCCTGTCCATAACCTCCACTTCCGCCTCCACTGCCTCATACCTCGGGAAACCCATCCTCAGCTAAAATAACCTACCCACTTTAAGCCCAAGTCTACCAAACGCTACTTGCCATCAGAAACTTGATCACATTTAAACTATACATACCTCTTTGGGAGCAACCTGGGCCGACTTTGCCTCCGTGCATTCCTCCGATATGTAGTGCTCTCCTAAGTGCATGCAGGCAAAGAGTACGGGATTTAGCAACGTTAGAGCATACTCCGTATAGAGGAAGAAAATGCTAGAATGAAATAGGCTGTCGCAAGATACGTTCGTAGGTTGCATTGTAGTCCACACCTGCCCAATTAGGTTAGGGGGATACAGCGTATGAAAGATGCAAGAGAAGCCGAAATATTGCGGGGTACTGCTTATGACGCTTCTAGGAGTGCCATGTAAAGTCTTACTCCGTACTACGTAAAGACTGCACGGCTATATGACTGTATCTTTCTATCAAGCTGGCGTTCGAGTAGCCGATACTTTTGCATAGGCCATATCAGTCTTCTATAAATGATCTAGAAAGGGACAGAAGAAATAGGAATAGTAGATATCCTTTCCCTAATAGAGGCTATACTTTAGTCTCTAAATCATTCTGGGAGGTTTTATTACCTGGACTTTTGGTCAGACTGAACAGACGTAGGGACTGTGCTCACTGGTATAATCATGGTCAAGGTTTTGCTGTATGGCTTGGACATTTGACTATTTATTAAATTGAAGCGATAAACAGCATTAGCCATCTTGTCCATTTTCTGGTTGCCTTCAATCAAGATTCTATCAAAAAATACTAGATCAATCCCCAACAGGAGTTGAATAGACACAGAGCACCTAATTTATATGCCTTCAAATCACTCGCGACTATGTAGATGCACTTGCACGACCGCTATTAAAATCATTTGACCAGCGAAACGTAGAGTAGGCCACCAACCGCGTAAGAAGAGGTAAACAAAAGCGAACCAGTATCCTTAAGCCTGTCAGCTAGAAATAACATCCCACTTGGGATTACAAGCGCGCGGCTTGGAAAAGACTCACTCGGTCTTGAGCACTGGATATCCTAGCGATAACCCTCTCTCCGGCCTCTCCCTGGAATAGAACTCTGCGCAATGGATTCCTTCGGCGGCCTGCCCATTATAAAGGCCGTTCGTCGGATTCCCTGGCCCACATACCGCCCCTTACCTATATATACTTTTCCCATCATGCCTGCCTCTGAGCGCCAATGTCGAATTCCTGCAAAGCCTTGATGATCCCGTCAGGGAAATTCTCGGGGCGAGGGACAACGTCAATCCCCAATTTATCACAGAGGATTTGCACGTTCCCCCTCTTCTGATAACCCTCCTGACAACAAACGACAACCCTCTTCCCCTTGCCCGCAGCAAAACCAAACTCTAACAGGGTAACTGGTGCCGTTGTCTCCGCCCCAAAATATATTGCTACAATATCCGCTTGCTCCAGCGCATGAAGCTCCCACGAGACCTGTTCGAGAAATTGCGGAGAGGAGGGCTCCTCTTTCCAGCTGGAATCCCAGTCTGGACGGAGAGGATCGAGGATCGTGATAGGGAGATGGGAGAGCGAGTTTATGAGGCGACTACGCCAACAAGGCGTATTTGGTGGGGAGATGCTGCCCGAGAGAAAGATAGATGGTGTTGTGAGTGGTTTGGGGAGAGGTGTAGGTGCCTTTATGTGGTGAGGAGGGGAGGTAAACGTGGCAGCCATTGTGTATTACGCGGTGATGAGAACGGAAATTTCAGCTTAAAACGGAAAAATAGGCATTGGATGTATATAAATATGTGCTGCGCTGTGGTCTTGAGATCATTGCAGATGTTTTGTTTCCTTGTGACGTCGAGCCTCGTCAACAATCTGCCTGAACTGAGAGACGTCAAGGTCAGGAAGCGCGACTCCAAGCGAAACCGAGGTCTGCGCAGAACAACATCTCCTACAGCACTGCAGTTACAGCCTCAACATCTCAAATGACATCGCCACAAACATGGTCGACGCCTATACAGATGGGCGGTAACCCTTTATACGACCTTCGGTGTCTATCCTCATCAACCGCTGGGCTGAACTGGTTGTTTCCATTGTCGCGACAAGCGCTTCTGCTATATTTCGCTGCGAGGACCTCGACACAGCACGGCTCGAGAAAACTTATATTTACTTTAGGCAAATTGTATATTAATATCAGTATCAATATGGGTTTATCCCCAGCTTCTACGGCCTCCTTTGTTTCAAACTCACCCCCAACTATTTGTTTACCCAATCTGGCCAATACATATGTCGGCCAGCACTTCTGAAACACAATTCCAACATCGTTAACATTGTTCAGCGTCACATCATCCCCAACACTGCGCCACAGTAACGCAATAGAACAGAAATAGAGCAGCCTGGGAAAGAAGCGAATCATCGGAGAATTTTACCCGATGGCGTGTCCACCGAGTCCGCTCAATCTTGAGTATCTGGCGGTTATTTATGTTGGCGGATCGGATCCGCGACGAACACGTCTGGAAGTGTCAAACGAGCCCCCAACAACCACCGAACTGATACATTCTCCAGCGCTAGTTAGGCCTGACTCTAATATCGGTAACCTATATCACTGGCTGATTTATTACTTCTCTGTTGACGAGCCGATCGGCAAGGTCCTCGGGCCCCCTATATTACTCCCGCGTTCGGCATGCCAGTCTGCAACGGGCCGGCCCTTTGTTGGAGTTTTTCTATTTCCCACCTATCTTTAGAGGTTGCCGCAGGAGACCGCGTGCGCTGGTCCTGTAGGATCAACTTATAGCCGCCTTCATGCATGGATGTGGGCGGTTGTCCTGGATTTCCATATGCAGTTCTCTGCAACCGCCTACACACCTGTCACATATTCGCCGGTTGTAACCCTTCCCACAACTCCATGATGGCTTGAATCCGAGCAACATGCAGGTTCCGGCCTGTTGGTTCGTTCCTGAAATCTGCAGGACCTGACATATCTCCCTCAACGATGCTCCGTACATATGCTTCCTGTTATTTGCGTCGCGCGGTCCAAGAATGTTGAGTATTCAAATGGACCCCCATCATGGCATCCGTACGATGTATCCCAGAGCAAATCTGTCCACAAATTTCTTTATATATCCCGGAGCAACAGGAGCAAACGGACCCAACAATGCCGTTTTGACTATTGGGAGTACGACCAACTTGCAATGGAGCACCAACTTCCCTACAGTCGACTTAGCATTGTATCAACAATTAGAATTTAAACCGGACTGCGGAAACTGTCGTCTGGGCCCATGTATTATCACGAGTTAGTATGCTGCAATTCTATTTGGATCTATCTTTACTCACGTATTTTCGGAATCTTGTAGCGGGCCTTACAGCACATAATTTCTCCTGGACTGTCAATCCGTGTTCTATGTCCTTGGTATCTAGCAACGTCTTCTTTCTCATAGCCCATGATTCCAACAAGGACTGGGACACAGAAGGGGCTGGGTTTCTTTCGACCTTTCTGAACTTGACGGAATCAAGCAGCAACCAAACAACGAACGCTGGAAACTCGAGCGCCACTCTATCTTTAAGTCGGATATCCGCGCCAAGAACTTCTTCAACTAGCACATTTATAACTACCACCCTTTCAACGAGCGTTAAGGCCGCGATAATATCGACCTCAGAATCAATCAGAACCACAATTACCTCCGAACTCCCCGCCACCATCACTTTATCAAGCACCCTCTCGACTCTCAAATCAAGCATATCAGCAACCTCCTCCCAAACCTATTCACCTGTCTCTGCGTCCTCATCTCAATCTACGCCAACGGCCGTAAAGATCCCACGAGAAATCACCATTACTCTTGCCGTCTTCCTATCCATCCTATTCTTGTCTATCGCTCTCTCTTTCTACATTATTTACCGCCACAAGAAACGCCGACGCTATAATAGACAGGTATCCTGGAACGCCTTCCTCTCACGAGTCCGCAGCGTTTCCACTCGAAGCTCGAAACACAAAACTACCAACTCTCTCACTCCTGACACGTTAGCCCCAGAAGTGCGAAGCTATCGATGGACCGGATTTAATAGGACGAGGAGGAAGAAGAGCATGTATGAACTGGACGGGACGGGCAATGTCCCACTTTTTGAACTACCATAAAACATTACAACTCATATAGTTGAGATGCTTTTAGCCCCCATTCGTAATAATTTAAAGTCTATATTTACTGGTTTCATCCTCCTGCAAGCCAAGCCTGCTCCTTCGGATTCATCAATATTTGACTTCCTTATCACCTCCCAATTCCTTAACGAGGCACAACTGGGTCCGGCAGCGTTGCTGGCGTATCTTTCCTCTTCCGATTCGTGATCAAGTGCTCAAAAGTACTCGAATACGTAATCCTTGGTGTCAAATCCTCCAGCCCCCAAAGCTCGTTAAGCGTTTTCATAATACTATTATGGTTATACTCGCCGCCATTATTCGTCCCCTTATGCTCTACCTTCCCCTTCTCTACCCATGGGGAGATAAGCAATGTCGGGACACGCACACCTAGACGCTTGAAATCGAAAGTGATGTTCTTTCCATCGTGGGCTTTTTCTGTGTGTGTCAGGTCGTCTCCCGCGGGTACGTTCATTGGGGGCGGAACGTGGTCTCCGAAACCGCCGTGCTCGTCGAAGGTTAGGATGAAGAGCGTGGAGTCCCACTGTGGCGAGTTGCGTACGGCCTCATAGATGCCCTTGATGAACTTCTCGCCCACGCTGATTGGAGAAGGGGGATGGAATGATTGGTAGGAACAGCATTCCGGGTTGATGTATGTAAATTGTGGCAACTTGCCTGCTTTGGCGTCGGCATAGAATTGTGTCAGTGGTGCGATGTTCGTCTTATTCTTCCCTGACGTCCCCGTCCAGGTGTAAAACGCGGCGTCAGGATTAAAGCCTTTCCCTGGGCCAGTGGTGGAGTTTTGGTAGTTCATCCATGTAATGTCGTTCTCGGAGAGCTGTTGGAATATGGACTTTTGAGGCAATCCATATACCCCAAATGCATTATCATTGCTACCATGGCCGTGGGAAGTTCCAGATGTGAGATAAGCGCGGTTGGGGTTCGTGGGACCAGGAACGGACGCGAACCACCGGTCGAAGAGCACGTAGTTTTCGGCCATGTTGTTGAACACGGGGATTTGGTCGGGGGTGTAGTAGTTGATGGCCTCCGCGGCACGGGTCTTGTTCAAGGTGTTGAAGGTAATGGATTGCTCCGTGACGAAGCCACGCATGTTTTCTGCAGCGTGGTTTTTATCAACTTCCACTTCATTGGGATGAAATGTGCTGAAGACTAGAACCATAAGTTAGCGATACATCAAATAATTTAAAGGATTTGGCATACGCTGCATGTTCACCCCGCTGATGCTGTGATTTGGATCATCGGGTGCCACGTCATTTGCACGGGGTCCTGCGCAGACATCATCGTGCTGAGCTGGATCCGAGGCATTCCTGAGGATATCAGCACTCTAGACCAACCAACATTACAACGGGATTCTCACATGGAATTGCAGTAATTGTGGTTTACCAAGCCATTGATGTCCCGATTGTATGTCAGGCCTCCAGCAAAGGTATCGAAGGACCTGTTTTCCTCAACCAGAACAACAACATTCTTAATCTTGCTTCGCCAATCGTCGGCATGAAGCTCGATGTTTTTAGGGATGGCTTGCACAATGCTGGCCGAGGCTGCGAGGGCCACAATCCAGAGACCGGTCATCTTGATGATTGAGCGGCGAATAGTTCTTGACTTGTTTTGATAGAAAGGGAGAACCGGGCACCATTAAGGTGTCACCTATTTATCATGCTGTTGTACCCCACATTTTCCACATTTGGCAGCTGGCAAGCTGATCTGATTCAATAAAAATGTGATGCCGCGACTCCAATTCTACTCCACGTGCGTCCAATGACAGGCTGATGCCGGAAATACGGATTCCGCTCATCGTTGAGATCTCGCTATCTGGGGTCGAGGGCAGCAAAGATGTGCATATTGCAGGCATCGCGACCTGTGGGATTCTATATATCCTTGGCACATGGTTGTGGCTGCGAGTATCACTGGTCAATATTATAAACGAAGTAACGTTAATTATGCGGGTGCTGGTTCAAGGTACCAAGGCGGGGTGGCTGCTTCAGGGACCAAGGGGAAGAAGCTTATTACCGTCCCCCACCCGCTCGGATGCCAGAGAAAACGCCGGGAAATCGCATCATGGACTTCATAAGAAGCTATTCAGGCGCTGCCATTTGTCAGAGGGTCTATTATAAGCTTTCCTATTCGTTTCTTCTATGGGGAACATGTCCACCTCTACCTCCACTATGTTCGGTGGCGGGGTCCCTCCTGACTTGAAAGCACTGCAATTAAATTAGCGTGCGGAGTATGCCTAGGTGTAATAGGAAGTTGATAAGGTATGAATGATATGATTTAAAAGCATAGAATATTCATTTAAGTTAGTAGAACAGTCTTTATCCCTATCTCCACTTACCTGCCCATAGCGACTTGCTCCTCCTTCAGTTCTGCGCTGGCTTTGAAGTCTCTAAACGAGGCGCGATGTGCTTGGTATTCCGCGTAGTGACACAGAGATAACATTAATTCAAATGGGACACCGAGGTGCGAATAGCTTTAATTCGGCGACCGCAAAGTTGAAGTCTAAGATGTTGGGGAGAAACGGGTTGGATATGCAGGGCAGGTTCTCCATATATTATTGTAGAGATAAAACCATCAGTGAAGTGCTGCCTTGAATCCCCTCTACACCCCGGAGAATTCAAGAAACAAGCTCCCAAAGCAATGCGTTATATTTGCAAGTAAACCTCTTCCTCGCAATCCCAGAAACAAGCCGGGAATGGCAATGAAAAGCCCAATTGTCGCGTCGCTCGGAGACAGTGAAATACCGAGGACACAGTAGGATAAGACACAGGCAAGCCTGGCGGTCTTTTCCCGAGGGACAAAAATAGGAATAATCTTTGTGTCGAGCGTGCTCGACTTTCAGAGATTAAACTGAAAAGAACAGATACTACACTTGATCTAAGCCAAAGAGGCAAAGAGAGCTAAGGAGAAAAGAAAAAAAGAAGCCGAAAGGGCGGAGGGAGGCCCGGCTTTTATAGAGATCTGGGAGGCGCTAAGCGAGGGCGGTGGACGGTACGCGAGGCTGCAACCCGACCGACTTTGATGGTTTGACGCTTGGGCAAACAGCGTCAATCGCAGCCTCGGCTGACTCATCCATCACCTGAGCATTGGCACAACTCCTACAGTAGCACGTGATCAATTCCGCTGACCGAGGGCAGAGGCAGATTCTGGCTGTGCCATCCAGTCTGTGCCATCCAGTCTGTGCCTTCCATGGGACTCTAAGTCGGACTGCCTTTGCTCATATGGCGGAAGCGGCCGTCTTTGAGAAGCTGCTTGATGTGCTTAACCGGCTTGATGGAAGGCTACAGGCCATCGAGGCCAGGATTGTGACAGGCAAGGCCGCGACTGAAGACAAAAAGCCAGTCACGGACCCTAAGTCTCGATCACTTCGATGACAAGAGTTATGTCGCTAATGAGTGCCGTAGGCCTGTAGGATGTTCTTCAATTGTTGCGTCAGACTTTGAAGTGCATTCTCAAGAGATCCCTCTCGACAGTAAGGTCTTGGTTGATCACGCCTGCTTTACTGGCTCCAGCACATCAGGACAGAATAACTTAAACAACCAGGGCACTTGGCCGAGTCCAGATGCATGTACGGATAAAAACCAGCCAACAACTCAAATCGCTGTCATTGATGTCGAGGTCGCGGGGAAGCAAGCCGGCTCTGCTAGCTCCACCTCATTGGGACACAACGACCCAGGTAGTCTAGGCGCTTCGATTGTACCAGACGCCTCAATTGAAGGAACTCTGCCGGCAACTCAAAACACTGTCGATAGGATTGAAGTGGCGGGGAATGAAGACTGCTCTGCTAACCAGTCAATAACGCAAATCACCACGCAGAACGAGCATCTTGATGACTCCATTCCACCAAGAGATTTATATGCCCACTTCCCCGCGACACGGTGGGACGAGGCAGCTTTTGGCCCCATGGGACTATTCCACGGCCAAGCAAAAGACGCCTGGAACAATGAAATCCTCTGGAATACATCTCTCCGGGAATTTTGGACTGTGCCTGCCGACAACCGAATCGATCTCTCATTTCAGAAGCATGTCCTCAGATGCATTCCACCCGATTCTGCCCAAGACATAATCTCTAAATTAGGAGAGTGGTTACAGTTTATGGATGCCCCCTTTAAGTATTTTGCACCGGAAGCCTTCTCTATTCGTGATTTTAATCAGGGAGGCAAATCTGTTCTTTATCTCCCGTTTCGTGAAAAATCTACGTACGAAAATTTAGGGTCAGAACTAAATCTCCAAGAATCGAGGCATGAAATGAGCAAATCACAGAAGCCCGAGGATGAAGATCTCGCCTTTGGATTTCCTATAGACACGCACGTCGATGCCTCGGAATCTATAATTGCTCCATGGCGAAGATTCATGTATGTACCTCAAAATTGTGCTTTGAAACACGAACTAGCTAATGTTTATATTGCCCAGATACATTCGAGGCCTTACTTCAAGCAAGGAAATGAAGAAACCACTTTTGGCAGTCAATTCACCCGGTCACTCTGCGACTCCTCATCCTGCTAAGCCGTTTCTGCCTAGCGGTATTGATCCAAACCAATATGGGGTCGCTTCCCAATTTCGGAGCACTTTGCGAAGTCTGAGAGTACCTCTCTCTTCTCCACAAACTGATGACTTGTTACGAAGATATTTCATAGAGGATACTGATCCACCTGTTCACATCCTACACGCTGTGACTACGCTACATGCATCAGCTTCATTGATACGTAGAGATGAGGGTCTAGTGTGCTTTTATGCCCCCGCATTGGACTCGGTGGCGATGAGCTTTCACATGGTTCTGTACAACTCGGACTTACATGGCAATATCTTGGAAAATGAGAGGTGGCCTAATGGTCAGCTTTACCATGACGGCCCTCTTTTTAGACGGGAAGCACTTTCCGTAAGTCTCTTTCTCCTCTTCATATAGACTCGTGCTGAAAAGCCAGATAATTGCTATTTGCAATGGCGTTACGCAGCACAATTTTAAAGCCGATCACCAATTCTACACTATTCTCTTCATGGTACCGAACACCTACTTAGACGGGACGATCTCGCTTACCCCCCAAAATGATCGTCCACTATATATGCGTGATGCTGTTCTTCTCATGACGAGGAAGTTGATGAGATACGCGGTTTCTCGCTGGCAGATTATGATTGAGCACTTTGACGACATACTCGATGATGGTAACACCTTCATGAATCCATCCAACCACGACAGCCTCCTCGTGGACGATGAGACCTTCTCTGGATCTCGGAAGTATTTTTGGGCTTTAACCTGCCTGTCAAACTTCAAGGCTTGCCTTGAAGATTCGATCGCTACCTGGGACATGTGCCGTGAGACCTGGATGACGAAGCTACCTGACGAAGTCATGCCTAGAACAGCTCTCTCGAAACAGACTGCGGCAGACGTCGACGAGTTATCTCAGAAGCTAAAGTTACTGCACGCACGCTTCCAAGAACATTACAAAAATGTGACCGCCCTAAGAGATGGACTTTTTAACGCAAGCGCTGTAATGGAGAGTCGAGCTTCAACCAAACTCGGCGGTCAGTAGTCCCGTCTCGTGACTTAGCTCTCACGGATCTCAACATCTATGTTCTAAATCCATCCTTCCTTCCCTTGTAAGTGTCAACTTATCGGCATGCACTAATAAGCCGCAGAAAACGTCAAACTCCTCACATATGTCAGCATATTTTTCCTCCCCCTCGCTTTTAGCACTTCCCTCTTTGCACTATTCCTTCCTATCGAGAGTCACGTACTAGTCCCCACCACCATCCTCATCGCTTTCGCAACGTACCTCCTAGTTTTCAATCTCACTACATTTGTCCGTTTCCTCTCTAGTATCCACTCAAAATATAGACGTTCACTCGCCACCTGCATGCAAGACGACTCCACCTCGGAAAGCTGGCGCCACCGTGGGAAGAACTTCAAGAAATTCAAATCCGAGATGAAACGGGAGAGAAAGCCGAGTGACTGGTTGTTGTTAGTATATCTACTGCGAATGGCATGGAGTGCAATATGGCCCGGGAATTGGAAGGCGTTTGAGCGGCGGCGGGCGACTCAGGGTCATGATTCGCTCTCTAGTTCGCTCGCTAGTGGCGATAGCGACGGATCGGCTCAGTACGTGATAGTTAAGGTGGGTATCTGGGCCAGAATAATAGGCCTTTTGAGGAAGAGGAGTGAGGATGGGGAGAGTTCGGAGGTATCCATCTCATAATTCCGAAGATCTTAATCTGAGGGATTGCGGCAGCATAGCACTTGTGACCAGATCAGCTCTGCGGACTACGCCGTTGAACTGCATGTCCCCTAGCTATCACGAGAATATGAAAAATTCATCGTTTGGAAATTAAGTATTTATTCTAATAGTAAACTTGTCACTACTTGCATAGAATTCGGGCCCAACGCCGTTCTAGAAAGTCAATGAAAGCCGGGAACTTGCGAAAGTCTACCGGCTCTCCTGCATTTTGTTGTTTGTTGTTGATGTTATGGTTGGCAACTGGCGGACTCGCTTCGCCCTTAAGGTACTGTACTATATCCACCGCCTCTCAGTGATACTGTAACTCTGCAACCAAGAACCCTTATCTTTCAGTTCCACTTAGAGTTGTCATAGAGCATCTGTTGAATCATGTGACCTCTGGCTGCTTGCTCAGCGCTGGCCGATATGCACGATGTAAATTCTCCTCCCGCTTCTCTTGTTCAGACTTATACTGTCACATACTTGATCCTATGGTATCAGTATTCGTATATTCATAGGCGGCAATGCGGTTATTGGTATCGAGCCTGAACATTCCGCTACTACGCTCTGGCTTTTGCTGAGCTCAGTCTCGAGTCTAGAATAGCTCGCCTCTAGTCTCCAGACAATTGGCATCACGTCTTTCTACTATCCTACACAGGGAACAACGTCTCAAACATGCGAAGACATTACAATAATTATTACCCGGTGTACAAAGTATTTAGAGACACTTAAGGAGAGTAGGCACTACAAAGCTTAAAGCTGGGGGGTTGGCACTTTGGTGGGGCTTTGGTGGGGTATGCGGGTTGTACTTCGTAATTGCCTGCCGATATATCGAGTTGCCGTCAAGATACTCTACTGCCGCTAACAGGGACAAGTGCTGATCTAAACCCTTCAGCTGCAAGTTCCTGAGATATCACCTTCCTTTAACCACCCAGAATCCAGAGTTCCTTGTAAGCGGATATCCAAGATATATCCGATTTGCGGGGTTATGAGGGGTCAAGCCACCTCGGCAGCGTAGAAGCATGAGGCATCCGAGTGAGTTCAAACCTACGGAATGGATTAATGATACATTGCGCACACCCAGCGCGCGCCAATACTGGCAAGATGACAAATAACCAAACACTAGATACAGACTGTCCCATCCACCCTTATTGATCTCGACTTATTTCGTTCAAAACCGGGATATTTTAGTTTTTTCACCTGTCAATAGAAAACAACTTAAGGTATAATACTGTCCACGTCCCATAACCAAGGATTCCTGGGGACATGCCATAAATTCAAAATGGCAACTCAAGTCCTGACAACCACCTCCCCTCATGACCTTCCTGTGCCGCAAATTTTAGAACCCCATCAATTCCAAAACCTGCCGCCTTTTCCCAACGACATACCTACGGCTCCTTTGGTCCGGCTATCCCTCAAGCAACTGCGTAAAGCCGACTCGGAATCCCTTAGGCTCTTCGAGTCCTGCAAAAACCTGGGGTTTTTTTACCTCGATCTTAGGGGGGATGTAGAGGGGGAAGCGCTTCTGAAAGAAGCAGGTCAGTTGTTCGATTTCGCGCCCAAATTCTACGACCTAGGAGCAGAGGAGCTGCGGAAATATGATCGTCAAAGTCAGGGAAGCTACATCGGGTATAAAGGGTTTGGAAGCAATATTGTAGATGAGAAGGGGAATTTGGATAGGAGCGAGTTTTACAATGTAAGACTTCATATATCTTCTACGGGCTATTCATGTCCCTCGGTATGGATGTATTTGCTGATAGGGGAGCCAGATACCGAAAGACGAGTTCCTCAACATTTCACCCAACCCATATGATCATCCGCAGCTCATCTATGACAACAAGCCCGTCATAGTATCATACATCCTGCACTCCCACTCCCTAGTCTCATTCATTCTCACGCACCTCAACAAACACCTGCGTCTACCCCTTGAAACCCTGACCAAACTGCACGCCCTCCAATCCCCCTCAGGTGACCAAATCCGCCTCATCAAGGCCCCTCCGCAGCCTCCCTCGGACCAACAGCTCTCCCTTGGAAAGCACACCGACTTCGGCAGCGTCACGCTCCTCTTCAACCGTCTAGGAGGTTTACAAATCTTACCGCCTCCTTCAATCGTACCCGACGGCACTGAGCCACAATGGACATTCGTCAAACCACTCCCGGGGCATTGTATTGTGAACCTAGGCGACGCGATGACCAAATTTACGCGTGGGGTATTGAGGAGTAATATCCATAGGGTTGTCAGCCCACCTGGAGAACAGGCTACTCAAACTAGGTATAGTCTTGTTTATTTTTCGCGGCCTAATGATGATGTGCCGCTGAAGGGGTTGGATGATGGAGGTAATGAAGGGGTCATTCCGAAATGGGAAGGGGAAGGGGAGGAGGATGGTATGAATAGTAAGGATTGGATTTTGTTGCAGGCGCTGAGGTTGAAGAGCGATAATAATATTTTAGTCGAGGAGAGGAAGAAATTGTGGGAGGCGAGTGGGAGGGGAACTTGAGACTGAACGGACCATGGCCTGTGATATTGAGGATGTGACAGTAAGTTAAATTTACGGCAAAACTCCACCGGAATCAAAGCTATTTATCAAATTCAATCAATACCTTCAAAGCTTGGTGTTTTGCGGCCGCTCTAAAAGTACCATATGCCTTTTCCATATCTGAGAAAGGGAATTCTGCATCACTGTTAGTTCCGCCATCAAATAGGTAGTGGCCAACGTACTATGTGTGATAAGCTTTGAGGGGTCCAACTTCCCTGAGACTGCAAGCCTCAGAAGCATTGGTGTGGTGACCGCATCAACCAGGCGGGTAGTGATAGCTGGAGATATTAGCTTACTTATACCAAGATATCAATGCTATAAAACCTACCGATGTTTTTGTCCCATAGGTTCTCCAGGTGCAGATCTACTTTTCCTCCATGAACACCGACATTGGCAATGACTCCTCCAGGAGCAACCAAGGCCTGGCACAGCTCGAATGTCGCAGGGATACCCACAGCCTCGATAACCGCATCACATCCTTTGCCGTCGGTGAGCTTCTTCACGACCTCCTCCACATTTTTCTCACTCGCCGAGTTAATCGCATGATGGGCTCCCATTTGTTTTGCAACAGTTAGGCGATTGGGGTCCGTATCAATGGCGATGATCAGGGAGGGCGAATATAGCTGGGCGGTAATGATCGATGCTAGTCCAACGGGACCGGTACCAATGACTACAACTGTACTGCCTGGCTGGATTTTGGAATTTATGACACCGCATTCGAGACCGGTGGGGAAGATATCGCTGAGCATGACTAATGCTGCCTCGTCTGCCCCTGGGGGGATGGGATATAACGAGGAGTCGGCATGAGGGATGCGGACATATTCTGCTTGTGTGCCATCGATGGTATTTCCGAGAATCCAACCTGTCGTTGTCAGCCCATATCATTACGTATAGGGTACAAGCATACCTCCGGTTGTACAATGCGAGTACATTCCTCTTCGACAATACTCGCACGTTGCACACGAGCAAATACAAGAGATCAAAACACGTTCTCCCTTCTTGAACCCACTAACCGAAACGCCTGTCTCCTCCACAATTCCAACACCCTCATGACCTAGAATCCGTCCAGGAGTGCATGTAGCTACATCTCCCTGTGTTATATGTAGATCCGTGCCTACGATTTATACGATTAGCATTGAGATCAAGTATTAACAGCAGACAACCAAATTACCGCAGATCGTTGACTTGGTAAGCTTCACAATTGCGTCGCCAGGATGGGTGATTTTGGGCTTTGGGCGCTCCTCAAGCTTCACCTCTCCAACTGCTTTGTATACGAGGGCTTTCATGGTTGAATAGTATGATTTCCGGTGGATTGAGAGGCGGAATATGCGAGGGCTGGAGAGCAGCCGGATGGTCCTAAAGCTTTGCATGATTTACACGAATTGTATATTATTATAATGACTTAATTTGGGGGGGAATTTTCATTTTGAGCTCAGCCGAGAAATGAGGAGAAGTGGCATGACTTTGATGCTGCCACAAGACTCGGTGGCGAAGGCCAAGATAGTGGATCGGTTTTGGGCATATGGATGGGCATAACTGATTGGCAGGTTTATGGTTAAGATGGGACGCTGGCAGAAAGCGGCACGAAAGAACAATAGTATCAAAGCATGAGGTGCAATACATCGATAGTGACAGTATGATAGTGATGTGACGTCGTGGAGATGTCAGAACATGGATGATGGAGGGGCGGGCGTGAGTCTGCTTAGTCATACCGGCTACGGCACACCTGGAGGCCGGACTCCGCTGGAGGAGTGAGGAGTGCTGCTTACGAATGTATCGTTAGGTTGCTATTCCGTGTGTCGTTCGTCGTCATCTTCATCTTCATCTTGATCTTCAAAGTATCCCCTCTCCGTCGCCTTCTTCATCTCGTCTCAACTCCGCCTCCGCATCCCTCTGCATCTCACTCTGCCCTACCACTTGAACGTTCGTTCGTCCTCCTGGCGTTCCATCAAGTAGTTACGAGTTACGGTTATATACAATACCTCGGCCCGGTCAAGATGCTGGAATCACGTATCCGTCTATCCTTTCATTTTGAATATCTCTCATGGCCTAATAACTCAACTCAGCCTTTTCGTTTACTCCCCGAGTAATAAAGCGGTCAACTGGATGCATCCAGTCAAGCAACCAGGCCAATCGCATTCTTCAGAAATCCAAATCCGGTAGAATAATGAGAGACTCTGGGCTCAGAGCCTCAGAGTCCGGAGTTCCCAGGAACACCAAGGACTCTATTGTTTCACAGCCACCTTGGCGCACACTAGTTGTCTTTGGTGTCAACCCCGGATTGTGACCACAAATCCTAGTACGGGCCCACACGTGTGGTGCGATGCATATTGGGAAGTCATTTCGTCTTTCAAAATCCTCCTATCATACTGTCGTCGGTCAGCCACAATCTGTTACCGAAGAAACAGGGCCACCAAGATTGTCATTTCGTAAGGTCGCTGTAACTTTACTCCGACCCTCCCCCGTTGATCTGCCCTATCTTTTCTGGGATCGACATTAGCTGTGTTTTTTTTGGTGCCTTCGAAATCTCTATTTCCGAGGCTAGACCTCAAACTGCGCCGTATTCCGTTCACGCGGGTGCGCTTTTGTTATGATCTCTCATAAAGCCAAGTGTTGCCAAGATATTTGGATATTCCCAATGTTCAGCTCTCCCCTGAAGCTCCAAAGTTATAGAGCTCAAACTAGCTGGATAATGAGCATGAAGGGCGGAAATACTATTTTGCTCACAATTTGCCTCATTGTCAGAGTAGTAGCCTACTCTGTAGAATCAACAGCTAGTGCGTTGTTCGATATGTGAGGCGTTGAGGCGCACAACGTGTGCGGCTCGTGCTCGATAATTTAGACAAGGATCTCGTACAGCCTTGAAGCTTCATCACCAAGGGAGCTTGGGCACTAGGGTGCTCAGCTCAACGGCGGGGACGGCTGCCTGTGTAAGATGGGGGCATAAATATACCTTCAGTCCTCCCGCGCCATGGCAACCCGTGCCGAAATTCTGTCTGCACTCTTTTGTCACTCCCAATCCCCTCTGACACGGCAAACCAACGTTCACCATGGCTTGGTCTTTGAAGTTTCTGAGCGTCGCTTTGCTCTTGCCAACATTAGTTCTTGGTGGCGCTGAAGTCGTGGGCCGGGATACCGAGCTCGATGTGGCTGGCGATGACATTCCTGATGCACAGCTCTATAAGATGAATACTCCGGGAAATGCCGAATTTGGAGCAATGCCTCTAGATGCGAGATCCCTCGTCGACTCATGGCTTGGAAAACGCGCCGAGTGCGTTAATGCTGGATACTCTCCTTGCTCGAGTAGGTTGAAGCCGTCCTTACTCAGCTCATCTCTAATCGTCCGTAGGTAGTTATCGCTGCTGTCCTACCGGGAGTACCTGCTGCACTCTTGGATGTTGCGGGGCGGGCAAGAACTGTTGCCCGAATTCATTATACTGCGCCGATCCAGGAGATAAATGCTGCGGCTCTCGTGGAACATGTCCCTCGGGCTGGAACTGCTGCGGAACTTACAGTTGTTATCCCATAGGAGGTGAATGCTGCACCAATGGCAATTACTGCTCTCCCGGAAACAAGTGCTACATACTTAGGGGTATCCGTAAATGCTGCACCGACTCCAAATGTACCGCCTACGTTACCAACGGGGTCACATCCACCGCTAGCGGGGCATCACAAACGGCGGCTTCTCCCAAGGCCACAACTACGAAGACGACAGATGATTCTACGGAGGCGACTATTACGGGTTATGGCTCATCACTACCAACCGGAGTTCTTGTCGGCAGTTATTATGTTTGGACGAGGACATGGTATGTTGGGAGGTTGAATCTCGTGGATATGATAGTTTTCTGACTTGCATAGGTACTATTACTCTTATTGGTGGTCTACCACCATCTTCATTGAGACGACTAAACTGGTGTCGACTTCCACCCGAGTCACTACGACAACTCACTATACTGCTAGAACGACTGATTCGGAAAGGGCCAGTTCCAGCTTCGTGTCGTGGTACTCCGCCTGGCAAACTCCTACACCGCAGGAGGCCAATCTGCCGCCGAGCCCTACTGGCACTCTGAGTGAATTGGCGCCAACATCGTCGAGGGCCTCCACAGCTCAAGGCGCAATCGCAACTCAATCGGGGAATGCGCCGAGCGGATCGTCGCATATGAAGCCATCATTTGGATTGACTTGGGTGGTTGCTGCATTTATGTTCTTGGGCCCCGGCGTTTTGATGGTGTGGTTGTGATGAGAGATAATGGACTGGGATGACTACCATGAGCACCTGAGATATATAATACCCAATGATACCCTAATCGAAATCGAAATCGTAAACTTCTCCGCATTGGGCAGACATCCGTGGAGCAGCTTGCCACATGCGATCAGCCTCCTGGGTTCTTGACTGCATTACTCTCCTTATGCACAGGATAGGGCTAACTTCTAGCTTCTGGCCCTAGCATCTGAAGTGCCCTATATCACGATCACGTCTGCTCTCTTAATATGATCATAAATGATTTGGATCCCTTATCCATACTCCGTACAAGTGTGCTCAGTATGGATGAGTTTACCGCAACATAAGTTCTTAGTCGTCTTCAGTCAAATTAAGTAGCGCCTTTTCGACGAGTCTTCCTTCGCCCCTTATGCTGTGAAGTTGTAATCTGCGACTGGCTGTGAGCCCTCGACAAGCGCAATACAGTATATCTCTTCCAGTTTGTAGCGCCCGCCTTATTTTGCTCAAATGAATATTTCCCGAAGCCGCCGTGCAAGTGCAGGTGCTGTTGTGCAAGTGAGTATCGCGTGCTTGACAAGCCCGCAACCGTAATTGTCCTTCAGGCAAAATCGTCAATCCTAGAATGCGCGCATCACAACCACCTCGGTAGGATGAGTGCCGTGCTTGTTTCATTTACACAGACTCGAAGGCTCGGTTGCGTTCCTATCCAACTTACCTGCGGTATCTCCCCCGACACATAAAACAATATAGAATTAATTTTCCGATCAATTACAGACACGTTATATGCTGCATCGCAGCGGTGCAATGCGTTATTTCAGAAACACTGTCACAAGATTGATACGGAATGGATAAAAAGCGGAAGGAGGTTAGGAACAGTGATGCGGATTTAGTGGGTTGCCTATTCGAGACCTGATCGCAATTAACCTGATCGCAGATCCCATGCCGAGCGCCAAATCTCCAAACAATGCCGGCGCCTCCCTCCTCATTGTCCAATCAATCGTTTGGGATAGATAACCTTAATACATGAGCCGGAAATCTTGCAGCGGCGATTGTTCTGTTGTAGGAAGTTCCAGGGATTGACAGGAATGGATCAACAATGACCATCCATGTTCCCCTATCTCGTTGGATCTGCAGGCTCATTGTTGGCAGCAGGTACATTACTGTGCCTGGCTAGTAGAACCCCGCGTTCATAAATACAAGAAGCTCTCGGCCCTCCTTCAGGATGTTGGCAATCCGGCTACCTCTCGTCTCCCTTCTCCCTTTTATTTCGCGATCGTCATGGTTTCCCTCAAGAATCTTCTGGTCGTCCTGGCCGTTTCGGCTTCCAGCTTCGCAATTCCATTTTCGTCTCGCGAAGATGGGCAATTTAAAGCCAGTATTTATCAGAAGCTTCCTGCCCCGCCGGCAGGCTGGGAGAGGGATGATAGTGTGAAGCTTGATAAGGATAGCTTTATGGTTAAGCTAAGGATCCATTTGGTGCAGCAGGGCATGAAAAAGTTCCATGATTTAGCAATGAAGGTACACACACCAAGCAATGCACAAATTTTCACGACGGATGTGTCGAGTTCCATTCACAATCCTTCTTTCTATAGGAGGGCAAATAAGGGTGTAGGGGGCTTTAATAGCACTCGACACCAATGGTCGAGGACGTGGGAGCTTCCTGATCGAGGCTTGACTGCAATCGATTTCACATACTTATGCTAACCGCTTCCAGATTGCTACTCCAGGACACGAGCTTTATGGCGGCCATCTTGCCCAGCACGTAATTGACTCGATGATTGCGCCAAAACAAGAATCTAAAGATCTGGTCTTGGAATGGCTAGACACCGAAGGGTTGAGATCTCATGCTGAAGTCTCCCCACGATCTGACTCCATCATTGTTGAGGCTAGCCTTGAGCAAATCGAGAAGCTTTTGAAGGCAGAGTACAGCAAATTTGGTGAGCTAGCTCGGTTTACATATTACGAAAGATTTTCTTCGTCGAAATTGGAATATGTCGCTTTAGCATATAGATATTGTCTACAATGCTAATTCCGAATAGTTCGACCGGAATCAGGCGACAGTGCCGTGAGAACACTGGAATATAGTCTCCCAGATATTCTCAAAGGTCATGTGGATATGGTCCAACCAACAACTTTCTTCGGCCTCCGAGCAATGAAATCAACGATCAAGGAAGTCACCATGAACATTGAAGACAATATTGCTGCAAATAAAATCAACACCGCGGCCAGTCCGGCAGCAGTCAAGGGTTGCAACAGCAACAGCATCACGCCTATTTGTCTTGCCAATCTTTATAACTTTGCATCCGACACAACAAACCAGACTGTCGGGAGAATGGGCATTGCAGGATTTCTGGAGCAGCATCCGATCCAATCCGACCTCAAAACCTTCATGAATAAGTATGCTTACTTCGACAACAAAAATGAGACTTACAGCTGTGAACTGATCAACGGCGGCACATGCCCAGCAACTGACGTAACAAACAACATTGTCGAAGCCAACCTTGATGTTCAGTATGCTCGCGCTATCACTCAAAACATACCCAATGTCTACTACAGCACTGGTGGCAGACCACCTTGGCTCGGGTCGGGAGGCAATACCAACGAGCCTTACCTTGAGTTCCTCAACTACCTCCTCGCTCTTGATGATGACTCTCTCCCAAACACAATGTCTATCTCGTACGGAGATGACGAAGCCACCGTCCCTATCGACTACGCAAACACCTGCTGTGACCTCTTTGCTCAGCTTGGCGCTCGTGGCGTCTCTATCTTGGTGGCTTCAGGAGATTCCGGCGTTGGCAATAGTTGCAAGGTGGACGGAAAGGCCCAGTTTACAACCGCTTTCCCTGCCGCTTGCCCCTGGGTCACAACGGTTGGCGGCACTACAGGTACTAGCCCCGAGGGTACTTGGTCTGATGGAGGGGGTGGCTTCTCCGAAATTTTCGGCCGTCCCAGCTACCAGAATGATACCGTAAACACCTGGCTTGAAACGGACACGACACACACGGCCATCAGCAAATACTTCAACAGCTCCGGGCGCGCATATCCCGATGTATCTGCTCAAGCTATGAACTTCCTCGTGGTACTCCTGGGCTCCGCCGCCGGGGTTTCTGGAACGAGCGCTGCTTGCCCGACTTTCGCGAGTGTGGTGCAGTTGTTGAATAGCGATCGGCTTGCAAGCGGGAAGAAGCCTTTGGGTTTTTTGAACCCGTGGTTATATGGTGAGGGAGCTAAGGGGATGAATGATATCACGACCGGGAGGATCACAGGATGTAGTGGAAGTATTAGTGGAGCGGGATTTTCTGCTGTCGCTGTGAGTTTTGTGCCCTCTTCCTTCCTTTCCGAAAAGCGACCATGACTGATTCGGTAATTAGGGGTGGGATCCAGCAACTGGTCTCGGGAGCCCCAATTACGGGTCTCTTTTGGCGATTTCTCGTGCCACAGCGTGAAGAGTTAAACCCTGCAGATGTTGAGTGACGTGTATATGGAAGTACAAGGGATATACATGTCTATAAACTGGAGACTTTTGGGGTTAATCACTAGCACATTAGTGATGTTATATTACGACCGCTACGACTTAGTCCGTTGTGCCCTTTTGAGGGTTGATTTCTAATTACCTCTTTTCCCTCACTTTATTTTGACTTGATTGTTCGCCCTATTTTGTCCTGTTCCCCCTAGAAGGGGTGATCTCGGTGAAATCCACCACACCTAACTCCACAGCACGCTTGCTCCTATTTCCTCGCTTATAGAAACCTGATGCTATTAGCGCGGATAGTAACCCCCTATTTTCATTTCTTGATTAAATATTGTAGCAGAATCGACCAGGAAAAATAGTTAAGGAGCTACATGAATTGGACTTTAATGTCAACTTACATCTCACATGGTTCAGAAAGCATTTCCAAATTACAACACCATTTTTTATTTTTTATATTACATTCCCATTTCCCAATCAAATTTTTATCTATCATATCCTCCACAATGTTTCCAATCTTTCAACCCTTTGCATACATATGAAACCTTATTGTAGCATGTATCAAGATCTCCCATCATGTATCCAGGGCTTGGTTTCAAGGTTTACAATAAAACCACAGCCACAACGGCAACGATAATGGCAGCGCTCTGGCTTCCGAGCATCTTGATGCTAGCCCCAGCAGAGGAGGTGCTGCGGAGATGGATCTTGCCATCGGGGCTCTCTATGAGGGCGCGGGCATGGACTCCTGGTTGGCCATCGGGTTTCTGGCCAGCAGTTCCACCACCACCACCGCCACCTTGACCAGAGCCACCTCCGCCTTGCCCAGAACCACCGCCCCCGCCTGTTTGTATCTGACCATCTGGGATCTGTGAGGCTCCGCCACCTCCTGCCTGGCCACCTCCTGGTTGTCCACCTCCTGGTTGTCCACCTCCTGGCTGTCCACCTCCTGGTTGACCACCTCCTGGCTGTCCACCTCCTGGCTGTCCACCACCTTGGCCAGTACCACCGCCCCCACCTGTTTGTACCTGACCATCTGGGATCTGTGAGGCCCCACCACCTCCTGGTTGACCTCCTCCTGCCTGGCCTCCTCCCGCCTGTCCTCCGCCTGCCTGGCCACCTGATCCGCCTCCACCTTGGCCGCCTTGACCACCGGCTTGGACTTGACCGTCTGCGATCTGTGAGGCTCCAACACCTCCACCTGAGCCACTGCCTCCACCTGAACCCCCAGTTGAATTTCCAACTCCACCGCCACCACCAGTATCAGCACCACTTCCTTCGCAGGGAAGAAGATTTAGCAAAGTGGGGATGCATTGGTCGGTCAAATGCTTGTTGTAGATGTTGAAGAACCCGCCACTATCACATTGGAAAAAGTCCGGGGAGCCTTTCAATTCCAAGGTTTGATTCTTACAGACGGACCAACCATCGGTAGCAAGGGCGTCGGGCTGCGGAGGATTATCAAACTGGAACTGGTTATTGGCGGCAATGTAGCCAGTACGGCCCTGACTATCCGTGAGTTTGCCGTCGGAAAGTTCAACTGTCAAAGTGCCTTCAACTGAACAGTCGGTAGAGTTCTGAGAGAAAGTCAGTTGCGATATTTCCCTCTGCAGTAGAGCCCCATACCCGTATGTCGCGCTTCGCAGACGCACTAGTATCGGACTGGATAAGGAACTTTCCTGGGGAGGAAGAAGTACAATCACCAGATGGGGTTGTACCACCTTGGGGAGCGGCAGCGGCAGCTGCGGCTAGGGCAGCAAATGCAATTGTAGTTCGCATCTTAACAATGAGTAAAAATGCTCCAGAATATGGATAATGAGATGAAGCGGATATCAACCGTGTATGCGGCAACTGGGGGCTTAAGTAGAAGTGTATAAGAGATAGAGAAAGGTATGATATAAGAGCCAGTACACATTTTGTGGACTGGATAGTTGAGTGACAGAGACATCCACAACGACCAATACATCATTAAAGTTTGGAACGATATATCCATGACCAGTGCCATCCGTCAGCATGAAAGCGGCGGTATGCATTCGTCATTTTAACGGTGATCTCCAGAACTTAAACAGAAATAACAGTCGATACTAAGCCGTGAGGGCCCTTGAAGGATTATGATTGAGGCTATAAATAAAGTGGAATATGACAAAATGAAGACTAATAGAGACAAAACCTAGCTGAATAATTTGACCTCAGACTGGTAGATCAAAGTAAACTGATATCTAATGACAGAGCAATTATTGTGAAGTTTCCTCAAAAGCTGTTACTTTGCAAGCTCTAATTGGATGCAGATGTAAACGGCTGGATATCTGAAAAGTCATATGTTCTGGCCACTAGTAGTTAGCGCCTCAGGTAAACTATATTAATAAAGAAAATGGGGCGGTTGGAAAGGAGGTTTCGGAGTTTTCGCAAATCAAAAAGATGTTATGGCGAAAGAGTTTGTTGTATGATTCAACGAACGGGAGGAGAATATTCCATCCGAAGACTGATGGCGTAATACTCGAATGTTTGCGGTAGTGCCGCGATTGAGACGGCCACGAACCTAGGAACGGCGTGGAAGAACGGAATTGCCGGATCAGTTGGCCCTCTCAAGCCGAAGCCCAACCTAGTGAAGTCTTCAAAGGTTCCTCATCTAAAGATTTTATATCAACCCAAAGCAGGAAGGACACTGCGGGGAGGTTAGTCTCCATATAAAAAGCTTGAATCTCAAATATTATAGCGAAGGGCGTAAACTGAGAGAAACGAGAGCTTACAGTGGCCAAACAGAATTTCCGGAACTCAAATCCAACAGCCCCCGAGTCAAATTTTGATACCATGATAGGGAGAATGGTATGCGGAGGCGCCATATCCAAGAAGCTAAGTGTTAAGCAATTCCCTCGTGCTGAGAACTGATGAGCAGCCTCATATTGCTCAGTGCGGTGAAGGCATCGACAATTGGGACTGTGGTTCACGCAGGAAGAATATCAGCCCGCTATTCCATTCCCGAGTTCTCTACAAAACCCCAGGTCTCGAGACTTCATCTTTCCTTCCCATCATCTCATGCCATCTTTTGTTGCTAAGAAAATGACTCGATCTTGATCCTGCAACTTGTCTGTTCACCTATCCGCAGCATCCGATCAGACCACAGTGTATCATATCCCGAACTTCTATTCTATTCCTAGATTTTCGAATTCGATGCTTATTGTAGAACATACTATACATCGCCCTGCGGAACTATCATATGCTCAGTATACTTCGGATTGGAACACACTAGACCATGACGATGAATGTAAACTTTGCTACCCGGTTCCTCCGCGCAATTTGATTCTAACACATTAGGGTCGGGAAATAAGTCACAAAAACTGGTGCAGTGCTTTCTAGATCGTGGTAATGGGCAATGAATAGATAATGGTGATAGATGGTGAGTGACAGCGAGGGGGAGGGACGATGTGAGGTTGGAGATTGCCCAAAGTGGGATCCCTGTCCGCCAACCCAAAATGGCCTATCTCCTACAACCTCTGGGCCCTTGAGCCTTATCCTGGTTTCTCGATCACATCATATCATATCATCGCATTATCTGCTTTCATTCATTCATGGATTGTCGCGTCTGGCATGTGTCGCATAGTCTAATTGTTCCAAGAGTATGCGATGCGATGTATAATTACGGAGCATACAGTGCTTCCTATGTCAAACCCTCGTTTTGGCTTGCCAGAAGCTTTGTTTTTCGCCCTTTCCGACGACGGCTCATCGAGTTGACATAGTCAAAGCCCCCCCCCCCCCCCTCAAAAACAATCTGCTCCTCAATCATTCTACTATTGAATTGTTCTGATGTACACCTGTCTCTTATACACATCTAGATGTGTATAAGAGACAGGTCCTGGATCTTTCCCTAGTACTGTGCTTCTCTGCTCGGTCCAAATGCCCGTGGCATTTAGTATCTATGATCCCCGCTGCCGAAGCGCGTCTCATACTTTAGCTTTTCGTTACTTTTATGAGATAATAGCCAGAAGGAGTCATACATCAAATCTGCTATCCAAATTAATCCTCCAGGTACTAATCTTAGCATCAACTATCCCCAAGTCTCTCAGGTTCGAGTAAGCGTCTAGAGATCCGAGTGCCTATCCTCGATTACTAACAATCGAATGTCGTTTTAAGGTCTCGAGGATGAAAATTGCAAGCTGGGACTGCGCCAATTTTGGCGAAGCTCAGTTACCGCCTAGGCAGGAAGAAGAAGAAAAAGGAACCGCCGCTGAGAAAAAAGTGCATGGTTGAAAAGGATGGATGGGGAAGGGAACCCGGGAAAAGGTAAGGTGTTGCCGTGCGTATGTAGGCAAATGAATTCCGCCTATACTATTCATTTCAAGCCAATCGCCAACATATTGTTATATAGATAGAGTGGTGGAACCTAATAGACCAAGACCCCAATCAATAATACTTTCTAAAAGGCTTCCTATTCAACTTACTATCATCTGAAGCGCCTCTTGAACGCGCCCCCTTCGGATACCCCTGAACTAATTCGTAATACGTAGGGGGCGAACGTATGTCCTTCCTGCTATCGTTGTCCTCCGCAATAAGATAATACTCAATATGTGTATTGATGATCAATTCGCTAGATATCACTAGTGCCTAACAAAGAGATATCGAGATATCCCCATGCTGCCATCTGATTCGTTGAATGCAACTAATATAGGGGTTAACCGCCCCGTCTCACGAATAGGGGCCCTAACCGAAAGCCCCTGAATAGGGAATCCCTACACTCTCTCACCCGTTGAGTTCTCAGAAGTTAGTAGATGACAATATCTAAGTAAGGTGGCAAGCAAGTCTCACTGCACCGCTCCACCGAGAGGAAACCAAATATATCAAACTCCCTAGCCGCTTCTCAAGAAGTGAGTCGAAACCACTTTATCCATAGCTAGCGTCCAAAAGATAATAGCACGGCATTTCATCAGGAACGAAGTCCCGATTTTGATTAGTTCCTGTCACCTCATCTATGGTTTATAGCCCTGTATGCCATTCAAGTTCCAATAACAAAGAATTTACCTTGTCCAGCGTTGGCGGCGGATCGTAAGTCACTTGCTCGTGTGGCATTAAGATTCTGAGCTGTAGATAACGGGAGATGAGTTTCATAGTTCATGCGACTGAAAAGCGGGAATATAGACTAGGCGGCAAAATCCTCGTTTGAATTCCTCGACGTGAATCTCAACTTCTACAGATTCTTTATAGACTTTCGATAGGAGATCCAACTCCGTATTATTGCTGGCTACCTCAAGGCTTCCAAGAACACCTTAACTCCGCCAGATTGGTATCAAATCCCCGGATCTAAACGTGTTCTTCCGGTGATCTACTCCCGATCCGCCTTCCACAATCCATACGGACCTTGGCAGTTCTTCCACATCTTGATCGTTCCATCCTCGCTGCCAGTGGCATAGAGCTTTCCATCGGGGGAGAAGCTGATGCTCCAAATCGGACCGTGATGACCTTTATGTACATCTGGATATCTTAGCCATGAATCTCAAGGAAGGAGGAATTGCTTACCTAGTTCATTCTCCGAATCGTAATCGTACACCTTAGCCCAAGTGTCCTTAGCACCACCAGTCACAAACTTCCTCTGTGAAGGATGTAAGGCGACACTTGCAACCTCGTATGGCAAAGTAACCGATTTGATCAGACCACGAGCATCGTGGCCGCCATAAAAGTACACAGTTTTGCCAGCCGCGATGCAGAGGACTGGGAAACCACCACCGATATCATTCCGCTCAGGTTTCACGTTGGTGAATTCGCAGGAACCGATGTCGCCTTGTACAATCTGCTCTTGTACAACAGTTCGAGTGCGCAGATCCCACCACCGTATGGCTTTATCGTCTGCGGCTGTAACCAGTATATTAGGATCGCGGGTCCACACGATGGCTTTGATCGTGCCCTTGTGAACGCCAGGTCCAATTTCAAAGCCCTCCTCGGCGGTTATAACTGAACGGTCCGCAGAGCCATTGGATTTCTGATCAGGAGTAGACACCCCAACCATCTTCTTTTGTGCAGGTGCTGCTGGCGCAGAAATAGGAGCTACACGGGAAAGGTCAAATATGCGAAGTTTCTTCTCCATTCCACCAGTCGCAAGAAGGTGCCCTTGTTCAGGAGGGAACGCGATAGCTCGGACTATGTGGTTGTGTTGGAGAGTGCAGACAACTTCGCCGGTATGTGTATCCCAGACCTTCCTAACATCTACTCAGCAATTGAAGCAATTAAGAGGGTATAACGGAGGCTTACGCTGTAAAATCTGCGGAGGCAGTGGCTGCACTCGCGGCATCAGGGGAAAGTCGAGCTTGGTAGACCGCGCCTTTATGACCAAAGAATGTACCAATCCTATAGAGTATAAGCCAAGCGCACGTAAAGTACACAATGTAATAGCATACCAGTCGCCGGTAACGCCGTCCCGTAGCATAGGATTGTTGTCTAGATAAATGTCAGTCATGCATGGTTAAGAGATACATCACGTAAATACAGACCTTTACAAGCAGAGATCAAATAAAATTCATCATCTCCATCAACAAAGCCAGAAAAGCTGAGATGCATAACAGGTCGGGAATGTCCATGGCACGTGAGAGGAACAAACTGTTTCGAAATTTCAGGTCCCCCCATGATTACGATCGTCGATGTGGGAGGCTTCGTGAGGGATGCGATGTGCGAATAGCGTCGTTATATTGAGAGTGTTAAGAGCCTTGTCTACAACAGTATATTTTCAACCACCAGAAAGGCGAGAAGAATGACGTCGGGTAGCGAAAGTAGAGCGGAAATGCTGGTAGTGCCCGGGCAGGCAGGCGAAGACGGTCTTGCGACGGCGTGTAGTGTGGGAACGAAAGGGGGGAATATCCGTATCGCAGAGTCGCGAATTGAATGCGTTCCAAGATAAAAGATTCGTGAAAAGGGTCGTAACGGTCGTTAAAGTGTCGCAGTGCCCCTCAAAGCGCGATGTTTTTCTCGGGGGTCTCGATCTTCTCAACAGCGACAGCAAAGAGCACCTGAACTTGAAGGTATTGCCACAGTCCAAGGGCTCTCCTGGTGGAAAAGAGAGAGGATATTCCTGGAGGAAGAAGGACTCGAGGGTGGAGGTGAATTTGCCGTAGCGTCAAACACTATAGATAAGGACCACGTGACTGTTATCGGGAAAGGTACCTGGGTACATATGGTGTACGTACCTGGAAGCTCGTCGACAGACATAGAACGAGATGCCATTGTAAACCGCATCTCACTGCTCACAACGAATAGCAAACTTGAGTATCCCGCAATAGGAAATAACAATCACGGCTTCTATTGCCATGGCCGAGTACAAGCTCTCGGCTTCACTGTCCGGACATGAAGACGATGTGAGAAGTCCCCCGGGCTAATCAGGACCCCGCCATTCTTGAGATTTTGATATAAACATGAATACTGATCTCCCCTCGTCATTAGGTTCGCGCAGTGGCCTTTCCTTCCTCGAAAGCTGCCATTTCAGCCTCCCGAGACGGCACAGTACGATTATGGAAGCTCCTCTCCGACAATCCTCCCTTATTTGACGCCAACATAGCTTCAAACGCCACAGCCTTTGTAAACGCCGTTGCGTATCTTCCCCCAAGCCCGCCCTTCCCAGAGGGCCTGATTATATCTGGTGGGCAAGATACCGTAATCGAAGTACGCCAACCGTCGAATGCCCCCCAAGACAATGCCGAGGCACTACTACTGGGACATCATAAAAACGTATGCGCGTTAGATGTGGACCAGGCTGGAAAGTTTATCGTCAGCGGGAGCTGGGATGGTGAAGCAAGAGTATGGCCTGTTGGAAAGTGGGAATGCGAAGCCGTTCTCAAAGGACATGAGGGTAGTGTTTGGGCAGTGTTAGCTTTTGATTCGGAGACAATCATCACGGGTTGCGCCGACAAGCTTATTCGAGTCTTCAACACAAATGGGAAGCTATTACGGACAATTGGAGGAAGCCAAGATGTTGTGCGGGCCTTATGCCGGATACCTAAGGGACACCCGTCCGGTGCTGACTTTGCCTCGGCTTCCAACGATGGAATTATTCGACTATGGACGATTTCTGGTCGTCAAGTGGCAGAATTATTGGGGCACGAGAGCTTTATCTACTCATTAGCATCGTCTCCTTCAGGGGAGCTGTTTAGTTCTGGCGAGGACAGAACGGTGCGGGTGTGGAAAGGCACCGAGTGCATTCAAACCATCACGCATCCCGCAATATCTGTCTGGGGTGTAGCAGTTTGCGGAGAGAATGGGGATATTGTTACTGGCGCAAGCGATAGAGTAGTACGAGTATATACCAGAGATGCAGCACGATTTGCCGATGCTGAGACAACGCGGCAGTTTGAGGAGTCTGTCAAGGAATCGTCGATACCTCAACAGCAACTTGGCGATGTCAATAAGGAGAAATTACCTGGACCGGAATTTTTGGTACAGAAGGCGGGTACGAAAGAGGGGCAGGTGCAGATGATTAGAGAACTAAACGGTGCCGTTACCGCACATCAGTGGTCGGTTGGTAAGTCTTGTTCTTGCAACCTGTAGTCAACCGTCTACTAACTCCTAGCAGGCCAGCAGCAATGGATTAATGTTGGTACAGTCGTAGATGCAGTGGGAAGCAGCGGGAAGAAGGTTGGTTCCCCATTATATTTATTCATCTGATACTAACTAGCTTAGGTCGACTATCTAGGCAAAGAATATGACTATGTCTTTGACGTCGATATCGAAGATGGGAAACCACCATTGAAATTACCCTACAACCTCTCTCAAAATCCCTACGAGGCTGCCACTAAGTTCATCCAAGACAATGAGCTTCCAATAACATATCTTGATCAAGTCGCAAAATTTATTACTACCAACACCCAAGGCGCAACTATTGGACAGCCCGCAGCACCAATTTCGGCACCAGATCCCTGGGGCAGCGATAATCGATATAGGCCAGGAGATTCAACCGCACCGGCTGTCTCGATCCCTCCTAAAGTCCTCCCACAAAAGGAATATCTCGATATCCTTGTCGCACGAGTTCCAGCAATACAAAAGAAAATTGTGGAATTGAACCAAGCTTTGATAGAAGGTGGCCACAAAGATGTGTCTTTAAATCCGACCGAGCTCTCAGTATTATCAACTCTGTGCAAGCACTTGGATTCAACCGGCGCCACAAAGGCATCCCAATCTGTGACTGGTGGCCTCGATCTCGCCGTCAAGCTGACAACGACCTGGTCATACAAAGATCGATTACCAGGCTTGGATATTCTACGGTTACTCGCCGTAGCCCCTGAAACAGCAACGTTCTCGCACCCCCGAGGCGGGAACATAATCGACGTCCTCGAAACAGGGGCAACAGATACGCAACCGCCAGCAGAGAACCACGTAATGATGGCCATCCGTGCATTCGCCAACCTCTTCTCCTCCGCCGAAGGCCGCCAGCTTGCGGCTTCAGAGTTCACAAAAATCCAATCTATCATCACACCCTTCATTTCCTCTGGAACTACAAACCGCAATCTCCTCGTCGCGGTAACAACGTTGTATATCAACTACGCGGTATATTTCAAGACCGAGAACCAGACACCCGCTTTCGACACTGTCATCGCTTTGCTAGATACCCTAGCTAAGATTCTTAGCACAAGCACGGATGCGGAAGCTGTATACCGTGCCCTTGTGGGGACTGGGACACTGTTGACACTTGACGAAGAGACACGAAGTGCAGCGAAGGAGGTTTACGGCGTGGAGAAGTGTGTGCAGAGCGCGGTGGGGAGGGTGAGTGATGTGAGGATCAGGAATGCTGCGAGGGAGATTGGGGAGCTATTAAGAAGCTAGTGGTTATAGTTCTATGAAAATAAAAGGACATGAGAATATGAGTGATGAAAAACAGCTTTGCTAGATTTGCATTTATAAAGCGGATAGCCTAGATAGATCCAGCCTGCAAGTAGCGTTCGTATGAGAAAATCGTATTGCCTGTCTACATCTACACCTGTACTGTACCTTCCGATCGATGGGGCCTTTTACCGGCCTGGTGGTTCATGAGAGAGGCTTGGCTTGTGAAGGGAAGCGTTGGGATATGTGCCCCTATGTGTACTACATCATGAGCAAACAAGGATACAGCAGTAGTAGCGATTGATTGAGAGAAAGCGATTCGTTCATCTATCTCACAACTAGTATCAAACTATCTGAAAGGTCATCTCCCTTCTTCTTTTCCTTCACCCATTCCTTTCCTTCTCCTCCTCCTCTCACCCTGTGTCGCCGATAAAACAGCCAACAGATAGCTAGGCCCGTCATACGATGCCCAAAAAATTACAAAGGGAGTATAAAAATAGACTATGTTCCCTCACACCCCTTTCGCCATTTCCCAACCCCGATAAAAAAAAACGCCCCAATATACATGGCCTAGCTGGCTGGACTAGGGTAGGTCAAGGTCCATATCTACAAGTGAGGAGCCCTGGTTCCTTTATTTCTTCTTCATCTTCGGTTCATCTCGTCTCTTCGAGGAACTTGGCTTGAGTGCTTAGTTGATTGTTGTTCATGAGAGGGTGGCTTAACGGCCTCTCGTCAGTCCTTGTCGGGTGGCCGCTTATAGGAAAGTGAACATAAGCAGCGCTGCAACGGGCCAGAAGGAAGCCCTGGCGAGCGTTTTCGATGCAGATGAGGCCGTGTTGCCGCTTATCGCAGTGGAGAAGACGTTATTAAAGGAGATATCTGACGAATTGAAACAATTCGTCTCGTTGACTTCGTCGACGTCTTCGGGGAGCGCGAACGTGATATCGACGCACTATTACATAAAATTAGCTTTTAAGCTGTGATATTTACTAGGTTGGGGAGAGCTTACAGAATACAGGGCCGCTCCATGTATCGCCGTCTCTACAACCTGAATGGTTGCATTATCCCCCACGTTCACGGTGAAATTGGGTATATTGGGTAGCGGCACTTGTGGTAGGCAAAAGGTTCCAGGATATGGATTCTTCGACGGGCCGACGATTTGGAAGACGGGCACCATTGGGAAGGACATGTTTGGTGGGCCGTGGTCGGGTCCGTCAGTGCCGAATCCGATGTTCATGTAGAAGAATGCCGTGGCATGCCCTTGGAACCAGCCTGGTTGGAGAGCGATGGCGCCACCGGTGACGGGCCATTTGGTGCGGTTGGTGGTTGTGTAGTGGCCGCCGCCTAGGAAGGGGACGTTAGATGGATGTGAAGAGAGAGAAACAAATTGGAGAAAGACATGCATATATTCGCTCGGGCCTAGGAACGAGTATAGAATGATAGACATGGGAAGACTAAGTCCACTCATCCACCAAATCCTCCGATCACATGGCCTTCATCTGCGATGCTCGATCTTGATATAAGAGAAAAGGCATAACTCACAAGGATACATCCATTGCATGCCATAGGGGTATGTCTCGTTGGTCACCAAGTTATCGCCCCTCCAGCCCGGATACGTGAGGACAGTGTGAGCCTCGGCCACCGTCCAGCATAACGCCGCGATCAGACATATACTTCGAGAGAACATGGCGATGGGATATGTTGTCGGTCCACACGCTTTGCAAAGTTCATTCAGAGGCGGGTTCTCGTTTCCCGGTTCCTTTTTCCGGTTTCTCGATACCCGGTATCGTGATTATGGGGGTTGTAGCGTACTCAAGTAGCAAGCACTAAGTAACAGAACAGGCGAGAGGGTAGAGATATAGAATCAACACACAGGATTTCAGAAAGCGCAATCCGAGAAATAGGAATAAAGAAGAGGTCTGAAAGCTGCAACCATCTTGGCTGTCAGCTCTCTTTTGATCTGTCTGGCCAGAAGCGACGGCGGGCAGTCCACCACCAACAGAACGGCATTGCATCGCATTCTGGGCGGATGGAGGGGAAAGAAACTCGCACAAGCACACGCAGATGCAGCAGCCAGAACACCGGGCGGCTGCGGCACCGCCAATCACTGCGGCGATCCAGCCTCTCGCCAGGCTAATAACGCGATGATTTGCAGGCCGCAGCAGGGTCTCGTCGCCCATCACAGGGAGCAATAAAGGGGAGAGGCCAATCAGTCGCCAGATGGGCTTCCTCGATGCGCCGGGCATTTCGACGCGAGACACAGCGAATAGTTGCTTCTCACCTCAGCGTGGAGTAGTCATCACCTTCAAGCCCGTTCAGGCCTCCTATCAACCAGCGACCACAGCCAGGCGGGCAGCACCCCCGGGCCATCCGAGCATATCACATCGAGAGCTTCGACGCCCAAATAATGTCCCCTCGAATCGCGATCATAGCCGCTCGGGAGCCGGGAGGAGCCAGCGGCGTTGTTGAGCTTTGGGGCGGAGGCAGAGGGTGGGGAGAGAAGGTGGTTGAGCTGCCATTGATGGGGGCCAAGGACCTGAGAGACTCCGTTCTTCAGTGGCCAGTGTGATACTATTACCCTATTCCGAACGTAGCACTACCTACTACCTGCTTCGTAGTCCTCGAGTACCCGAGTAAGGTAGTTAATAATGGAACAGCTAACAGGCGTTGACTTGGATGCAACGCAACAGCGCAAAGGAGAGCGCCTGCAACGCCTAGGATAGAACGCCTAAAAGCTATCGCTTTGGGGCCTTGGGCAGAACAATATCGGTACAGCATGCACAGCACGACTGAATCCGGGCGCCGAGGAGGGCGAGAGGGCGTCGTGACTGGTACTTCGACGTCGTGGTTGACGCCAAATTAGAAATGGCAGCGGAAGTTCCCATTACCAGGCACGGAACGGAAAGGTAATAGCTGTGCCATCATTGTGCCTCCGTCTGCATACATTCCGCCGAGGTATTATTATCATCGTGCTTGACTGTCGCAAACTAAAGGCAACCTGAAGGAGCGTCTGTTTGGTCTCGTCACTTGGTAGCAATTGTCGCCGCGACAATACTCGCCAGTGGTCAGAATAGTCATCGTAAACTTTCGATAATTCATGCCATACTTCGCAGAATCGTCCGACTCGACGCGCCCAGCGGGTGGGTTCGCTCTCTCATCACATCACACATCACACATCAAACATCTCATACCACAAACCACACATGGCCGGCGCTTGGAGAAAATTGAGGAATCCCGACAGTTCGGATTCCAACTCTGCTAGTACTCTGTATGCACAGCCGGAGTGCTGTAGCTCCTTCGAAGTTCGGAGGTAGACTGGTAGGATCCTTGAGTCTTGGGTCCTTGAGTCCTTAGTAGTGACAACCATGATTGAACCATACTGTTGTAGCCACCACTCGCCCCCAGCGGTATCTTATCGCATGCCAGCCAGGGGCAAAGGCGGTCACAGCCGTTTGGCCATCTGCCGTCCGGCTAATCCACCCCTCAGCTACGTAACTTTCTTTTCTAAAAATAAAAATCCCACCCACCCAAACTTTCCAAACGTCAACAATATCAATATATTGTTTGTGCATCGGGTGGTACAGTGCGCAGTACCTATCATTGAACCCCTTTCCCAGACCTCTGACATCGACTTGCCTACGCGAATCCCACCCTACCCAAATTTGGATCTTTTTTCGTTTCCTGGGGTGCAGTTCTTAGGACTCGAGATCCGTTGCTTATACGGATAGCGAAGTCAAAAATAGAAATACACAAAGGATTACGAAAGGGAAAATGCCGCACACGAACCGCAAGAAGAAGACGCCCGCGGGCATGAAGTCTGTAACGGACCAGAATCGGAAGCAGATCATCGTTCATACCAAGCGGAAGGAGGTGCTGGATGACGAGGGATGGACACATGTTGTGGACAAGCCCAGTCGCCAACGGGCATCATCCGTCACAGAGTCAAAAGATGCTGGCAAATACTGGTCCATTGGCGCGGATTTCAAGGTTGGTGATGCGTATTATATCAATCGGACAATAGAGGAAATCCAGGAGGAATTTACACATAGCAAGAAGGCTTGGGAAGGGAGCCCGGCTTGCGCCTCGCTAAAGGCATTGCTGGACGAGAAAATGAAGGCGGACAGCAACACCAAGAAGATCTCGAGAGTGGTAGCACTTGGTCTAGGGAGTTTGCAGAGTTCGAGAACCCAATCGCGGAAAACGTCGTTCACACAAATGGCTGCTTTAGAAACAATATTGCAGATTATGGGTGAGTGTGCTTGCGACAACTACAAATCTTAGAGGATGCTAACTATCTATGTTTCTTAGCCAAGGAAGAGACGATTTCGATGATATTCCAAGACCCTGTTTTCACCGATCTAGATAAGGAGTTTTTGGTGACTCTTGGCCACCAGGTCGTCGAAGATCCTGCCGCATTCGATCAAATTGATGAGAACACCCTGGTTTACGCTATACACTGTTATTCTGATGTATATCAGAAGGTCAGTCAGGCTCCAAAACCGGCTGTCTTAGTTAGTACAGACGTGGAATTGTTTGACAGGACGAGCTTGTAAGTCTTTTAACTCGATATCCCTAAAGGGCTACATTAACAAGTTGGCAGGGATGGCGAGAAAGGAGATGTTAAATCTCTAGGCGCCATGGTCGAAAGTTATGAGGCAATCCCATTTCCTCAAATCCGGCACGATTTCTCGGATACCAAGATATACTGGCCGAAGAATGTGGAAAGTGGAAACCCTTGAGAGTCGGGGTCGATGTCAGTTAATGGATGCGTGGGGCTCCCGCATTTTATATCTGCAAACTTAGAGAAAGCCCTCTTCCGAGTTGATCAAGCTGCTCGAAAGCTCGAGCGCTCAGTGCACATCGCTGGTCGAGGGCTCCCTGCACGTGGAGCGAGCCAACAGGCTCAATTGCAGAGCCGGGACTCCCCTTTGTGCAATAGAAGCCTATGCAGCAAAGCATCCAAAAGAGGAGGGAGCTTATCAGGTCGCCTCTTTAGCCGGATTTTTACGGCTCTGTATCCTCTAACAATATCAATCGAGAATACAAGCTCCTTGGTAGGATCCGCTCCTGTCCATTTTGTGAGCCGCCGACTCTTCTCCGTGAGTGCTACATACTCTATAAAGAGAATAAGTGCTCACGGTTGTGCCAGGGCCCTAGATTGGCAAAGTGTGGTTGCGTATCGCAGTGAAAATTGAGACATGCCCAAGACCTGATTAAGAAATGTATTATAGATTTGTTGCATATCGCGGTTGGGATGGAGACGTTCTCTACGTAGTAGGCCTTAAGGGAATGTATCATAGTTTTGTTGCATATCGCAGCTGCACTTGAGACATTCTTCAACCCAGGGGTCAGAAACGTAATAAAGTTTTGTTGCATGTCGCTGTTTGACGTGAGGAATCCAGTCATTCTCCCATGCCCAATCCGAAAGGGTAAAGATATTTTGTTGCATGTCGGACTTGAGCTGAGAACTCTTCTATTGCCTAATTTGGCTATATAGAGAGTTTTGTTGCATATCGGACATATTTTAAAATATTGCACTTTGATTCAGTCTCTCACTTTGACCCGGTTTCTTACTTGGACCCACCCGTCAGAGATTTTGTTGCATATCGGACTTAGGAATAGAACATTCCTCTTGCCTAGTATATAGAGAGTTTTGTTGCATTTCGTACTTTATACTAAAATGTCCCACTTTGACTCAATCTCTCACGTTGACCTAGTCTCTCATTCAACAGCAGAGTCCCCGGTACTAGGATGAAGGTAGTGAATAGCAGTGGTGGAATATTTGAATTCTAGAAGCTTGCCCATTTCACACTAGTGTTTCCCTTCTAGGTGGTTGTAGAATCCTTCCGCTCGAGTCACTCGAGTCACTAGGTAACCAAGAGGGGCCTCTCATCAAAGTTTTTCAAGCTTGGTTGCAAAATACGCCTACAGAGTTCTGACAAATCTAGACTACCTAAATAGGTATTTCCCACCACAGCCCAATCTTATATGCAGACTCTACCAATCACCAATTAATTAATATTCTCGCTCCTTACAATCGTCCCAAAAGCATCCCCCAGCTCAGCCAAAACAATCCTCACCAAATCCTCTGCCTTCACCCCAGGAATATTCCTATCCCCAACGGCATCCTCCGCAACAATAACATCATATCCCCTCTGGGCAGCCTGTCTCGCCGTAGTACTAACACAAACATGCGCCATATACCCCGTCAAAACCAACTTGTTCCTCCCGGTCTTCTTAATAATCTCGTCCAAGTCAGTGCCCGCGAACGATCCGGGATATAACTTCGTCACAGCATGCTCGCCGGATTTGGGCTCAAGCTCGGCGAATTCTTTAGCTAGATCAGTGCCTGGCGTGAAAACGGGTGCCTGGGCGGGGGTTTCGTGGACGATGTGTACGATGGGCGCGTTGGCTGCCCGGTACTTGGCTAATAAAGACACGATGGCTTGGCGTGAAGAGTCGACGTTTTCAGTTTTTAGAAGACCGTTGATATATCTATGCTTCATGTTAATTTTATATCCCTACTGTGTGTGTATTGCCCAAGAACTCGAGGACGAATGCACATACTCATTCTGAGCGTCAATGATAAGTAAGACACTATCGCTTGTCGATGCGGTAGACGGCGCGATGCCTATGATCTCACGGAATGCCTTTGTCATTTTGGAGTATTGGGGGATTTCTTCTGCTTTCTGAATTACCAAAGGCGTACCTAGGTACCTAATGAGGAGAAGGGAAGGGTAGTATTTATAGTTGGCAATCCGGACAGGTGGGACTTTTAATGATTTGCTTAGCAATTGGTATGATGATATTGCGGGGTGGTGGCGTGCCAGAGGCGGGGCTCCATTACATTCTTGAGGTAACACAAAAGGATCAGAAGCATTTATCACCATCGTCATCAAACATTTTGCGGGCGCACACTATGGGTTCCATCGATTTGCCTCTATTGACAGTACGAGATGTTATAAATCATTGTGCATGATTTCGATGCCGAGGTTGCGAGGGGTTGTGTTCTTTACCTATTGTGCAAATCGTGCTGCTTATGTAGGGAGAAGCTCGGTTAGTCGGTCTTGGCTATCGCCTTTTAGCTTTAAAGGCCTATTAGAGAATGAAATAAATAGGTAACGAAGTGGTAAGGAAGCAATGGTCTCCCAAGCTGCTGTACCTAAGCTAAAGCAATGAAGCTTGAGGCATATATATAGTGGAAGAGCTTAGCCCGGTAGCTACTCCGCAGGCCTGCCTTGACTACCTAGGTGCTTACTCCGTATGGAGGTATGTTCACTACTTCGTATTGAATTGGTTAGCAGGTCAGCGTATGCAATAGCACTGGAAATTTAACTGTGGCGCCTCCTCTACATTACTAGAGGATTAATTGGGTAGAATAGCTTCCAAAGTTGAAATAGTGGGGGATTGCCCTGACGCTAATATCCCAAGACACGACGGCGTCATAGGGGTTCGGTTGTAGATAAGGATCCCCTTGGCAGCGTTGTTCCCGGGACGGGATGCGCAGATCAACATTGAAGCTTTTTCATGTAAACAAATACGTATCCCACAGCCAATGGTAAACATCTCAGTAGTATCTAATAAAGAAAACATCATTCCTATGAACACGAGCACTGGCCTCATCTTCGAAGTAGTGACAGCCGCGATCTCTCCTTACGTGTTGAGGCTCGGGGCAGTGCAACACAGCCCCTGCTGCCCACAATACTTCGTACGAAGATTTGCAGTGTTTCAGTGTCGCTCCCCCGCCAACGGCCATACGAGGGCACACAGAGTAACGGCTGAGGCCGACAATAGTCCAGGCGCATTATTCCAGCCGCAGATGGGCGGCCGGGCTTACCAGCGCCCTTCTGTGCTGACGCTGCCCAGCTGCCCAGCTGTCCAAATCCTTCCGAAACCCCATCATTAATTCAACACCTAAAGTCTCATTCTCGCAACTCCCACTCCATCCGGTTGCACACTTGCTACGTTCAACTCTCGCTCTAACAGAAACAGGGCCGGAGACGTTACTATAACGGCAACGGTGACAGTGACGTTGCTGGACCAAGGCGGCCGGCGCTGGTCAAGGATCCCGCCCATCCACTTCTAGGCTGGGCAATACGAGACATTGAAGAAACTCATCTCACCTGCGTAATCGACACGACACTTTGCCCCCGTACAATACGATACTGTACGGTGCCCTTTTGTTCGTCATGTCGAGACGCTACTCTTTCGAAGAGCCCTACGATGGAAGGAGGACTCCTCTGCACTCGCAACCACAATCACAACCCGAACAACAACATCCCCAATACCAACCTGAATACCAACCCCAATACCAGCCCGAATACCAATCATATGCACCTCAACAACAACCACAGCAATATGCCGAACAACCATACCTCTCGCAAAACTCTCCTCCAATAAACCCCGCGGCGCATCCTGACAGTTCCTTCAACCGATTGCGAGCAGAACGACGATATAGCAGAGGCGCAGATCAAACAAGCCCAAACCCAAACCCATTCCAGTCACCCACACCCCCTCCTCATCGCGATCCAGAGGGCCGATATTGGGGTCGTGACATGGGATACGCAAATACCAATTCCCCCTTTGCAGACACCACGCCTGGAGTCGACAATTTTGGGGCGCAGGCTGGAGGCGGCCTGACCGGCATCGCAATGAGCATCGCGGATGCGAATGCGAGGGAGAGCGGACTGGAAGCTATGAGGCATACACCGGGTTACGTTCAGCACCCACAACGAGAGATATCTCCATTCCATGAATCGGATTCGCCCTACGCAAGAACTCCGCAATCGGTGTCCTCGTCCCCCGCTCCTCTCGGTGCTGCAGCATTTCCTCCTGGATCATCTACGCCGCAAGCGCGGCCCATACCTTTGACATCACACAATAATTTTCCTCAGAACGCCTACGGAGACATACCTCACCGATATTCGCGGAATCTCGACCCCAACCTGACCCAATTTGATCCAAACATTATCGAAGACGATGGAGATGATGGCCTTGAATACAGAACTCCGAATAGAACATCTATGCTGAGTTTGGGTCATCACTCTGACCGAAATGTTCCTGCGGCTGCAGGAGCTGCTGGAGGAGCTGCGGCTGCAGGCGGTGTCATGGGCGTTCTGGGCGGCCTGGTCGGGAAAAATGGAAATAATGGCGCTCAACAGTATGATCCTGTGCATGGACACTACGCCCCCAATGAGTATAATCTCGATGGACCGGAAAAAAAGAGCGAGTGGTTAAATAAGCAATCGACGGGGAAAAAGAAGTTGCGGTGGGCCGTAGGTATACTGGCAGCTCTTCTGCTCCTTGGGGCTATTGCTGGTGGCGTTGTAGGAGGCATTTTAGGTTCGAAGAAGAAATCTTCGTCATCTGATACAACTGCCAACGGCCAATCCGCAAGTGCAGACTTGCAATCGAATGGAGATCTCAACAAAGATTCTGCCGAGATTAAGAAGCTTCTGAATAATAAGAACCTCCACAAAGTCTTCCCAGGCGTCGATTACACCCCGATGTATACGCAATACCCAGACTGCATACACTATCCTGCATCCCAAAACAACGTCACTCGAGACGTCGCTGTCCTTTCTCAACTCACCAATACTATCCGACTCTATGGTACAGATTGCAACCAGACAGAGCTGGTCATCCATGCAATCAATCAACTCGGTCTAAAAGACAAGGTCAAAATTTGGATGGGTGTCTGGCAGGATAAGAATGTTACGACCAATGCCCGGCAGTTAGAACAGATGTACAAAATCTTTGATACGTACGGTGCCGACCCATTTGTTGGCGTGATTGTTGGGAATGAGGTCCTCTTCCGCAAGGACATGACAGCAACAGAATTAGGCACCTTAATTTCGGGCGTCAGGACGAATTTGACTACCAAGGGAATCAAGCTCCCGGTTGCCAGTGCGGATCTAGGAGACAACTGGACGCAAGATTTTGCAGACAAAGTCGACTATGTAATGGCAAATATCCATCCGTTCTTCGCAGGCGTCGAATCTAAATCCGCCGCAGCTTGGACCTGGACTTTCTGGCAAGGCAAAGACGCAGCCCTCAAAACTGACCCTTCAAAGAACATCATTTCCGAGACCGGCTGGCCATCCCAAGGAGGCACTGATTGCGGAATGGCCACCACATGTACCACCGGAAGCGTAGCCGCCATTCCAGACATGAATAATTTCATGAATGACTGGGTGTGTCAGGCGCTGGCAAACGGCACGAATTACTTCTGGTTCGAAGCGTTTGATGAGCCATGGAAGTGGACGTTTAATGAGCCGGGCAAAGAGTGGGAAGATCAGTGGGGACTGATGGATGTTAATAGGGACTTGAAACCGGGGGTTGTTATTCCCAGTTGCGGGGGAAAGACGGTTGGTTGATAGGCGGCATAATGAAAATGGGCTGGTATAATCTTCTGGGTTGCTGGCGGTGTTTAATTTGGAGGAGGCGTTCTTGATAATATTTTGGGGGGGGCGGGAGGACTCGGTATATATCACGCGGGGACAATTACGGACCCACTGACGAATGAATGGAATGCATGCCTTCCTGCTTTTGAAGAGGATGGCAGGTATTGGTTTTTGTGCGTGGTATCTTTGCCCGATGTATAATATCCATCCACCACGTTGTGGTGCGTCATTATTGTTACATATCATGTTGAAAGGGGATCTTGGGTTGTCCATATACGAGACGTGCATATTTCATAGCATGGAATGAGGTTGTTTATAAAATGATGATGGCAACCTATTTATAAGTGTGCTAGTTGATGCGCATAGAATTTCTGTTTCTATTTTTCCGAATCCCGTCACATAGGCTCTCTTGGGAGTTAACTACTACTCATCTAGGGCCATGCATGACGCAGGTGTTGTAGGTAGCTCATTTATCACTCGCCCCCCTATCTTTGAAGAAATATCGACGATGTGATATTTTATATCCCGGATACGGCGCTCAACAACTCTTATATCCCTCAGTGGAATTGCCCCTCGCTTTCCGGCGGTTCTTGGACGGCGGGGCCTATATGAGCTGTCAGTGGGAATGCTTTTTGGGAATGAGCGAATCATACCAAGGACCATGAGGAAGTCAAGACATATGTGTACATGGAGCGCTGGAGGAACAAGAGACGGCTGCTTCCCCTCCGCATATTCTGCTCTGTTATGGCAGGCTGTAATTTGCCTTTGGTCATTTTGATGACATCGACTGGATGGATTTGGGTGTATGACAAGCCATGAGCATCCCATTATACCCCATCATCAGAGTTCAGGAAAGTATCCCCAACCGAAGGTCTCCATTTCCATCTTCAGACGCAACCTAACGACTCTTAAAGCGCTCGAAACAACCGGATAGAGCCATGACACCATGCACAACCCTAATAACACCAATAGTTAGCTTTTTAAAGTATGCTCAACAACAGGGTAAAAGCCAGAGAGGTTTATTGTTACGAACGCTAAAACAATTGCTACCCATCTCTGTGCCAGCGCCAATGGACTTTCAAGAAAATCAACCTTGGCTTTACCATTCGCTCCATAGTGATAAAGCGACAACACAACAACACTACCGATCAAAATTGCTATCTCGATAACATCTAGGCATATTAGGGATCCCAAAGGAAGGCGGTATCTCCTGATCCAAAGGCAGCGAATGTCTATGCCGTTTAGGCAAAGACCCCAAATCGCCTATAATCCATGGGGAGACAGTTAGGCTAGATGAGGTGTGCGAAGGAGTGTGGCATACGAACAGCGCTGTATAAGAAAACTGAAGGCTTATTTTCTCTGACACTCAAGACTATGGCGACGATCAAGGCGGCAATACAAAACAGTAATGCAAGGCAGCGCAAGTAGAACACGGTCGAGTGAAGCCTGTGAAGGGGGCCTATATCCTGGCGGTGCCGAGGCATGTGTGGTTTCCAACTGCAGAAAACCAAAAAAAGCATGTATGGTGAACCAACCAAAAATTCAGGAAAAGCCAGCAGCGACTCTAAGTGCTTCCGGTTTATTTAAGAATAAAGCTCTCGCTTTGATCTACTTCTTCAGCGGGTACGTCCCGTCGCGTGATATGAGGCGGTACATCCACCGGCGATCTGCCCCCCGGGTAATTCCATTCTGCCATATTGAATTGCAGATTCTGCTTTAATATGACGCTCGAGATAACTTTCTCGCACGGAGCTTTTGGCGGAAATATAACAGGGTTTTCTGCGGTTATTATTTGTTCTTCAGCAGCACTGATGTACTTTGTAGTCCGAGAGATGGTGGGGCAAAGATGTCCCAGCAATGTAACGGCCCGAGGTTTGAACGTTAGGTCAAGGAGAGGTCTGGGAGAGCAGAAGCGGAAGCTCTGATGTCCCTCTGTAGCCACTTGGCTAAATCTGGCTGTCAATTTTGGTCTTGACAAATTGCTATGTCATGATGGTGGGTTTTTACCGCTTTGCACTCGCAGATGTGGTCGTCAAAGACGCACAGGAGTAAGCTTACTGCATCGCGATTCGCGGCACAGCTTCTCGAGATTTCTCGTCCACCAAATAATAACCCCTTGATGAAAGACACAATCTATCACACCCTCTTTTATCGAACTGCCGTATCTCAGGCTCTTCGCAATCTCTACAAACCCTTTGCTTGGTGTCGCTTCCCACTCTCGCAATGTAAGGTTGCAATTTAAGGTCGTGTAATATCAACCCCACGACCCAATTCGGCAAGTGGCACCGGCGTTACTAATATTCTTCTAAGAATGTCTTAAAACAAGATTATCAGCTGGCCTCAAGAATAACCCGGTGTACAAGAAATTAAAATACACAAGATCCCTTGGCTCTGGAACTCTGGGAAGAGGATTTCCTAAACCGGAGCATTTTTTGCGTGTTGGAGAGAGTCTCGTCTCTCGCTCCTTGTTCGAGACAAACATCACTATACCTAAAGTACCTAGGTAGGTATGTATGTATGTATGTATACTTGGAGCGCCTTCCTAGCTACTTTTTAACAATAGACTCTGCTCCATCTATATACTAAACTTCCTTTCCATCATCGCTACATTCGCATTATCAACGCCCTCACGATCCAGCTCAATTCAAGACCCTGGCGCCTTAGTATCCTAGAATATATTTTCAACTCGCAACCTCCGTCCTCAGTATATCTTACTCTCAAATCCCCAAGAGCAATTGGGCTGAATATAATTATGAATTTAAGACAATCGTGACATGTACCCTGTAGCATACTACAATAACTAGTCACAATACTAAATAGGCAAATCTCATAAATAAAGATCTATACCGGCATCTACCCTCCCATCTAATGCCATATCATCTAGAGCTAGAGACTTCTCCGCTAGAATGATTCACTAAGACTAAGCCTTCCTACTTTGCCATATGTTATATTCACGATCAATGGTGACGGATTATTACAAGATAGTAAGTGAATACCAAAGTTTTAGGAGATGCAAGTTATGTTACACGACATACTAAATAACCGGTAGCTACCCGAATCCTTTCTCGCCTTATTACATTGACTAATTCCTCTGCCCAGATAAGTTTTTTTAAAAAAAAATTAGGTCTTAAGGATAATTCTTACCCGTCAACATATTTCCCTCGATAGCCTACAATCCTACCCGGCGAAGGTCGTGGAAGCATGTCTTCCGTATGGAGCTCCTAGCTGCCCACCAAACAATGGTCGCGTTCCCCTGTCGGTGGGTATCGTGGCCCTCCCGTTGGGTTTCGGCTGTCTGATGTCCCAAATCCCAAGATGAATGGTCGTCTACAGCGCAGGATCGAGCTCGATTCCGGAAACCAAGATTAATGTTGGCATGGTCTATATGCACTATTTGCAGATCACCTCCTCGGGGTGATAATGTGAACACATCCCTCGGTGCCTCTACCCCATCAATACGCTGCAGAATCATCTCACTTGGAGCTGGCTGCAAGACGAGTTATCGAGTCGGTTCCTTTTAAGACCCTTCAAGTCAAGCTGCGTTTTCGGTGCCTAACAGCGGGTCCTCTATTTTCATCCACCCCAAGAGGCATCTCCATGGCAACCATCTCCTCACGAGCGTTATCAACCTGAACCTTGGATTCCTCCAGCGAATTTGCTCAGTCGGACTCCTGCAAGGACTTCTCCAGTTTTGGTTTCAGCTCCCCACTCCCGTCATCTTCACCCAGGTTTTCCAATTATCCTCTCGGCTCTCTACTTTGACAAGGCCTTCTCTCAATTTGACAGCCTTGCCCTCCATACCCGAAGCAATCTTGGCAAGAAGGGCCATAGCTCTCTCTTTAATGCCAATATCAGTGCAACTCTTGGCGATGAATGAGTACGAGAAGCAGACTCTTGTATCGTAGATGCATTTGCGAATATGATATGTAGCGTCTTCGCCATGGCGCACACACACCTTGGCCAGATCCTCCGCCACGGAAATCAGCTGGCCGAATACTTCGAGAGGTTGTGCCGGTTGGGGATCAGCGCACGCCCAGATCCAGACGAGTCCCGAGAAATATAAGACTCGCATCGCAGCAATCTCTTCCTCTTGTTGGGGGACGAGATCCGGTCCTAAGGTACTTAGAAGCCCCTCGAACTTCGAAGCCCATACCTCCAACCTTTGGCGATGATCCTCTGCAGGCGCCCGGTTTCGGGCCGTGGGTAGATCATCCTTGGGCATATCCTCGTGGGCAGCGCCCTCGCGGTCGAGCGCGTTAGCGTCTCCGGTGATATCCTCTATCGATTGTCGTGCTGCTGCAAGGTCGACAAAGTAGTCGCGCTCTGGCTCATCTACCATCGCCTTTTTGGTGGGAGCACTAAACCTCCCGAAATTCGTGCCGTTAAACAGTGTAACCAACATGGCTTCCAGCGAACCTTCCACGTCGGCCTCTTTTCCATGCTTTTTTCTCCACCGCTCTAGGATATCGGCGCCGCTCTGGACGTGGACCATGGCCGTTGCGACGTTTCCCCACAGGAAATCAATGATCACAAATATCAAGCAGTTGATCAAGGCAAGCTTCTGAACGGCGCCACCTCTCTCGGCCATGATTTTAGCAAGTCGGGTGACGGCTTTGCTGTAGTGCTGAAGAGCAAATATCTTGCGAGCCAGACAAACCGACTTGTCCATCCTGGGATCGTTTGGAATCGCATCATTTATTACGGCCATCTGCTCATGCGTTATCGCCAGCGCGATCATTGCATGCCGGACCGCAGGCTCCGAGTAACCCGCTCTGGGCACATGGCCATACCAGAACTCTCTTCCGTGCCACCCCGCCATCTTAGCTGTGCTCCATTCATAGAAAAAGTCCAAGGATCGTTTCTCTCGGGGAGTGCAGTCCGGAAATTGGCCGAGCATTGTGGTGACGCCGTCTTTGGACATAAGTCTCATAATTTCGGATCTTACTGATGCGGCGGGGTTGGGTTCAGGTTTGACCTTAGTCGGCCCAGACGCGCTATCTTGACGCTTCTTCCTCGATTGTGGCGGGGCATAACCATCACATTTCCTGCCTGTCGATGTACAGCGGTCACAGTTCGGCTTTATCAATGCGAGTAAGTAATGGCTTCACAGGTCTCATCTCGGGGGTGTCAAGGCTAACAAACCTTCCGCTCGTCACATTTGATCCGACGTATCCTTCAACCGGTCAGCGCGCAGATCCGCAAGGGGTTTGTTTGTTTCCTCACTTACTTGCAAGTGATGCATCCTGTCCTGACCTTGGACCTACTACCCACGAAGAACTTGAAGACGGGTGGTTTGGTGCCGCTGGCTTTGCTCGTCGAAGGCGCCATGTTCTCTTTTTCGGGAGGGCAGACGGTCGCGATGGGTTATTCGAAGCTCGTTCCGATTCTACAAGTGTCTCTGGATCACGCATCAATGACGAAGCGCATATTCGGGTTCAAGATTGGACCCCTCGCTGATGGTGCTGCGGCGCAGGATATTTAAGAGATCGCTCCAGTACTTGTATTCAGGACTACGGAGTAGAGATTGGCAAGCTAGGCAGCCCCTTGACAGGCTTCAGGGGGTGTCAGTAATTGGTAACCACCGCCCCGGGGTGTCGGCGTCGTCGGTGATCAAGATTGTCCCACTTTGTCCACCTGTCCCACGTTGTGGCTTCAACTCAACACCGAACAACACCAAATCTATTCTGATTATTGACAGCACGTACAGGCAGGACAGGTACCAACGCTACGAGCTCGGTGCCTATTACGATCCGCAACGATGGAAGGGTGCCGGTTGCTCAGCAGGTACGAGCCTGCTGCACACGGCACCGAGGACTCGGTTGATTCTTGACCTCCATTGAGAACATGAGTAGCTCTTGTTCATGTTCAAGTTGCTTCGGAGCGTCTCTGCACGTCTGAAGGCTACTCCTCAACCCCGAGATGCCCGAAGCCCCTGATATACTCCGTACAAGCTTCGAAGTACTCACTTGCCCGTCTACAAGGCACTCCAGTATTCATATTAACAGTAATATACGGCCGCGCCGCAGCGAACGACTTGCCTTTGGAGAACATTATGTCCCACAAAGCTAGGTTCCGGGTCGCGTTGCCCATGAAGATCTAAAAGTCTTGGCTACCACTTTTGCGTCCGGTCGTGTCTCATATCCACGCCCAGTCATGCAATACAAATGTTGCGGTGAAGAGCCAGGGTTTTGACAGCGCAGATTGACGGGATATTCCGTCTTGGTCTGGAGCCCTCCTGATTCTTTGAGTCCAGAGTCAAGCAAGAATCATTATCATATCAAGTTTTTAACTCGGCATCGGCTACGCAGTAACGCAGTACTTACCTAGTACACAGGCGCGTATACGTTGGAACTCGTTGGCCTATATTTATAAACCGGCTATCATTTGTTGGCGCGTTAACACTCGGAGATATTACGACCACAAGAATGGTCTTGGAGAGTCTTGGGCTAAGATACCGGGTTATGGCGTACATCCGGAATCTAAAAAAAACGGCCCCCAACCAATAACGGTTTCCAGAAAAAGCTCCGATTTTGCAATGTGCAACTCCTCTGCGATAATGCAGTCAGTCATACGATAGATACGGAGTGGTCTCTACTCAGCACTGTGGAGCAAGCTTAAGATACCAGATCTTGCCAGTGCAACCACCCACCACTTCTTCCCCGTCTACAAGGGGGGACTACGGAGAATCTGTACGTGATCTGTTCGATTTGCCTCTAGGCTTCGTCCTCGAGCGCGGACCGACGCACGAAAGGCCCGAAGCCCCAGAAAACCCCAGAAAACCCCAGACTCGGGCCCAAGCTCCCTAAAGGCTACTTACTCCACCCCGTACCAAAGATGCGCTGCTAAAAAGCCGACTCAAGGCTCAAAAACCCAGTACATCGTAGCCAGCCGCTCGAGGACCCTCCTTCGACGGCTTTTCTGTCTGCCTGGGATAAGTACGGTAAGGCCATTTTCACGTCATATTTTGAGGCCTGTCTGAGTGGGGGGATCCCAAGTGCTTACGTCGCTGTGAGTGGTGCAGGATACGAGTTACGTGGCGTACTACCGCCGGAAGCTAGGATACACATCCACGATCGGTAGAGGAGGCAAGTGGAGTTGATCGGCTTGATATCTTCTGTGACTCCTATCTTGTACGCCCACGGGGAGACACGACGATTGGCTGAGCCACAGAATGACGAATAGCCGGATTGAGCTAATTATTCAAAACGGTTCTCCAGGTAGGACGCCAGAACGACTTTGGTAACCCGGGAGTCTGGGTCTTGGCGACGAGCACAAATAATTCCAACGAGTGCTTATTAGCGTATGGGCTGCCAAATAACTTCGAATTACTGGTGGAAGATTGACACACCGACATCGCACGCAATAGTAATCAACTTCAAATCACACGTTTCTCGGGTATACCTGCAAACTGCACGGGTATGGGGGATTGGGGTTTTAATGGTCTCAATATCATTCATATCTTTTCCAAACGGCCCCCTGAGTACCCGGACTCGATTGCATAAATACATGGGCGTTTGGATTTCAAAGCCTGGGTGCAGGCTTAAAGAAGTAGTACGTGAAATAATTGATTATACCCTGCGTATTTCCAAGCGCATACGCTCTCCTTTTTGGAGGACGAAAGATTCGGTTTCTTGCTATGAATTTGCTGTTATCATGCTAAATTTACTCAGTAGCTTGGGGGTCGTGCCACATAGGACCGAAGCCTCTCGGGAGGCTCTCAAACGGAACAATCCCAAAACCTCTAGCAAACGGGTTCAAGGAAAAAGTGACAAATGAATATTTCGTGGAATGTGAGGGATTTATACATATGAATGACCACGACACGCATTAATCCTAAAGGTGTATTCATCAGAGGTAGTTCCTCAAAGTAGATCATAACTTTCAAGCAAGTACCCTCCGTTATACTTTCTGCGGAAAGAGCACATCACATTTCTGTGTCTTCGTCTTATCCTCTCTAGCCATGCCAATTATTCGCTGTGCTCGGTCGTTGGTTTCTGCTAAAATTTTCTTGCTTTTATTGAGTAAAAGTAGCAGCTAAGGTGGGCTCAGGGTATCATTTGGTGTTAAATCAGCGGAGCAATGTTGCTGCCGAATGACGCTAGTACTTCATGGGGGACTGGAGGATATATTTCTAGGGTATTCTCTGCCACGGGCGGTGGGCCAGGAAGAGTGGGACCGAAGAACAGCGCCATAGTGCGTGGTGCTTGCAGAAACGAGTCACTGGAGTTTCCTTAGAGCACGAGTAGCCAGAAGGTCGAGTTGCGGTCGTGTCATTTGGAGGTTTATGATGTGAGGTTTTGTTCCCCGTGTGTTGCAATCTAGTTCGGCTTGAGCTCTGCTGTCAATTGCCAGAAGTTTAAGTAAAGAATGTCGCTTACGCAATAATGGAATGTCGGGGTTTGGGTGAGGGTGTTGAAAATAGTTGCTCGTCAACTCGGGAATCCAGGACGAGCAGGGGCCACAGTGGTTATACAGTTGGAATTTGAGTTCTCCAACGAAGGCTTATCAACTAACTATTCAACTACATGTTAATCGCTAATTATATTTTGGGTGAGATATTTAGTCAGGCTTACCCTCCAATACTAATATACTCATGACTACTAAAACCGGTCCGACAGGAGTGATGGAGCACCGTACTATAAACAACTTGAAGGCAGGGCTCCTTAGCCGTAATACGAGCCTTCCCATCGACGTTAGGGACGGCTGGGCGAACTAATCCCACAATACTAGTAGATGGATATATGTTTGCGTTGTGTCAATGATCTGGCTGCCCACCCCAATCTGGAGTGCCGCCGGTGCCCAAATAGCACCGATGAAAAATGCTTTGAATGTGTTGGAAAATCTAAGTCACGATGCAGGAAGTTCTTTTTCCCTTGACTTCGCTGGACAAATACCAGCTAGCTAGTTCTCGGGTTCCTTATGAGCTCCGGGAAGATGCCAGGAGCTTTGTCAAACTGAAAATCTCCGTCAAACTAAGACATTCTCGCCGCTGAGATTGCTGCGTACTTTTGTCCGCCATTTGTAAGCATCTTAGATAAACATGTCCTTGATAGCCTATACTCGTCTCAGCCAGCTTCGTGATAGCGAGGTGTCATTCATAGGTGTCACTGAACCCTATTATAAAGACTCATACGAATATCTGTATACCACAGACATTCACATCCAGTGTTCCACTATTACATACGAGGTGATCGGCATCCGACTATCATCCGCCAGCTTGAGGAACCATCCTCTGTCTAGTTGTTTCGGCCTGGCCCCGATTCGGGAACCAAACTCAAGCGGTATCAACTGGCCAACCGCTCCACTGTAGGTCATAGTACGGTGGATGCGGTATCTAGAGTATGTGTTTCCAGAGTATGTGTTTCCGAGTCACAACTTCAATAGTACTTCTCTCTGTGTAGTCTATATTAGATCTAACGTTCCACAAAATGGAATATATCCTTATGGCTATAAAATTACATAACCACGGATAACAAAATAGTTGAGATGAGAAGTACAGTCAGCATAACTGTAATTCAAAGGGGCTATTAGTGGTGCTTTGCTTTTCACTTGTATTCATCTTTTCCCGCGCGAAGCTATCAGAGAAGAGAAAGGGGAATCGATTTCTCAGGTGATGTCTCTCTCTGATCGTGCTCTAGGTTCGTCAACAACGTGGAGTGGCGGGCTGGGTAGAGGGACCAGAGGTCGTGTATGAAATTGGGTGGAGGGAGTGAATATTTGGAGTAGCTACAATTTGGGGGGGATTGATGAGCAGTATATTACACGCACTGCAAGACGTTTATTCAATTTTCAGATTACATATCCATCCTTGCTGATATCAAATATATTACTCCTTGGTTATGTTACCACTTATAATCATCGCTATCGCCACAGATGAAATATATGCTTAAGGTATCTCAAGCTAGTGAATTGTTGTAAACGCCACTAGAAGGAAACTCAACCAATTCTATCAACCCCAAACCTGCCGACAGCTAATATTCAACCGCTTCCCCGCCATATACCCTCTCCATTTCTCATAGTCTTTCCTTCCGCCCTCTGTTGCCGGCCAGTCCTTCAACCACTCAGGGCAAGTCCCGGCCATAACCTTGGGCATCGCATGCCACGACCACCTCGTCTCTCCATCCATCTGCACAACATCCCCACTCCTCACTCTAATAACCACCATCTCTTGCTCTGCATTCTCATTCCCCTCGTCTCTAGGGTTTTTATTACGAGCTATAATGAACAATCCATCGCACCCCAGGCTGAAACTCGCAAGACCTCGCTGGCACTCCTCCGACACGTCGCGGTGCACTGGCATGTAGTCTTTTGGGCTGTATAGAAGCACTACCCCAGATTCCGGGGTGAATGAATTCTGGAAGAGCGTCGTCACCAAGGCGGAAACGTCGGGTGGAAAGGGGGTTGGGGAGACGGCTGGGTACGAGCGGGTTGTCCAATCATATTGTGAGCCAAGAGTAAGCCAACGGAGTTTCTTCTGCATAAACTGGACAGTGTTCATTGGTTTGTGATTGGAGAGGGGGTTGAGAGGGTTGAGGGTATGGTCTCTGGAGGAATGAGGAAGCGAAAAGAAAGAAGAGGGCTGGGCGCTGCCGGTTGGAGTCGGTGGATAGGTGATATTGAAGTCGTGATGAATGTTGGTTTTATGCAGTGGATTTGATAGGTCTCGGTGTAGGAGCCGATCAACCAACATTTTTTGGCATTCCGGAGGTAGCAATCCAGGTAGTAACCGCAATCCTATTGAGATATCAGATACTTGATCATGTAATATCCTCGGAAGCCAGACCTGGAAAATCTCGGTGCTCATAAACCGTACATGTTTCTGGCTTGTGCTCCGTTACAAGCCCATTATCGCTGATTTCTCCTTCACAAGTCTGAAAATTCTTCTGAGCTTTTGCTATTAATTCTGATGGTATAGTATCCACTTGGACTAGCTTCTCCATCTGCACACTTGTCAACCCACGATGGAAATCAACGATTTCGAGATCCTCATCCACGGCTGCATCAGTCATTCTCTGATACTTTTTATATACATTGCAAATTGCCTGGGGAGGTATTGCATGAGTATCATGGTGCTTCTGAGGGTCTGTTAGATATAATCGACAGAGTGGGGTTGAGCACGCACGCTATTTGACTCCATCATATGACGCCGCGATTTTCTCCTAGGTTGTGGAAGTACCCGTGAGCCGAGTCAGCGACTAACAAGACCTGTTGAAGCGTGAATCAAACTATTTGATCCAATACAATAATTTTGACCGAGTTCTTTATGTTGAAATCCGTCGTCAAAATTCTTCGAAGTCACGATACACCAAGTAAGCGAGCCCACTAGTCCTAACGTGGCGACTACCCCTTTCCCCTTATTTTCCCCTTTCCACCGTTAGGCTAGAGATCATATTTCAATTCGGAGAGACAGAAGGTACTTTTAAGCCAACAATATCACAACTACCTGCATCAGTTCACAAAATATCTACCAACTTTAATAGCGATATTCCGGTCATTTTAAACGTCAATACTTGGCGCGGTGGAGAGAGAATCTGAAAGATAATATATATTCCATATGAAATTACTGCGAGCAATAAGACATCCAATCCAGCCTGCGGAATATCTGACGAGAGACGTACTTGTTCCGACAGTCGTCCTCGGACGAGACGAGGTCGTTGTGTTGAGAGATGAGTTGTGCTAGCTGCATATCGGCCAATGCCCCGTACCATTCGTCCGCTGTTGCGTAGGTCTCGTTCTCAAGAGGAAGGATAGACGGGGGGGTATTGGCGAGCTGGGTCATGCTGCTCATATTTTGAGTAAGAGGTTGAGCAGTAACCCGAAAGGATCCGTCAACCTCGACCAAAGAGCCGATATGGGAGAAGGTGGGTTTCGCGAACTCCAGTAAACACCACGCTATATTGCCCCACAGACTTCTGAGCTTGCTCTCGGGGAGCTCAAGGTTCAGAACGGGAGTCAGGTTGCGGTCCAGACCGGGAACAGCAAGAGCGTCCGTCATGTCGCCTCGGTGCTCGATCCGGCGGAGGATAAGGAACGGCCCGACGTTGGAGTCCCGACCATAATGGAGCACTTGGGCAGTTGGGATGTGAGTGTTCAGCCTCACATATTCCGCCGTCGCCGCCTCGTAGAGGACTTTCTCGCCAGGGAAGCGGGCTGAGTAGGGCCAGGGCAGCCGCACCATGACGTCGGAGGATGAGTCTTCGCCTTCGAGATGGATCCTATAATGGATATTGAAGCCACCAATGACTAGTGGTGATACGAGTGTAGCAGGTTTGCCGCATTTCCGCGTGACGAGGGCTTCGACCTGGCGACAGGTGTCTTTTCTCCAAAGTCGCATTTGGGACTCCTCCTCGGCATCGTCATTCTTATCCCACGCGACATCGTCGAAATTTTGCCGGTCTTTGTACATCCTCTTCTGAGCATGCGTTCAAAGACTTGAAAGCTCAAGCGGGCGAGGGCAAACCTGACGGGGGCGTTGGGAAGTCGAAAGCAGACCACCAAATGGATCGTCTTATGGCTGGCTACTACTGTACTGTAGTCTTGGTGGCAAGGAGAACCAAGATAAAGTCAAAGGCGAGTGACAATCGTACTCTGGAAATGGCCAGGCACGGGGCCAGCGCTTACTCGGGCACTCGTGTTCACTGCTGTGGCCAACTGGTCATATATATCTTATATATATAGACCATGTAGTGCCTACCTACGGCTCTTATAAGCAGATAGGTTGGCCAACAGCGAATAGGGGTGACTTGTTTCAGTATCAAGACTACACACATATGCGAGAAGTAGTAGTAGATGAGAGTGTCAGATGTGTTGACAAACTTTTTGATCCCAATACATCGAATTATACGTTATGTGCTTGTAGAGGAATCAAGTGACCGGAGGCCAGAGCGGTTCTCAGCTGGAGCACACTCTGGGCCGACCTACCTCCGCCTGAAGAACCATTATTTTAATAGTAATCACAACATTCAAAGTCTTCTCTACATACATCCCCTATAGGTATAGTAGTTTTATATACTACTTCTTTGCGTAGTGCTTCCTGACGTGCTGCCTCTTCACGTATAGCCTTCTCGCGGTCATAAACCTCCTTCTGCCGACTAATTTCTTTATAATCGTAAAACGAATCCTGCACATAGTATCGACGTAGTACCCAATTAAGCTGCTACTCGCCTAAAAGCTAGATCCATTGCTCAAGGCCTTGTAGAATATAGGCGTAAGTAGCCTGCAATTGTGGCAAGGCTTTTGGATGGCTTCGATTGTTGATTCATCCTGCGACAGATCTGACAGGCCTCCTACTTCCCAAACAGCTCGACAGCTGGTAAATGATTTGCAGCTAGAACAGTAATTTAGTGTTGTCGATAAAGGTAGGGAATATATAGCATTTTGGGTGTCGTTATGTACCGGCGAATAACCTCCAATTTGGCATCTCCACCGGCCGCAGATGCCTCTCTTTCCTCTCCCTTTTGAGTTTAGGGGTTTGAAATCCTAAACTCTAAAGATGTAAGATGATACTTTCAAGTCTTAGGAGTATCTAGTAGCAGAGATTAAGGTGTGCTAGTTAATGAAAACCTTGATAGCCTTGTGGGTAGAAAAAATAAAGTTGTAGGCCAGGCTATATAATTCGATAAAGACTGTGGCTATTCTGTAAATAGTTGACAAAGATATCCCCAGCTAGAGAGGAATACGACTTATGATTGAATCCTATAATATTGATTTTAGTAAATATAAATATAATGGAAGAATGAATCCGGTAAGTAAGTTGAATGTAGGGCTTGCGAATGATTACCGACTTCCCCGTATCTCTAGGGAAATCAAATCCTACTGATGGATGAATAGACGTTTCTATTAAAATGAATATAATTTTCAATTTATAGATGTGTGGAAGATTGGGATTTTCTCGGCGGAGTTGGGATTTCTAGTCGGCCGTTCTTTATATACATATATCACTTCCTCGATTTGCCCTGCACTTTTTGCTAGCTATCTATATTTGGTTGGTATTGTCTATATATTTAGAGGGGGAAATAAGGTCTAATCTCCTTTGAAAATAAGATGCTGTAGTAGAGTGGTAACTAGTAGATACTACTCTAGTAAGAATATTTACATATTACCGCATGCATAGAACATGAAGTATTATTTAAATTTACTCCCTAGACAAAAGGAAGGTCAGTAATTTTGAGAATTAAATGATTAGCTAGAGTTTTTTCTGGAGGCATATAATGATAAGTATACAAAGCTGGGTTCACTTCGAGCATTTGGACGTCTCTCATCCGAGAAGGGTTTAAAAACAAAGGATTTGAAAAATAAGATTTATGATAGTACTGGTATTATGTGAGCGATGAGTTCTCATATCGAAAACCTTGCCTGTCTCACAGCCGTACTTTAAAACAGGCAAACACAGGTCTATTTGCAATAAAACCCGGGAGCTCGACTTCTCCTATTACTGAACCTCGACATAACTTGTATAGCTTCGCAAGCATAACATACACAAGCATTCAGCCTCGCCCGAAGACTGTCATCCAATCCACCCTTACCTCTCCAGGCTGCACGACTGCGATCCCCTCAAGCACCAGGGCAAGCACTTGCATCTCGAAAACCCTCGCATTCGTGCCCAGGGCCTGACCCCCCAAGCTTGCTCTGCACACTGTAGGTTGATCCTCAGGGCCTTTGGCAAGACTCCCCCCGTTCTTCCCAACCCACCAAACGGGCGGCTGCATCAAAAATAAAACACCCTGCTATACTATGCTTTTCTAGAATCTTAATCGTGGTAATACAGCTCGTGAGCCTCCAACTGTACATTGCACCATACTACAAAGTATTTGGAATGATATAATAGAACTCCGATACCTGGCCAATAAAATGGGAGTCGATATCGCAATCAGCTCTGCCGTGCGGAGGGTCCGTCTATTACGCCTCCGTTGCTAATTACGGCCTTCTAGACGGAGAAGACTTACGAAGCCCTTATGCAACAAAATTTCATTTACCGTTTCAATCGCGAACGAACCAGTGCGGCACATTTAGAGAAATTCCGGACGCTCGGAGGTATTATGTCAAACCTTGAATCCTTCAGTGGCGGCGAAGCATAGACAATTATATTGTGGCGTGCACAAACTCTTCCTTCCGCTTTCCTACCTGAGCACCTAATCTTCCATTTCGAGTTTGAGCTGAACGAATGTTCGATTGCTGGAGTTGCACAGTCGTACCTTGCCGTACTGACCGGATGCAAGCCAGGGGCGTAGATTGTGGCTGGAAGAACTCTGGGATCTGATTTGGCTTCCAAGAAAAGCACGAGCAAATGGCTTGGCTAGACTGTGTCTGTCTCTGTTAGAAACAGGACCGGACGTACCCGGTACGTACAGTACAGTAGCTACCAGGTAATGCCCTCATCTAGCCATAGCCGAGACCACTCTCCCTCCGTGACCAAGAAAAGAATCCGTTGGTAGTGCACCAAGTACGTACAAAAAGTACGCCCCCGTGAGAAGGTTTCCTATCAAGGGGGTATATGTGGCGCTCGGTATAAGGCTGTATCCGCTGCTGATTCGTGCGCGGAAGGGCGCATGTTTCCGATCTTATCGCACGCAGCAACGGCGCCCATTAGTACCTTTAGAGTACAAGTTGCTCGCTGCTTTTGGGCAGCTTGGCCAATCGCAAAATTTAGGCATACTCGGTAATTCAAGTGCGTTAATTATGCAATGTGAACACGAGCAAGAGAAGTCGATTGAGCGAAGCATGTGCAATCGAGAATCGGAAAGACGATATGACCAGGTAGGACAGCCAAGATCTAAATGAGCGGTGATGAGATGGACGAGTTAGAAGACTTGTGTCTTGGTCAGAATATGCGGAAGACGTGGCAGAATAAAGTAGGGTTGCTTTTGAAATCGAGATTCAAGAGCATTGAAAGCTGAACAAACAGAGACCACAGCGTTGATTGGCTGGGACATCTTTAGCATCCCCAACCTCCATACCGCCATTGCTGAATGAGCCCTACGCCTGCTTACTGTTGTACAACATCACAGTGCAGTATCAAAATGAATCACTTGAAAAAATAGGCGTGGAATTGGCGCAGGCTCAGCGATAGCGCGATATCTCAGTCTCGGAATATTTTCGAAATCTGCAAGTGTGTGACATGTGAGCTATGTTGATGATGTCGGCGTTGGTTTAAATTGATAATTTTAGAATAGTTGAGTTGTGGCTGGCAAATGCGCTTTGGCTAGTGGCCACAACTGTGTTCAACGTGCAGCTCATTTTGTGCACATGAAGGATCATTCGATGAGAGTCATGTCAGCGCTAGTGCAAAAGCTGTTTACGAAGGCCGTTCCGTATGTTTTGTTTCTGAGCAGTGAAAGACAGACTGTTTCGATTGCGCATAACCGAAGCAATCCACCATCATCAGTGCACGGGTTACGAGTATCTTAGTAAGATCCCATGTGCACCGGAGTAATGAATCTGCTCACATTAGGCTTCAGTGCTATCACTGTGGAGTACGTATCCAGTAATATCTGACCAATATGCCATTTACGGAGTGAGGAGGAGCATTGTGGAGATGACGTGAATTCTTCCGCGGGCTCAGACCTGTTTTGTGCAATTGCCGTGTTGTTTCTGTGATCGCATCTTGCGCCGGAAAGATGACCCCGAAGGCTTGGGATAGCGCTCATTTGGACTTTTGCGCCGAGGTAACGGTATGTGGATCGCTGAGTGGCTGTTATACCGAGGTCTTTAGCGCTGTGGGTTGGCTCTATGGAGCACGAAGGATTTCCAGTTGAATGCTTCATATTCTAGAGCAAATGCTTCATCGTCAAGAGCGAAAAGCCTCCCATCTTCGCGATGAGGTCGATGTTGAGGTTAGCATTAGAGCAAGCATCAAGCTTCGTCAAGCTGTCGAACTGCCAACAGGGGAAGCAGCGCTGAGGCGTCCAACGGTTCGTGGGTGAGACGACCAGGACAAGGCTCACTCAAGGTTGATTGCGTCCACCTCCTTGTCTGATGAGCCGTTGGATCAGCCCTTGCAAGACCAAAGACAAGACCGGCATGGTACACCCCATGCACCACTACTGACGACAGGGTGGTGCACATTTGATGTTGCCGGGGCTTGGCCGTTGAGCCTTCAGCCGTGTAAACTCGCGGGCTCTGGATAGATCCATAATGAGCACCCATTATTGGTCCTCTGCAACGCGAACGGAGGAGACTTGGTATGCCATATTCGGGGAAATCAAAGACTCGGTGTGATGGCATTTTTTGCTGCTTCGATCCGCGCATCCGCATGGCAGCCTGCGAAATTGAAGTGGACAGCGAGTTTTGGCTAATCTTTTACCTGGAGAAAAGCCGTGACTTGCCTGCGTCCATTGCTCTGGTGACTTGGTGGACGATTTAAGGGTCTTGCTGCTGAGGCTCCAGACTCACAGATCGCGCGACCGG